AGGTAACAGATATGTAGACTAGTGAAGGTAACAAAGGAAACGGGAAGTTAATTGGAAAGTAAGAATTCGAATTTTAAATTGTTTGGACTAACAAAACGTTTATTTTCTCTCTCTTTGAAATGTTTCTCGAGGTTGTTGTCTTGGGAGAACAGTTAGTGAAATTCAGCAGTTTTATAAAGGTATCCGGATCCAGCCGTAGAGGGAGCTCCCAAATAAGTAAGTAAGCCATTTGTTTGTGTTTTTGCCCTATGTTTTACCACACACACACAACTCACAGATTATGAATATTTGTTAGTGGTGTTAATACCGTGTTTTATTTATTGTGTGGTTGTAAACCAGGTAAGCAGAATGATGGAAATGTTTGAAATGGTTCCAGAAGTACAGGGAAAGAACAGGGAAAGAAAATACTTAATGGTGTTAAATGACCTTTGTCCTGACTTTCTGGTGAGGCCTGATCAACCTCACTAGAAATGATACAGACATAGGGTGAGATTTAATTATAATATGAAGAAGTGTATTGCTGTTGTTGTTTTGGTTGTTCTTGTCTTTGTTTTTGATACAAATCTCACCAGATGGGGTTTGTTGTATGGTCCTGATTTCTCCCTAAGGGTTAGCTCTCTAACTCCCTGACCCAGTAACTCTGCGGTGAGGTCGCCAGTATGATAAGGGAGTATAAGCAAATGTGCAAAATGGTTTCAACAAGTGTATTGTTATGCTCTTTGACATTTGTCTTAGAAATGTTGGTATTTTCTTAAAGGACAGTGGTGGCTCAGGTGAGAGAAATTATCAAGGGCCATCCACTTTGAACATTGGGAGGACGATCTGAAACACTATCTGATGCAGAACATGAAGAAACGCCAGTAGAAGAGTGCCAGCTACTTTGAAGAATCTATAAGTTAAAATATATTTTGATTTGTTTAACACTTTTTTGGTTACTACGTGGTTCTCCAATATGTGTAATTACATCGTTTTGATGTCTTCACTATTATTCTACAATGTAGAAAATAGTAAAAAATAAAGAAAAACCCTTGAATGAGTAGGTGTGTCCAAACTTTTGACTGGTACTGTATATATGGATGATTTAAAAAGCCAGGCACGTTTAACAGTTAGGCTATGATTATAGAGCTAATTCAGTTGGTGTTGCCTCTCTCCTCAACTTTCTTAGACAATTAAGGCAAGGGCCGTTTCCTCGTCTCCTCACTCCGCTGTGATCAGACCTACCACCGTCATTTCATCAGCAAACTTTATGATGGTGTTAGTGTCTTGCACGGCCACGCAGTCGTGGGTGAACAGGGAGTATAGTCATTTAGACAGATTACCTTCGCGTTCTTGGGTACAGGGGCTATGGTGGTCTACTTGAAACATGTAGGTATAACAGACTGGGTCAGGGAGAGGTTGACCTGTTTAAAAGGTCTTACTCACATCGGCTATGGAGCGTGTGATCACACAGTCGTCCGGAACAGCTGGTGCTCTCGCATTGTTCAGTGTTAGCATAGAAGGCATTTAGCTCGTCTGGTAGGCTCGCGTCACTGGGCATCTTGTGGCTGGGTTTCTCTTTGTAATCTGTGATAGTTTGCAAGCCCTGCCACATCCGGCGAGTGTCAGAGCCGATGTAGTAGGATTCGATCTTAGTCCTGTATTGATGCTTTGCCTGTTTGATGGTTCATCAGAGGGCGTAGCGGGATTTCTTATAAGGGTCCGGGTTAGTGTCCCGCTCCTTGAAAGCGGCAGCTCTAGCCTTTAGCTCGGTGAGGATGTTGCCTGTAATCGATGGCTTCTGGTTGGGATATGTACATATGGTCACTGTAGGGACGACGTTGTCGATGCACTTATTAATGAAGCCGATGACTGATGTGGTAAACTCCTCAAAGCCATTGAATGAGTCCCGGAACATATTCCAGTCTTTGCTAACAAAACAGTCCTGTAGTTTAGCATCCACTTCATCGGACCACTTCTGTATTGAGCATGTCACTGGTACGTCCTGTTTGATTTTTGGCTTGTAAGCAGGAATCAGGAGGATAGAGTAATGGTCAGATTTGCCAAATGGAGGGCAAGGGAAGCTTTGTATGCATCTCTGTGTGTGGAGTAAAGGTGATCTAGAGCTTATTCGCCTCTAGTTGCAAAGGTGACATGCTAGTAAAAATTAGGTAAGATGGATTTCAGTTTTCCTGCATTAAAATCAATGGCCACTAGGAGCGCCGCCTCTAGATGACTATTTTCTTGTTTGCTTTTGGCCCTATACAGCTGGTTGAGTGCGGTCTTAGTGCCAGCATCGGTTTGTGGTGGTAAATAGACCACTACAAAAAATATAGATGAAAACTTGGTAAATAGTATGGTCTACAGCTTATCGAGACTTCCTTAATATATTAGAGATCGCCAACCAGCTGTTAACAAAAGAGACACACACCACCCCCCTTGAGCTTACTGCCGTTCTGTCCTGCCAATGCATAGAAAAACCAGCTAAATGTGTATTATGCCCACACATCGGCCTCTATATCACCGTCTCTTTCTCTTCAGAGTGTCTGGGATTAGGGACTTGTCCAGGGTTAGCAGTATGTCGTGCTCCACCGACTCGTTGTAGTAGAAATCTTAATCAAAATCAAGCTTAGTTATCGCTGTTCTGACGTCCAGAAGCTCTTTTCGATCACAGTAAACTACGTCCGAAACATTATGTACAAAAAAAGTTAAGATCAGCGGGGTACAAAAACACAAAATCTGCAGCGTTTACTGTGAATGCTCCACAAATGCGGGAACATTGTGATTAAAAGCTGCATTGTCGACAACCCACGATCAAAATTGAATCCCGGCATACAGTGAGGGGAAAAAAGTATTTGATCCCCTGCTGATTTTGTACGTTTGTCCATTGACAAAGACATGATCAGTCTATAATTTTGATGGTAGGTTTATTTGAACAGTGAGAGACAGAATAACAACAAAAATTGATTTGCATTTTAATGAGGGAAATAAGTATTTGACCCCTCTGCAAAACCTGACTTAGTACTTGGTGGAAAAACCCTTGCTGGCAATCACAGAGGTCAGACGTTTCTTGTAGTTGGCCACCAGGTTTGCACACATCTCAGGAGGGATTTTGTCCCACTCCTCTTTGCATATCTTCTCCAAGTCATTAAGGTTTCGAGCCTGACGTTTGGCAACTCGAACCTTCAGCTCCCTCCACAGATTTTCTATGGGATTAAGGTCTGGAGACTGGCTAGGCCACTCCAGGACTTTAATGTGCTTCTTCTTGAGCCACTCCTTTGTTGCCTTGGCCGTGTATTTTGGGTGATTGTCATGCTGGAATACCCATCCACGACCCATTTTCAATGCCCTGGCTGAGGGAAGGAGGTTCTCACCCAAGATTTGACGGTACATGGCCCCGTCCATCGTCCCTTTGATGCGGTGAAGTTGTCCTGTCCCCTTAGCAGAAAAACACCTCCAAAGCATAATGTTTCCACCTCCATGTTTGACGGTGGGGATGGTGTTCTTGGGGTCATTGGCAGCATTCCTCCTCCTCCAAACACGGCGAGATGAGTTGATGCCAAAGAGTTCGATTTTGGTTTCATCTGACCACAACACTTTCACCCAGTTCTCCTCTGAATCATTCAGATGTTCATTGGCAAACTTCAGACGGCCCTGTATATGTGCTTTCTTGAGCAGGGGGACCTTGCGGGCGCTGCAGGATTTCAGTCCTTCACGGCGTAGTGTGTTACCAATTGTTTTCTTGGTGACTATGGTCCCAGCTGCCTTGTGATCATTGACAAGATCCTCCCGTGTAGTTCTGGGCTAATTCCTCACCGTTCTCATGATCATTGCAACTCCACAAGGTGAGATCTTGCATGGAGCCCCAGGCCGAGGGAGATTGACAGTTCTTTTGTGTTTCTTCCATTTGCGAATAATCGCACTAACTGTTGTCACCAAGCTGCTTGGTGATGGTCTTGTAGCCCATTCCAGCCTTGTGTAGGTCTACAATCTTGACCCTGACATCCTTGGAGAGCTCTTTGGTCTTGGCCACGGCGGAGAGTTTGGAATCTGATTGATTGATTGCTTCTGTGGACAGGTGTCTTTTATACAGGTAACAAGCTGAGATTAGGAGCACTCCCTTTAAGAGTGTGCTCCTAATCTCAGCTCGTTACCTGTATAAAAAGACACCTGGGAGCCAGAAATCTTTCTGATTGAGAGGGGGTCAAATACTTATTTCCCTCATTAAAATGCAAATCAATTTACATTACAACATTTTTGACAGGCATTTTTCTGGATTTTTTTGTTGTTATTCTGTCTCTCACTGTTCAAATAAACCTGCCATTAAAATTATAGACTGATCATGTCTTTGTCAGTGGGCAAACGTACAAAATCAGCAGGGGATCAAATACTTTTTCCCCTCACTGTAACCATGTCTTAAAGAGACAGAAAATGCTCCTTGCTTTTCTCTGATGCAGATATTTTCACAACATCAGTGAGAGGAGTCTACTACTTCAGATTTACTGCCATGGGTCATCTTACTCATATATACCTAAACCATAATGACCAGAGAATTATGGACAATGAGGAATACTTTCACCACCATGGCTATTGTAAGTATATGTCTAATGCATTGACTTTAGAGCTGGAAGAGATGTGGTCTACATGCGTCTCCCTTCAGGCAGGATGCTCTACGATACTTCTAGTAACCACGACACCTTCAGTGGCTTCCTGCTCTTCCCAATGTGAAGAGAACACCACCAATGCTGTAATGAACTCAGCGTAATGAACTCAATGCTGTCAACAGGCCCACACTGTTCTAACCAATAAATAAGCATAATAAAAAGCCACACGATTCTCTTTTGTTTCATTGACATTTTACCATTAAGTGATTGCAGTTCTAACAACAAATACTGATAAAGGTGGAGTTATTTAGCATACTGGTTAATGAGTGTGTAATAAAAAAATATATATACAGGTTTTATAGCATTTTTCAAGAACCCAAAGACGCTAGTCACTAGTCTAGTACAAGTCACTGGTCTTACCCGAGTCTCAAAGAACTTCTCCAGGACCTGTATCTCCTCCTGTGACCAGGGCCCAGTGTTCTCGGGGGTTACTTTGAGCTGCAGGGTCTGGTAGGTCTTTGGGTTAAGCGCCACGCGACACTTCAACACCTCCGTCTTGAACATGATCACACCCGGCTCGTTTGAGTTCACAATAGACAGCTGGAGAGAGGGAGGAGGGGAGGAGAGAGAGAAGGTTTATTATTGCCTCCCGAGTGGCGCAGTGGTCTAAGGCACTGCATCGCAGTACTAGCTGTGCCACTAGAGATCCTGGTTCGAATCCAGGCTCTGTCGTAGCCGGCCGCGACCGGGAGACCCATGGGGCGGCGCACAATTGGCCCAGCGTCATCCAGGGTAGGGGAGGGAATGGCCGGCAGGGATGTAGCTCAGTTGATAGAGCATGGCGTTTGCAACGCCAGGGTTGTGGGTTCGATTCCCACAGGGGGCCAGTATGGAAAAAATTATAATTTAAAAAATGTATGCACTCACTAACTGTAAGTCGCTCTGGATAAGAGCGTCTGCTAAATGACTAAAATGTAATGTAAAAATGTATAGTAGAAGAAAAATAGAAAGATTGTTCCACATTAGCTATATAAAGTAACACATCTACATGGAGAGATATGTCATTTTTGAAAGATCACATTTTAATGGGGGAAGGAAACTAGCCTCTATCTACTAATGCTTGGGCTGAAGGTTCAAGAGATTGAAGGTTGGGGAAAAGCAGTGGGGATAAGGGACAGCCCTGCAGAGAGCTTCTACCAAGGAGTTAGACAGAGATTAAGTGATTAGACTAGGGCTGGGCGATATGGCCTAAAAACCATCTCTATTTAAAAAAATGTTTTACTCTAAATAAGCATTGTTGTACAATTAAAGGTAAAATACAATGCATTTAAAACAGTCAGCAATAATCTAATGAATTCAGGGCTTGTGAAGTTATATGTAGGCTAAATAAAAGTCTTCCACAACCATAAAACTCACTAATAATTTAATGATTTTATCAAAATAGTTTAACCTGATCTTCTTTTGCCATAATCACTGATCTGGCTTCCAAGTCTGTCTAGGAAATGCACTTTTTTGCTACAAATTGAACTAGAACCATGTATAATACACATTCACTAATAAATTACTAACTTCTTGTAGCAGGCATTAGGCTATAAAACATTTACACAGGTCTCATCAACAATCTCTCAAGCCAACGTGCTAGTGATTAGCCAGCTAATCTTTATATTTCAAGTTTAGCCAACTTGGATCTATTTGCTAGCTAACAAGGTTGAACAGTTGAATTGTTATGAACACACCCTTCTGTCTGCCTCCAACTGTTTGAAAAGCATGTTAGCCTGTCTACTTTGTTCAGATGTTGAGATCAAGTGGCCTACCTTATTTCTCAGAATGAGAACGAGTTGCCAATTCCTTATATAATTGTGTTCTATGCTTATTGCACATTTATAAAACACAGACTAGACAGCTATTATAACAGTCTTTGGCTAAAATGCTGCTAGCGGTACGTGGTACCCCAACGACAAACTGAGCATACATTTTTCAGAATCAATGTTCATTGATACTCTCGTTTTAGTAGTGTCTGCTCTGCATGCAATTTGAGTAGTTGAGAAATAAAAAGGGCATCGTTAGACAAGTTAACTTCTCCTTAATTACAGTAAAATAATGTCTCAATGTGTTTTGGGTGTCCATATGACCGATTCTGTTAGACCAAACCTCAAATGCAAATAGCGAGTTGAAACCTCTTGTCAGAGAGGAAGATGTGATCTTTCAACTTTGTTGGCTTGAGAGGCAGGGGGAGGGGCTTGGCGTGTGTGTAAACCATAGAGGAAGAGGCTTTTTAACAGCTTCTACTCCCAAGCCATAAGACTCCAGAACAGCTAATCATGGCTACCCAGACTATTTGCATTGCCCCCCCGACCCCACCCACTCCCGTACGCTGCTGCTACTCTGTTATTATCTATGCATAGTCACTTTAACTTTACCCACATGTAAATGACCTCAATTACCTCGACTAACCGGTGCCCCCGCACATTGACTCTGTACCGGTACCCCCTGTATATAGCCTCGCTACTGTTATTTTATTTTACTGCTGCTCTTTAATTTTTTACTTATCTATTTTTTACTAACACTTATTCTTTTCTTAAAACTGCATTGTTGGTTAAGGGCTTGTAAGTAAGGATTTCACTGTAAATTGGGCTTCATTTGACATTAAGAAATGGGATGAAGAAATGGGATGAGAGATAGATGGTTAAGCTGAGGAGAGATAGGGTATGAACAGATGTTTCAGGACAGAGTTAACACTCACGTTAGCCTCCAGCTGGATGAGATGGAGAGAGAGAGATGGAGGGATGAAATGGAGAGAGGGAAAGAAGATGTGAGAAGGACAGAAATACATTGAAAACAAAAGCCAGAGGGTGAGTGAGGAAGGGACAGAAGAGGAGCAAGAAAGACAGAGAGAGCGACACTGAGACACCAAACAAGAAAGACAGAGAGAGCGACACAGACACCAAACAAGAAAGACAGAGATGGACTAAACTCAGAGATGACTCGACCACAGATCACCACTCACGTTGGGCTCTAGCTGGATGATCCTCTGCAGGTGGCGTCTCATGATGACCGAGCCCAGGAAGCGCTCCAGCGGAGAGCAGAGGTAACTTCCTGCCAGGCCCGGAACCAGGCAGGGGGTGGGCGAGGGCAGCAGCAGCACGTGCAAGGCATTGTGGGTGAGGATGGTGGGGATGGAGGCAGCCCAGGAGCGCTGTGGTAGCTTACGGGGCGGGGGCATACTGCTGGGCATTGCCCCGGAACCTGTAGAGGGAGACACACAGACATGCCATTTCTATACAGATTTTTTTAAATATGTATTTTTTATACACATTCATGAAGATGTCTTAACATCTTCAATATTTGGAAAACAGATCTGATTTTCAATGGAGTGGATTGTTATTCAGAGAGCAGGGTTTGCGCTATACGGTAATAGCCGGCTTTTGTCCGATAAAAAAATTGAAAAGCCGATAAATAAAATTGCCGCCGGCCCATTGTCCGGGAGAAGAAGAACAAAATCCCATTTATGAAATAATGCTTTTTAGCCTCTTGAATGATGGAAATACCAGTTGATGTACTGTAAATACATTTGACTGGTCATGCTTATCGTCTATTGGTTAATTTGCATAATTTAGTGGAATTAAATTGGCGCGTGTAGGCTACAGTATATACGTTATGTATCTTATTTATCACACGCATAGAACATACAGATACAGAGCCTTTGAGTGGAAAATCTGTCAGACAGTGGGAGAGCTGCTGCAGCAGCATCTTGAGGTGCTTTCAAGACAACTGGGAACTCTGAAAAATACGAGGTCAAATCATGACGTCAGTGATCTTCAGGACGGAAAGTCAGAGCTCTAGAAAGAGGCCAGAGTTCCCGAGTTGGAATTCCGAGTTGGATAACCGTTCAAAACTATTTTTCCCAGTCGGAGATAGTTCTTGTTCCCAGTTCCCAGTCGTCTTGAACGCACTGAAGTCGGACATTTCCGAGTTGTTCATCAGCGTGTCACACACCTCTTTTCAATGAGCTGGAGGCAGTATGCATTATGAAAACATATACTTAAATTGTTTGAAAGCTGAACATTTTAATACATAGCCTATTAGATCTCCATTTCTAACAGATATTTTAATTTCTGTCACATGAAACCGCTCGCATGTGCAGTTCCCTTTTGACAAGTGTTTTCCCGCTAATTGAATTATGGAACGAACATTCGTGCATAGCCTACGGCCTTGTGTGCATTGCTGCGCTTATAATGTGAAGAAATAATAGTTTTTTTGACCTGACGAAGATCCGTTACGGATCGAAACGTTATTAATAAAGAGGTGAATTGGGAGCTTTAACAGTGTGTGGGCCTTCTTGATCTTTACTAAGAAATAATAGTTTATCAACATTTTAAGCTAAACGTTCTGATCTTTTGCATCAGACTCATGTAGCCTAGGCCTACTGGTTGGATGAATTTAGGATCTATCGTCCCACAACAGTCCCAGAGTCTGTTTGGAAGAGGCTATTTCGATCTCGAAAAGCTGACTAATAGAATAGGTAGCCTAACATTTTCTACTATAATGGATTGACATAGGCTAGTGATTTTGTTGTTCGTTACTCGTCTGGTTGGCTGAGGAAAAGTAAATGTGGACAGTTATTCTAACATGTTCAAAGTGCACATAAGAATTCGGTAAGAAGGACAGCACATCGTTGCATCCTCGACTTGCATGTTCTGCTAATATGAATTATCATATTCTAAATGTGATTTGTCATTCTGAGCACAGTGTGTGGACGCCCTAATTAGGTTACGCACCCAATGCATATGGGTTCGGTAAATTTCTCAAATGGCCGGTAAATTAAAATGTTGCCAGTCAAATGTCCGGCGCCAACCCAGTCAGAGAGTCATGTATGGGGATGTAGAGAGTTTCTACAGTGTGTGTGTGTGTGTGGTACTCACTAGAGCCAGCGCGCGGGGAGTGTGAGGCGTCGGGGATGGGTGAGTGGAGTGAGGGGTTTCCAGGGGACATGCCGTGGATGCGAGCCCCAGGAGAGGGCCCTGAGACTTGGGGAGAGCCTGGCCACTGGCCCCTCTGGCTGGGAGACACCCTAGCATAGGGGGAGCTGGGGTCCAGAGCACCTGGGAAACATACAGACAGACATTCTAAACCTTTGTCTTTTTAACACACACACACACACACACACACACCATCATCTTCATCATCATCAATATAGTGTCCACTGATATTGTCATTGTCATCATCCTCCTCCTCAACATCACAGTCAAAAATAATCTTCTTAATACAAGTGGCCAGTTACATTGTCATGAACCCATTAGTGTACTCAGACAAACAGTCAGACATTAACCAAGACGCACTAAAACACACATAAACACACTGTCACGCTCTCAAACACTCACAAAGTGAAACACTTTCTCTCTCCCATTTACTCCCCAATTAAATCTCTCCACAGTTAAACCAAAGCTGGTCGGGCCCATAGCTATGCCCAGAGAGGAGGGAGACGGGGTCGGCCCAAAGGGAGAGGGGGCCCTCTATGCATGGATGGTCCCTGCGAGCACACACACACACACAGACCAAAAAGACTTGTCAGACACGGGCCAATAGGATCAGCTCACACACTCACATACATCCATTCATACACACACTCCTACACAGACACAGACACACACACACACACACAAGCTAAAGTTGGGCAGCAGACGCTGGCTCTAGGGCTGAGATGGGTGAGCAGGACTGGATAATGCTTCCTCCCTTCTGGTCTCAACTCTCTCACACTCAGTTTGCCATTCAGCATGTGCATGACCGCAGCGAAAGGGTGAACACACACACACGGAGTGACATCACTTAGCGGGTGGATGATGGGTGAGGAGAGGACCAGAGAGCATTTGGTCTTTTTCTTCTGCTCTGTCGAGGGATGCCAAGCACACATGGCACACGCCAGCACACCCACACCACTCCCAATCACCTGGGGACTGTGTAGGCACGTTGGGATGGTAAGAGGTGGGAGGGGAGGTGAGGGGAGGGTACACCCCCCCAGGACCCCCTCTCATTGGCTGTTGCTGCTGCTGGGCCTGTAATTGGTTCATAAAGGTGTCCATCATGTCGCCTCCCACCGGCGAGGGCGGGTTGTCGTCTTCATTGACGGAGCGTCGCCGAGCGTCCTGGTTACTGTCAACAAACATGTTGAGGAACGTCTGGGGGGGGGGGGGGGGGGCACATAAAGAAAAGAGAGAGACAGACAGAGAGAGAGATAAAGGGATAATTGAACCCAACATCAGATACTTTCATTCAACTGAAACTAGACACTTTCAAATTCCTGAAACAAATTATCCCCACACCCCGAGCCCTCTCCTCTCCCTCGTACCTTGAGCCCCGGGGCGGGGTAGAAGCCTTCCACGATCTTGGTGTTGTCGAAGAGGCTGTAGGCTCCATCTCGTATGGCCACCACCCCACGGCTGCGGCAGTAGATGTCGATGCAGTACATGTTGCGGAAGGCCAGGCGGATGTGTGTGGGTGACTGGGGCAGGATGGAGAAACACTGGTAGGCCGTGTTGGTGCGCTGGGTCAGCCCCAGCATGGGCACCGTGGGCAGCTTGTTGATGGCATTCAGAGGGGCCTGGGTGTCTGACAGCACCTGGTGAGGAGGGAGGAGAAAAGATTAGAAATGTTAGAAAATGAATGGAAAAGTAATGGAATGGAATTCAGGCTCCTTTGGTGGAGGTTGTGTTAGTACCAGTGCATGTGGCCCCTGTATAGTTAGGTTGTGTGTGTGTGTGTGTGCAGTACCTGTAGTAGCTGGACCACAGTAGGGGTCTTGTTGAACATCTCCTGTAGTTGATGCAGTATAATGTTGTGACAGTTACTACAGCCTGAGTTAGGGCCTACTGTCCCTAAAGAGAGATGGAACCTCTGGCTGCTACTGTTCCACTGGATGGTCACCTATAGGAGAGACAGAGGAGAGAGGGAGAGAGAGAGAAGGGTAGGGGGAGATGGAGGGAATGAGAGAGAGGGAGAGGGGGGTAGAGAGAGAGAGAGGGAGAGAGGGGTGGGGGGGGAATGAGAGACAGGGGGGTAGAGAGAGGGAGGTAGAGAGAGAGAGAGAGCGCGCAAGCGTCTCAATCAATCACATTTATTCATATAGTACTTTTTACAAACAGCATGCAAACGACGGAACATACAAGGCACTAGGGATGTGGCACAAATGTAAAAATTGTCTTAAACGTTTAAACAGCAAAAAAATAAATAAAACGTTTTTCTTTTTCAATAAGAACCTTTCATAAAATTCCACAGGAAATCCTATTGGGTATGACGGCTAGTGGGCAATTCAGTTCTCTCTAGCGTAGTCATCTGGAATCTGTTTGAGGCTGCCCGAACGGAAGACAACCGTAAATTCACGTTGGCTCTAGTGTTCCTTCCATTTGTTATGTGCATTAGCAATTCACAACAAAACAATGAACCTAGCTAGGTGATCACAGTTCTTCTCCTTACATTGCCTTTCACCTCTGTTACAGATCTCTCATTCAATTTCGATCCGACCCCTCCCTCTACACACACGCATACTGCGCACCCAAGCTCCCATTAGGCCTACAGAAATAACTGCCTATAAAAACATATCTAACTGATGGGATACACAACCAAAACTGTAGACAAGCTACACTCCTTGCCAAATCATAACAGCTTTATCACAAATTCAAAATAGGCTGGTTGATTAAAGTAGGGAAATATGTGTTCCAATCACGAGCCGCGGTTGAGGAATAATAGATGAGTCTTAAGCTTTTTTGCGAACTGCTCTAATGTGCCATTTAGAATACTGTAGGTTACAACCCCCCATAAACCTACAGTTGAAGTCGGAAGTTTACATACACCTTAGCCAAATACATTTAAACTCAGTTTTTCACAATTCCTGACATTTAATCCTAGTAAAAATTCCCTGTCATAGGTCAGTTAGGATCATCACTTTATTTTAAGAATGTGAAATGTCCGAATAATAGTAGAGAGAATAATTTCTTTCAGCTTTTATTTATTTCATCACATTCCCAGTGGGTCAGACGTTTACATACACTCAATTAGTATTTGGTAGCATTGCCTTAAAATGTTTTTAACTTGGGTCAAACGTTTCGGGTAGCCTTCCACAGGCTTCCCACAATAAGTTGGGTGAATTTTGGCCCATTCCTCCTGACAGAGCTGGTGTAACTGAGTCAGGTTTGTAGGCCTCCTTGCTCGCACACGCTTTTTCAGTTCTGCCCACATATTTTCTATAGGATTGAGGTCAGGGCTTTGTGATGGCCACTCCAATACCTTGACTTTGTTGTCCTTAAGCCATTTTGCCACAACTTTGGAAGTATGCTTGGGGTTATTGTCCATTTGGAAGACCCATTTGCGACTAAGCTTTAACTTCCTGACTGATGTCTTGAGATGTTGCTTCAATATATCCACATAATTTTTCTTCCTCATGATGCCATCTATTTTGTGAAGTGCAACTGTCCCTCCTGCAGCAAAGCACCCCCACAGCATGATGCTGCCACCCCCGTGCTTCACGGTTGGGATGGTGTTCTTCAGCTTGCAAGCAACCCCCTTTTTCCTCCAAACATAACAATGGTTATTATGGCCAAACAGTTCTATTTTTGTTTCATCAGACCAGAGGACATTTCTCCAAAAAGTACAATCTTTGTCCCCATGTGCAGTTGCAAACCGTAGTCTGGCTTTCTTTATGCCGGTTTTGGAGCAGTGGCTTCTTCCTTGCTGAGCGGCCTTTCAGGTTATGTCGATATAGGACTCGTTTTACTGTGGATATAGATACTTTTGTACCGGTTTCCTCCAGCATCTTCACAAGGTCCTTTGCTGTTGTTCTGGGATTGATTTGCACTTTTCGCACCAAAGTACGTTCATCTCTAGGAAACAGAACGCGTCTCCTTACTGAGCGGTATGACGGCTGCGTGGTCCCATGGTGTTTATACTTGGGTACTATTGTTTGTACAGATGAACGTGGTACCTTCAGGCGTTTGGAAATTGCTCCCAAGGATGAACCAGACTTGTGGAGGTCTACCATTTTTTTTCTGAGGTCTTGGCTGATTTCTTTTGATTTCCCCATGATGTCAAGCAAAGAGGCACTGAGTTTGAAGGTAGGCCTTGAAATACATCCACAGGTACACCTCCAACTGACTCAAATGATGTCAATTAGCCTATCAGAAGCTTCTAAAGCCATGACATCATTTTCTGGAATTTTCCAAGCTGTTTAAAGGCACAGTCAACTTAGTGTATGTAAACTTCTGACCCACTGGAATTGTGAAACAGTGAATTATAAGTTAGAAAATCTGTCTGTAAACAATTGTTGGAAAAATGACTTGTGTCATGCACAAAGTAGATGTCCTAACCGACTTGCCAAAACTATAGTTTGTTAACAAGAAATTTGTGGAGTGGTTGAAAAACGAGTTTTAATGACTCCAACCTAAGTGTATGTAAACTTCCGACTTCAACTATAAGCAGGTTTCAGACTGAAATATGCAACAAAAACATTGTTTAGATGAAGGCAAATGGTGTATTCATTAGTCTAGGGGCTACTTTTGCACACACTGTATATATATTTTCTGTTGTATATTTTGACTTTGTTTTTTTTTACCCCATATGTAACTCTGTGTTGTTGTTTTTATCGCGCTGCTTTGCTTTATCTTGGCCAGGTCACAGTTGTAAATGAGAACTTGTTCTCAACTGGCTTACCTGGTTAAATAAAGGTTAAATAAAAATAAATAAAAACTTTGTTTCATGTTTAACAAAAGCCAAGTTTAAGCTCACTAATCAAAAACAGGACAAAAGAAAAACACATGCCAAATGTGGGTCTCTACTGGCTAAAAAAAGGGAAAAATTGTAGCTTTCTAATGATGTTAACTGTATGTCTCAACTCCCATTATAAAGGGAATAACACCCTGTTGAAACTGGAGTAAACAGTGAAATTGATGAGGAAGATGCACCTGTTTCAGTAGTGCGAGTCGCGGCTCAAACGGCGCTTGCAGCCCTTCATTTAGCAAATTACCAAGCAACTCAAGTAGGCCATTGATACTGGCTGCATTTCAACTGCAATCATTTCTGTAATCAGCTTTCCCCCCAAACTGTTAACGACTACGATGTGCGGAGTGCTTTATATACGTGGTAAGCAATTTGAAAGATGCATATCACCTCTTACTAACTTTACAGCCTATTTGATCAATTAAAATGTTTCCCGTTATGATGACGATGATGACGATGATGATGATGGGGACTTGTTAGTGGCAATTTTATGAGAAAAAAAACACAAAAAAAAACATTGTTTTTCATGTGTGGATTTTTTTTCTATACGTTAACGATTCAATTCAGTTGAAACGTTCACACCCCTACAAGGGACCATGCACTCCCTAGTTGGGAAGGAACCTTGAGAGGAACTAGCGGCGGGCTAGAGTTCAGACAGGGCATTGGTGTAATGCTACTCACTGAGCTGCCCTTGGTGCTGCCGTAACACAGGACCAGTTTGCGGTAGTTATACAGCCGGATCTCACTGAACAGACTCAGGTAGGAAGGCATCTCTAAGAGAGGGAGAAAACATATTAGTAAAGTAGGTCAATACAAATGGTAATGTGTTCACTCACCTTTTAACTGTATGATTTATTCCCCACTCTCGTACTGCAAATGTTCTCACACACACACACACACACACACACACCTGGTAGTGATCGTGAGAACACCAGGACACACTGGTAGAGCTGGTTGATGGCGCTCCAGTCGTTGAGGAACATCTCCACCACCTTCCTCCCTCCCACAGGCTCAGACAGAGGGTTCTCATAGGTCAGATACACATGGCGCGTAGAGGCTGGAAACACACACAGAACAGGGAGAGATAAGGGCACAGTTTGGGTAGAGTGTGTGTGTGTGTGTGTATGTGCGTTTCTTTGTGTGGTGTTTTTTGGGTGTCCATATGCGTGTGTTTCTGTGTGTGTTTGTACCTTGCTCTTTGCTGTGTGTGCTGTTGAGTGGGCAGTTGGCCAGAACCAGTTCTGCCACCCATGTGCGGTTGTTCCGGCCCTGCAGACGGAAGGTGCAGTCCAGTAGAGAGTGCTCCAAAGCCAGCCTCGTCTCCTCCCCTACACCCTTACTGGGTGGGATCCTAGGGAGGGGGAGAGGACCACATGGGGTCAGGTACATAGTACATACTGTACATCAATCACTAAAATAAAGGGTACAAAACCATCATCTTTATCTATCATCTTTGTTTTGGGGGCATGTTAGTTCACTGCGAGAAAATCATATTAGAATCATATTAGAATTTTCTTTAAAAATTCCAATTGACTTCCATATTATTAGGCAGTGCCACTGACATCTGGATTTGCATGGTATCGTGGGATGTGGAGTCTTACTTGAGGATGCGGATGGCGTGGCTGCAGCCATCTCCCTCCACCTGCACACCCTGGTGGGGAATCTCCATCTGAGACAGCTGGACAGAGGAGAGACACATGTTAGACAGAGGAGGAATGTAGATGAGAGAGAGGAGAGGTGAGGAATCTCCATAAAATATAGCTGGACAGAGGAGAGAAACAGAGAGCAGGAGGGATGGATGAGGACAGGGATGATGAAGATAGACGGTGGAGACGGAGTGGTGGAGACGGAGTGGTGGAGACGGCGTGGTGGAGACGGCGTGGTGGAGACGGCGTGGTGGAGACGGCGTGGTGGAGACGGCGTGGTGGAGACGGAGTGGTGGAGACGGAGTGGTGGAGACGGCGTGGTGGAGACGGCGTGGTGGAAAAGTAAAAAGTGAGGAAGAGAGTTGTAAGATGTAGAGAAGAGAGAGAATAAAAGGGCGTACTCCCTCCATCCATACCTCCACTCTGAGGCCTATGAAGGGCATGTTGGTGTCACACATGGCCACTAGGTGAGCCAGCTCCTTGTTAAAGGCAGACATCTCCCCCGAGCGCTTGGGCTTCTTGGGCTCCAGAGCTCCCTGGTCTCCTGATAACTGGAGGACAAAGAGAGAGAGAGAGGAGATGACCCAACACCTAATGACGATAAATAATAATACATTTCATTTATAACACATGCTCTGAAAATATCAAGGTTTATATGTATGTTATAAGGATTTTTCCTCGGTTTACTCCTTTTAGGACATGGTTTCAGATTGTCTATATATAAATAATTGTAACCCATACAAGCAGTTCGCAATCCATTCCTACTTTTCTCTTAGCTCCAGGGCGGGCCCCTCGGCCAGCGGAATTGTCCAGGACGAGCTGCTCCAGGTTGGGCTTGAAGTGCTGCAGGAGCTGGGCGCATGGAGGTCCCTCCTCACCTTCCAACTGAGACACAGACAGGAAGGAGTACTTGTACTGCAGCTCTGTGGGACAGCCAGGCACGTCCAGCATCTCCACCACCTAGGGAGGGAGGGAAAGGTAGACGGGTGCAAAAGAAGGGAGATAGGGGAAGGAGAAAAATTAAATAGTGGGAAAGTTGTGCATGGTTAATATACAGTACCAGTCAAAAGTTTGGACACACCTACTCATTCAAGGGTTTTTCTTTATTTTGACTATTATCTACATTGTAGAATAATAGTGAAGACATCAAAACTATGAAATAACACATATGGGATCATGTAGTAATCAAACAAGTCTTAAACAAATCAAAATATATGTTATATTTGAGATTCTTTAAATAGCCACCCTTTGCCTTGATGACAGCTTTGCACAGTCTTGGCATTCTCTCAACCAGCTTCACCTGGAATGCTTTTCCAACAGTCTTGAAGGAGTTCCCACATATGCTGAGCACTTGTTGGCTGCTTTTCCTTCACTCTGCGGTCCGACTCATCCCAAACCATCTCAATTGAGTTGAGGTCGGGGGATTGTGGAGGTCAGGTCATTTGATGCAGCACTCCATCACTCTCCTACTTGGTAAAATAGCCCTTACACAGACTCGAGGTGTGTTGGGTCATTGTCCTGTTGAAAAACAAATGATATCCCATCTGGTTTGGGCTTAGTGGGACTGGCGTATCGCTGCAGAATGCTGTGGTAGCCATGCTGGTTAAGTGTGCCTTGAATTCTAAATAAATCAAAGACAGTGTCACCAGCAAAGCACCTCCACACCATAACACCTCCTCCTCCATGCTTTACAGTAGGAAATACACATGCGGAGAGCATCCATTCAACCCACACGCGTCTCACAAAGACACAGTAGTTTGAACCAAAAATCTCAAATTTGGACTCCAGACCAAAGGACACATTTCCACCAGTCTAATGTCCATTGCTCGTGTTTCTTGGCCCAAGCGGGTCTCTTCTTCTTATTGGTGTCCTTTAGAAGTGGTTTCTTTGCAGCAATTCGACCATGAAGGCCTGATTCACACTGTCCTCTCTGAACAGTTGATGTTGAGATGTGTCTGTTACTTGAACTCTGTGAAGCATTTATTTGGGCTGCAATTTCTGAGGCTGGTAACTCTACTGAACTTATCCTCTGCAGCAGAGGTAACTCTGGGTCTTCCATCCCTGTGGTGGTCCTCATGAGAACCAGTTTCATCATAGCGCTCGATGGTTTTTGCGACTGCACTTGAAGAAACTTTCAAAGTCCTTTCAATTTTCCATATTGACTGACCTTCATGTCTTAAAGTAATGATGAACTGTCGTTTCTCTTTGCTTATTTGAGCTGTTCTTGCCATAATATGGACTTGGTCTTTTACCAAATAGGGCTATCTTCTATATACCATCCCTACCTTGTCACAACACAACTGATTGGCTCAAACGCATTAAGAAGGAAAGAGATTCCACAAATTAACTTTTAAGAAGGCACACCTGTTAATCAAAACTATGAAATAACACATATGGAATCATGTAGTAACCAAAAGTGTTAAACAAATCAAAATATATTTGAGATTCTTCAAATAGCCTCCCTTTGCCCTGATGACAGCATTGCACACTATTGGCATTTTCTCAACCAGCTTCATGAGGTAGTCACCTGGAATGCATTTCAATTAACAGGTGTGCCTTCTTAAAAGTTAATTTGTGGAATCTCTTTCCTTCTTAATGCGTTTGAGCCAATCAGTTGTGTTGTGACAAGGTAGGGATGGTATATAGAAGATAGCCCTATTTGGTAAAAGACCAAGTCCATATTATGGCAAGAACAGCTCAAATAAGCAAAGAGAAACAACAGTCCATCATTACTTTAAGACATGAAGGACAGCCAATACGGACAATTTCAAGAACTTTGAAAGTTTTTTCAAGTCATTCTGCAGCGATACGCCATCCCATCTGGTTTGGGCTTAGTGGGACTATAATTTATTTTTCAACAGGACAATGACCCAACACACCTCCAGGCTGTGTAAGGGCTATTTTACCAAGAAGGAGAGTGATGGAGTGCTGCATCAAATGACCTGGCCTCCACAATCCCTCGACCTCAACCCAATTGAGATGGTTTGGGATGAGTCGGACCGCAGAGTGAAGGAAAAGCAGCCAACAAGTGCTCAGCATATGTGGGAACTCCTTCAAGACTGTTGGAAAAGCATTCCAGGTGAAGCTGGTTGAGAGAATGCCAAGACTGTGCAAAGCTGTCATCAAGGCAAAGAGTGGCTATTTGAAGAATCTCAAATATAACATATATTTTGATTTGTTTAACACCTTTTTATTTACTACATGATTCCATATGTGTTATTTCATAGTTTTGATGTCTTTACTATTATTCTACAATGTAGAAAATAAAGAATGAGTAGGTGTGACTGGATATATATATATATATATATACACATTTTCTTGTTTGCTACAAACTAATTGCTTCTTTGTGACAAATAATAGGCATAAGGTGGGAGGGGCTTACAATGTAATACTGTGGTAGGCGGGTCAGCTGGATGAAGAGCCTGTGTTTTGACAGGCTGCCAGCAGGGTGCGAAGCGGAGTTGGAGAGGTGTAGTAAGTCTGTGCAGATAGTTGGGAGGTGTTTCACAGACTGTCTACACCTCTGCTCTCCTAACCAAAACCTGGAGGGAGGGAGAAGAGTGGAGACAGAAATTTGACACATTGTCCAAATAGGCCAGACTCTGCCAGCGAGCAGCTATATCACGGTCCTACATTTACACATCAGTAGCACTATACAAACAGGCCATTTCCTGGCCAGATTATACTATCATAGAACTAGAATCCCAGAACATTTACTTAAACGCAATACCCTTTCTAGTAATTCTATTTCTATGCATATCACACTATGACAGGGCAGCGCTTACAGGCGATAGACCAAATTCACATAGAGATGTGAGTTATAGACCTGTCATTCTCATTGAAAGCAAGAAGCTCTAAATCTGTGCTATGTGCGCTATTTCTATGCTTCCCGTTCTTAAGTTTCCTTCCTGCGTCTTTTACTTTCAGTTTTATATACCAGCTTCAAAACAGCTGAAACAATAGTTTCGGTTATGGAAAATATATTTCACAGCGGTTTAGATGGTACCCTTTCCCTTACAATGATTCTCTACACGATACTTGCTTGTTTGTCACATAAACTGAAATGAAGCGAACTATTCAAATTTTTGTAACCAGGAAATGGCGTAGCGATTTCTGGATAGTGCATGTTTAAGATATTCTTAGCCTGCATTGAAGCACATTTTAATGAAAATACAGTTTATTCTCACACACACACATAACAGACACAATGCTAAACACTGTGTTAGGGCAGAAGAGGAGGAAACGGGACAATATCTGTTCTCGTATTCATATAGGTATACTACAAAGTATAGACTACTAATGTACTAGGGTGAAGCACTTTGCATACTAAATAGTGTCCCAGTGTGGATATGGAGGTATGAAGGCCTTCTGAGGAGGAGTGATAAGCCACATGACAGGCAGTTGACACAGAGAGAGACAGAGACAGATAGAGAGACAGAGATAGAGAGAGACAGAGACAGAGATAGAGAGACAGAGACAGAGACAGAGACAGAGACAGAGAGAGACAGAGACACAGAGAGAGACGGAGAGAGACAGAGAGAGACAGAGACAGGAGGTGGATTTACTTGAGCTGCTGTAGCCAGGATATGATGCGCTTCATGTCGTCGTTGATGGTCTTCTCGATGTCGTCCAGCATGGATTGATCTGGAGACAGAGACAGACAGTGGAAGTCAGAACAGTGTATGTGTACGTTTGTGTGTGTCTCCCTGCTTACCGATGTGTTGTGTGTGTGTGTGTGTATGAGTGTCTGCTACTCTCTGCTTACCGATCCCATACAGCATGGGCTGGAACATCCCAGAGTGCAGGTCTACGAAGATATGCAGGCACTCAGAGCGTCCGCAGGGCTCCAGGATAGGTATGACCAGGGTGGGCAGAGCGGTCTCTATGAACGCTGAAACACAGGCAAGGAGGGACAACAATAAATAACAACAATAATGTCACACACTGACAACATGGTTGTTTCTCTCCACAACACTGTTCATTTCATTCTGGGTCAGTGTCGTTGGATCAGTTAGTGTACTGATAAGTCAGAGAGGACAGAGAGACTCACAGCTGTCGCTGGGGTTGCTGCTCTTCAGGATGGCTTTCAGCTCCTGCAGCTTCTGATGAGAGCGGGCGTGCACACTGTCAATCAAAAGCTTCTCCACTGACAAGTGGTCAATCTACAGGAGGGGGCAGGAACAGAGACAGGAAATGAGGTCATCATCACAACAAAATAATAGTAGAGCACTGTAGCTGTGAGAAACGAGGCGTTAGCTCACCTTCATGGCTCTCTCCATCAGTCTGGAGTCACAGGCGGGGAGCGGGGGATCATGGGAGATCTGCAGAGGCTTGGAGCCGTCTGATTCATCAATCTTGATGGTGACTTTGTGGACCGACGCAGTGCCCGTCTTTCTGCCCAGGACCTGTTGGCTGGAGAGGGGGGGAGGAGAGAGAGAGAGAGAGAGAGAGAGAGAGAGAGAGAGAGGGAGGGTGAGAGGAGAGCGAGAGGGGGAGAGAGAGAGAGCGAAAGGGGGAGAGAGAGAGGAGGGAGGGGAGAGAGAGAGAGAGGGGGGGGAGCGAGAGAGAGGGGGGGAGAGAGAGAGAGGGGGGAGAGAGAGGGGGGGAGCGAGGGGAGAGAGAGAGAGAGGGGAGAGAGAGAGAGAGGGGGGGAGAGAGGGAAAGAGAGAGAGAGGGAGAGAGGGAGAGAGAGGGAGCGAGAGAGAGGAGAGCGAGAGGAGAGCGAGGGGTGAAATGATGATGGACCAATTTCCCTGTGATGACGTATTCATTCAACTAATTAACCAACCAATCAAGTGTTTCTTACTTCCAGACGGCCAGTGTGAGGCACTTGGCAGGCATGTAGCGTTCCACCTGCACCAGGTCTCCCCAGCGCTCTCGGTACAGCATGAGGGTCTGGGAGTGGAGCACCTCCAGCTGCAGAGACAGGCAGAAAGAGTCTGGACGGGAGGGGGTCAAGGAAGGGCTGGGCCAGGAGGATGGCATACACACATATTCACAATACACACAGATACACAAATGCAGACACACCCATGCTGACTGTGTATGTGTGTGGTGTATGGACGCTGGCAGGATCCAGCTGGCGGTTATACTTGCTACGGAGCAAAACTAATGAAAAATATATAAAATGGGAAAAACACACTTGCTACAGAGTTGTGTTAAGGTTAATTTGACTGATAGAAACAAATCTTTCAACCTATTTAATTATTGGTGGTCTATTGGGCATAACGGTATTATAAATACATGTAGCATTCTTTTTGTGTGTGACAGTGTTATATCTAATGTTGTTATAACCCCATTATCTTGATGGACAGTGCAGTGAAAACATGGGAGGGTAACTAGCAGCTGCTGGGGGTTGCCAGATGCATTTCTGCCATAACTACTGCCATCTTGAAAAATGTCCCAGGTCCACATTTCCCACTGAGCAACAGGCCCATAACACTACACCAGTTTTTTCTCAATCTTGAATGTGTGTGTTTGTATATATATGCAGGTGCGTGTGTTCATGTGTTGAATTGCTTTCTCATTTCACACTAAATAGTATATGAAATGTCTATATTTCTGCTTGGTTCATGGAACCTGATGAACCGAAAGACATTGTGTGGCTGTTTGGCTGAGGCAGTCCCTGACCCCGAGGCCTCGACCATTGGAATGCTGTTGGTGTCTGGGCCTGCTGTATGCATGATCACTACCGGTCAATACAGTACACGCACACACACAATTACATTCACTGCAGCAGCTCAAGCCAGACTTGGCCCTGAGCTCACTGTCTGCACAGAAGCAGCACACACACACACACACACACACACAAACAGAAAGGATACGCAGGCAGCTGTACATGTCCTGCAGTGGTTTCTCGTCTGCAAACAGGCGCGACTGCACCAGCTCATGGATGAAGTTCACCTGCATACTGTGGACAAGAGCTCTGCAGTCTGAAAGGAGGGGGCGGGGGGAGGATGGAGGGGAAAAGATTGAAAATGTTGAACACTGGGCCTTTCATTTCCAACCTTCCTTCATCTCACCAGTTAGTAGTAGGTTTTGTGTGCTTGGTGTTAGTAGTGGGTTCTGTGGGTTGTGTGTGTTATTAGTAGGTTCTGTGTGTTAGTAGTGGGTTCTGTGGGTTAGTAGTGGGTTCTGTGGGTTAGTAGTGGGTTCTGTATGTTAGTAGTGGGTTCTGTGTGTTAGTAGTGGGTTCTGTGTGTTAGTAGTGGGTTGTGTGTGTTAGTAGTGTGTTAGTAGTGCATTATGTGTGTTAGTAGTGGGTTCTGTGTGTTAGTAGTGGGTTCTGTGGGTTCTGTGTGTTAGCAGTGGGTTCTGTGTGTTAGCAGTGGGTTCTGTGTGTTAGCAGTGGGTTCTGTGTGTTAGCAGTGGGTTCTGTGTGTTTGGTGTGTGGTCATTCAGGTGTTGTGTATCTTACCTCCAGTCTCCTTGTCTTCCACCAGTATCTCCAGCTTCAACAGTCTCCAGGGAATATCTGGGTCATCCCCCATCACTGTCAGAGTGGCCTCAAACTCCCCCTCCACGCGGAACTTCACACGCCCGTTAACTACAACACACACACAATATATAATGGTTGCCACCTTTGCAATAGCCAGAAACTGTCTTGCTGTGTGATGTTTACCCATGGAGAGGTTGGCCAGCTTTGTGTGTGTGTAGTTTTTTTTTCCTGGAACAAAAAGGGGCGTGGTCCACCCGTCAGCGCCACTGGATTTTGGTGGTGCAGAGAACTTTTGGAATATTAAAGCAAATTCTCTGCAATTCTACAAATTTCTCCATGGAGCTGAGATAAATTGTTTCATTTTTAAAGCTAATTTCCTGAGATTCTACATATTCTGCCATGGAACAGAAAACATTTTGCAGTTTTAATGCTAATGTCCTATTCTATGCATTTTGCCATGGCTAATGCTGTGATCTTACGCGCAAACATAACAGCAAAGTCAATACTACATTGCTGCGGGGACTTGCTTCCATTCAGCCACAAGAGCATTAGTGAGGTTGGGCACTGATGTTGGGCGATTAGGCCTGGCTCACAGTCAGAGTTCCAATTCATCCCAAAAGAGTTCGATGGGGTTGAGGTCAGGGCTCTCTGCAGGCCAGTCAAGTTCTTCCACACCGATCTCAACAAACCATTTCTGTATGGACCTCGCATTGTGCACAGGGGCATTGTCATGCTGAAACAGGAAAGGGCCTTCTCCAAACTGTTGCCACAAAGTTGGAAACACAGAATCGTCTAGAATGTCATTGTATGTTGTAGCATTAAGATTTCCCTTCACTGGAACTAAGGGGCCTAGCCCGAACCATGAAAAACAGCCCAGACCATTATTCCTCCTCCACCAAACTTTACAGTTGGCACTATGCATTGGGGCAGGTAGCGTTCTCCTGGCCTTTGCCAAACCCAGATTCGTCCGTCGGCCTGCCAGATGGTGCAGCGTGATTCATCACTCAAGAGAACGCGTTTCCACTGCTCCAGAGTCCAATGGCGGCGAGCTTTACACCAACGTTTGGCATTGTGCATGGTGATCTTAGGCTTGTGTGCGGCTGCTCGGACATGGAACCCATTTCATTAAGCTCCCGATGAACAGTTATTGTGCTGACGTTGCTTCCAGAGGCAGTTTGGAACTCGGTAGTGAGTGTTGCAACCGAGGACAGATAATTTTTATGCGATATGCGCTTCAGCACTCGGCGTTCCCTTTCTGTGAGCTTGTGTGGCCTACCACTTCGCGGCTGAGCCGTTGTTGCTCCTAGATGTTTCCGCTTCACAATAACAGCCCTTACAGTTGACCAGAGCAGCTCTAGCAGGGCAGAAATTTGACGAACTGACTTGTTGGAAAGGTTGAATCCTATGACGGTGTCACGTTGAAAGTCACTGAGCTCTTCAGTAAGGCCATTCTACTGCCAATGTTTGTCTATGGAGATTGTATGGCTGTGTGCTCGATTTTAAACACCTGTCAGCAACGGGTGTGGCTGAAATAGCCGAATCCACTAATTTGAAGGGGTGTCCACAATATCTACAGTGGGGAAAAAAAGTATTTAGTCAGCCACCAATTGTGCAAGTTCTCCCACTTAAAAAGATGAGAGAGGCCTGTAATTTTCATCATAGGTACACGTCAACTATGACAGAGAAAATGAGGGAAAAAAATCCAGAAAATCACATTGTAGGATTTTTAATGAATTTATTTGCAAATTATGGTGGAAAATAAGTATTTGGTCAATAACAAAAGTTTCTCAATACTTTGTTATATACCCTTTGTTGGCAATGACACAGGTCAAACGTTTTCTGTAAGTCTTCACAAGGTTTTCACACACTGTTGCTGGTATTTTGGCCCATTCCTCCATGCAGATCTCCTCTAGAGCAGTGATGTTTTGGGGCTGTCGCTGGGCAATACAGACTTTCAACTCCCGCCAAAGATTTTCTATGGGGTTGAGATCTGGAGACTGGCTAGGCCACTCCAGGACCTTGAAATGCTTCTTACGAAGCCACTCCTTCGTTGCCCGGGCAGTGTGTTTGGGATCATTGTCATGTTGAAAGACCCAGCCACGTTTCATCTTCAATGCCCTTGCTGATGGAAGGAGGTTTTCACTCAAAATCTAATGATACATGGCCCCATTCATTCTTTCCTTTACACGGATCAGTCGTCCTGGTCCCTTTGCAGAAAAACAGCCCCAAAGCATGATGTTTCCACCCCCATGCTTCACAGTAGGTATGGTGTTCTTTGGATGCAACTCAGCATTCTTTGTCCTCCAAACACGACGAGTTGAGTTTTTACCAAAAAGTTCTATTTTGGTTTCATCTGACATTCTCCCAATCCTCTTCTGGATCATCCAAATGCACTCTAGCAAACTTCAGACGGGCCTGGACATGTACTGGCTTAAGCAGAGGGACACGTCTGGTACTGCAGGATTTGAGTCCCTGGCAGCGTAGTGTGTTACTGATGGTAGGCTTTGTTACTTTGGTCCCAGCTCTCTGCAGGTCATTCACTAGGTCCCCCCGTGTGGTTCTGGGATTTTTGCTTGTGATCATTTTGACCCCACAGGGTGAGATCTTGCGTGGAGCCCCAGATCGAGGGAGATTATCAGTGGTCTTGTATGTCTTCCATTTCCTAATAATTGCTCCCACAGTTGATTTCTTCAAACCAAGCTGCTTACCTATTGCAGATTCAGTCTTCCCAGCCTGGTGCAGGTCTACAATTGTGTTTCTGGTGTCCTTTGACAGCTCTTTGGTCTTGGCCATAGTGGAGTTTGGAGTGTGACTGTTTGAGGTTGTAGACAGGTGTCTTTTATACTGATAACAAGTTCAAACAGGTGCCATTAATACAGGTAACGAGTGGAGGACAGAGGAGCCTCTTAAAGAAGAAGATACAGGTCTGTGAGAGCCAGAAATCTTGCTTGTTTGTAGGTGACCAAATACTTATTTTCCACCATAATTTGCAAATAAATTCATAAAAAATCCTACAATGTGATTTTCTGGATGTTTTTTTCTTCATTTTGTCTGTCATAGTTGACGTGTACCTATGATGAAAATTACAGGCCTCTCTCATCTTTTTAAGTGGGAGAACTTGCACAATTGGTGGCTGACTAAATACTTTTTTTCCCCACTGTATATATATTTTTTACACTGTTTGAACTTAAGCATTTCTTCGGGATGCCTAGGTGGCCCGCCCAAGGATTTCAATGGAAGCCTGTGTGTGTGTGTGTGTGTGTGTGTGTGTGGTTGTGCGTGTGTTTCTTACCCACGGTGAGGTTGGCTAGCTGAGGTGGTAGGTCTGTTGTGACAAGACGATGTCGCAGGATCTGATTGAGCTGGTTCAGGGTTGTCTGTTTCTCCACTTTAGTGATGGGGTCTGGAGGAATGATCTTATCCTACACACACACACACACACCACACAAACATGGCTGTCAATGCACTGGCCCAAATAGGGCTTCAGATTTATCCGTCCCTATTCCACAGTCCCGTCCAGTTGGTGGCGGTAACGCACTACTAACGGTATATGTGTTTGTGCACATATGTACATCACGCACACAAACGAAGAGTACAGAGTACATGAAGGACAAAATTGCTGGCTAAACCAGACAACCAGACACCATGGCTACTTCAGCCACAGTAGCTAATGAACACAGAGACATCAGGCGCCTCATTATATTTAAACACAGAGGCATCAGACGCCTCATTATATTTGACCAATGACCACTATTTAACCAGGCAAGTCAACAGAGAACCAGCTATCATTTATAATAAAGAGGCCTGGTCAAGAGGCCAAAACACACCAATACAATAAGAATAAATAACAGAAAGATGGACAACACAGACCAGTTAGGGGTGTCTTACCCTTATGCAGGTGGGCAGGCGCGGGTATGACCCAGTGGTGAGCACATCGATGGCAAACGGGATGGCAAAGCTGGGCAGGCGAGCGTGCACCAGGGCATCCCTCGCCAGTGATGCCAGCCTATCAGCCGTGTCCACAAACAGGAAGGCCTGCTGGTCCAGGAAGCTGGAGATCATCTGTTACCATGGAAACCGGAGGTTAGGGATTAGAGGTAGGGTTAGCGTACGACTTTTAATGACTACTAAGTAGTACTAATTTGAATAATGTGCAAGTAGTTCTAACTCAAAGTGTCACGTAAACAATGCATTGATGTCAGTGGGGAAAATGGTGAGAAGGTTGGAGTTGTATGTGCATAACTCAAGCTAGTATCTGATTGTGTATGCCCACTGTGAGAATATGATTGGTGTAGTAGAGTACTGTAGTCTTGCCTACATACCGCACACTTCTCCACCTTCCCAGCATTGCTGGCCCATTTCACCAGGGCAAGGAGACGCACAAACAGCTGCCTGGTCCGACTAGAAAACTGGACAATCTCGATTTTTCTGTCAGAAACAGTAGAAAAGTACAGTAGACAAGTTTTCAAACTCATTGGCACCAATGGTCAAAGAAGAGGCAAACATTTGCCTGTCACATACAACATTCCCATTTTGACAAGTCCATTTCATCAGTGAGCACACAGAGTGAACCAAGAGACACACTTACCGTTCCATGTCTGTTTTTCTGGGTAGACTGCAAGAAAGACAGAAACACTATGGGTAACTTTCAGATATCACAACGTCATTTTACCACATCATATGAACACAGAAAATAAAGGAATCTCAATTAATATGGACGCAAGGGTGAAAGAAATGGGTGAAATAAAAGATTCCAAGTAGGCTACTTGCACAACTAGCTACTTTCCAATCATTTTGCCATGAAACAAAACACATCTTAACCACTATTTTGAGCCTGAGGGACCAGGATCAGATATGTCAACATTAACATCCCACTTGACGGGGTCTCGTCATTAGTTACTTACAGTTCACCCAACAGGGTGATTTCATGGTAGGTCCTCTGCAGAAGAAACTCAATCAGCAGGCTCAGCCGGACCCCTTGGGTCGCCGAAGGTCCGGATGAAGGCGGTTGGGTGGCCGAGGTGGGACCCCCGATAGGGACCAATTGCCCATCTGATCCAATCTGCACTGGAGCCATTTTAAAATAACAAGGTAAGCGCCACCGATGGACACCGAAAAAAATAAAAACTACCGACTCGCAATTACTTCAAACTGGAACAAATTTTACACGTATTCTACACCATTTCGCGCGATGTAATTATTAAGTAAGGGCTCGGCGTCTTCGCCCCATAGAAACGTCGGAAAATACCCGCGTTTTAATGGCTTATTACAGAAAATATTCAATGCTGTTCAACCGCCATCTTTACTGTCTGACGGGAAGTGATCACAGTTAGGTGGAAAGGAATACCCGTACACGGATTACATGGATTGGAGAAACAATCATTAAAATAACCAAACGGAAGGAGTCGTTCGTGTTTACTCTCCTGTTCCAGGATCAGTATTCATTCACTAGGTTCTTTGTCAATTAGTTCAGGCCAGAAACAATTAAACTGTTCCTGATCAGCGCCAGTGGTTCTGTGAGTGATAATAAATGTAACCAATCAGTGGTATTTTAACTATATAACATATTTTCCTCACAGTTTGAAACATCCACCACATTTATCATATCTATTCGGCTTTTATAATATGTCCTCCTGTCATTTCGTATGGGAAATTGTGCATGACATTACATTATTTGTCCCTGAGGAGAACATACAGACAAAACAAAATACATGACAAAACAAATAGACACATACACTGGTGTAAATATGATATATTTCAAGGATTGATGTGCGTTGTCCCTGTCAAATAAATTAAATGAAACTTCAGTATACGATTTGATACATTTCAACTCCCCATAGACCTGAATGGCTGGTAAAGAAAAACAATTAAAGCCATAGAATATATTGGCAGTGCCAGAGTCAATGGTAACGGTATTAGGGGGGAATTCCGATTGGAATACCTGCTGACTCCTCAATTCCCAGAGGCAGGTAATAGGAATTATTTTCCCATACTTTCCTTTTCCTTTTTACAGGATGATACGTAGCTTTATGTCAATATAACATGCCTGCAAAATAACATGGGAATCAAAACATTAACACAGAATCTGACTGTGAACCAAACAAGTGACAATCGTCTTTTTTTTGGTCAAACTCTTTGTGTTACATGGTTGCCTTGTCTGGAATAGTGACATAGCTCTGGGGAGAACAGAGAGTGTATGGTCACATTATGGCTTTACCAGAGTGCTTCACCTACTTGTAGATTTCAAGAACAGCTATGCCCTTGCTGTCATTTCAAACCACTGACAGGACAGAGGAAGGGCATGAGGGTGAGATAAAGGGAAAGTGCTACAACACACCACACACACACACACACACACACACATATATATATACACATACATACAGTTGAAGTCGGAAGTTTACATACACCTTAGCCAAATCCATTTAAACTCAGTTTTTCACAATTCCTAACATTTAATCCTAGTAAAAATTCCCTGTCTTAGGTCAGTTAGGATCACCACTTTATTTAAGAATGTGAAATGTCAGAATAATAGTAGAGCTTTTATTTCTTTCATCACGTTCCCAGTGGGTCAGAAGTTTACATACACTCAATTAGTATTTCTTAGCATTGCCTTTAATTTTTTTACTTAGGTCAAACGTTTCGGGTAGCCTTCCACAAGCTTCCCACAATAAATTGGGTGAATTATGGCCCATTCCTTCTGACAGAGCTGGTGTAACTGAGTCAGGTTTGTAGGCCTCCTTGCTCGCACACGCTTTTTCAGTTCAGCCCACATATTTTCTATAGGATTGAGGTCAGGGCTTTGTGATGGCAACTCCAATACCTTGACTTTGTTGTCCTTAAGCCATTTTGCCACAACTTTGGAAGTATGCTTGGGGTCTATGTCCATTTGGAAGACCCATTTGCGACTAAGCTAACTTCCTGACTGATGTCTTGAGATGTTGCTTCAATATATCCACATAATTTTCCTTCCTCATGATGCCATCTATTTTGTGAAGTGCACCTGTCCCTCCTGCAGCAAAGCACCCCCACAGCATGATGCTGCCACCCCCGTGCTTCACGGTTGGGATGGTGTTCTTCGGCTTGCAAGCTACCCCCTTTTTCCTCCAAACATAACGATGGTCATTATGGCCAAACAGTTCTATTTTTGTTTCATCAGACCAGAGGACATTTCTCAAAAAAGTACGATCTTTGTCCCCATGTGCAGTTGAAAAACCGTAGTCTGGCTTTCTTTATGCCGGTTTTGGAGCAGTGGCTTCTTCCTTGCTGAGCGGCCTTTCAGGTTATGTCGATATAGGACTTGTTTTACTGTGGATATAGATACTTTTGTACTGGTTTCCTCCAGCATCTTCACAAGGTCCTTTGCGGTTGTTCTGGGATTGATTTGCACTTTTCACACCAAAGTACATTCACCTCTAGGAGACAGAACGCCTCCTTCCTGAGTGGTATGACGGCTGCGTGGTCCCATGGTGTTTATACTTGCGTACTATTGTTTGTACAGATGAACGTGGTACCTTCAGGCGTTTGGAAATTGCTCCCAAGGATGAACCAGACGTGTGGAGGTCTTACAATTTTTTTTCTGAGGTCTTGGCTGATTGCTTTTGCTTTTCCCATGATGTCAAGCAAAGAGGCACTGAGTTTGAAGGTAGGCCTTGAAATACATCCACAGGTACACCCTCCAATTGACTCAAATTATGTCAATAGCCTACCAGAAGCTTCTAAAGCCATGACATCATTTTCTGGAATTTTCCCAAGCTGTTTTAAAGGCACAGTCAACATAATGTATGTAAACTTCTGACCCACTGGAATTGTGATACAGTGAATTATAAGTGAATAATCTGTCTGTAAACAATTGTTGGAAAAATTGCTTGTGTCATGCCAAAAGTAGATGTCCTAACCGACTTGCAAAAACTATAGTTTGTTAACAAGACATTTGTGAAGTGGTGGAACAAATGAGTGTAATGACTCCAACCTAAGTGTATGTAAACTTAGACTTCAACTGTGTACACACACACACCAACTGTAGAGGGGAAATGTGTGTGCAGGGGTAATCCCTACTTAGAAGCTGGGACTAATGGATGCTGTGAGTCAGCAGTGTGAGAAAAAGGGTAACCGAGAGTAGATTCGAGAGCGGAGAGGATCGTAGAGAGAGAGAGGAGAGAGAGGAGAGAGAGGGGAGAGGAGAGAGGAGGGAGAGAAGGCGAGAGGGGCTAGCGGGAAAAGAAAGGGAGACGAGAGGAAGAAGGGAAAAGGGGCAGATAAGGGGCCCCCCCCCCCTTTAATCCGGAATCTCCTTTAAGCCCCAACCCCCCCTTTAATCCCCTCTAAGTTTTCACACATCGTCCTATGTTCCCGCTGGCGGGGGGACCGGGATGGAAAGGGGGGGAGAGGGGAGAAGAGCGGGAAAAAGGGGTTGGGAAGAGAGCGGAGATCTCATCTTGATTCGTAGGGGGGAGGGAAAAGGGGGGGAAAAAAAAGGGGGGGGGGGGGGGGCGGGAAAAGGGAAAAAAAAAAAAAAGGGGGGGGGGGGGGGGGGGGGGGGGGGGGGAGGGAAAGAAAGGGGAAAAAGGGAGAAAAAAACGAGGAGGGGAAAAAAAAAAGGAGAGAGGGGAAAGAGGAGGAAAAGGGAAGCAGAGGGAGAAGGAGGGAGAGAAGAGATGTTAGAGAGAGGGATAGCCGAAGGAGAGAGGCAGGGAGGAGAGAGAGAGTGGACGGCAGAGGAAAGACGAGAGACGAGAGGGAAATAGGAGAGAAGAAGCGAGCTAGATTGAGGAGAGAGGAAGAGCAGGCTCTGTGTCTTCACTATCGTCTTATGCTTATATCTATATCTATGTATGGATATAGGGGTGTCTATATGATGGTCTCTATCTATAGAGAGTGTTGCTATGTATAGCTCTCTCGCATCTCTCTCTTATGCTCTGAGATGCGCGCATGATAGCTTCTAGCTCTGTTATCTATATTGATCTTCTATGGAATCTTCTTCTCTCTCTCTTCTCTCTCTTTATCTTCTCTCTCTTCTCTCTCTCTCTCTCTCTGTCTCTCTCTCTCTGTCTCTCTCTCTCGCTCTCTGTCTCTCTCTCTGTCTCTCTCTCGCTCTGTCTCTGTCTCTCTCGCTCTGTCTCGCTCTCTCTCTCTCTCTCTCTCTCTCTCTCTCTCTCTCTCTCTCTCTCTCTCTCTCTCTCTCTCTCTCTCTCTCTCTCTCTCTCTCTCTGTCTCTCTCTCTCTCTCTGTCTCTCTCGCTCTGTCTCTGTCTCGCTCTCTGTGCAGTCTCCCAACAGTAGTTCATAGTTAATTCATTCATATCCACTCCCCTGGTACTGTGCAGGTCTCTGATCTTAACCAAATTACACTGGACTTTGTATTTTGTTTCATCATCTTCTATGTTCCCATACAGAATCAATGGCCTAGCGGTTTTCAGCAGTTTAGAGGGGCTCAATATGGCAACCAAATGAAGTGAACATTCTAAACCTTTTTTATTTTTCACACACACACACACACACACACACACACACACACACACACACACACACACACACAGAGAGAGAGAGAGAGAGAGGGGGGAGCATGAGGGATGGACAGTGTGCTGATGCCATGGCAACAGTGCTGATGGAGTCAGAGAGACAAAGATTAGTAATCTGACCCCTCCTCATTTGTCTATCAGTTGACGGACCAGCACACTCCTCACAGTTCTACAGAGAAGTGTTGGGAAGGGCAAAGGGGACCCGCCTACCCCTAGAAGGGGACTCATTTTGTCCTACTGGTATTTGAACAGAACCTTCGTTTTTGTCCTTGGGCCAACTGAAATATGAACTGTTTTAGGAGCCCAATAATACACCATTTATCATAGATCATATTTATCTATTGCATACTGATACATTTTTGTTATAGAATATCTAACCAACAGACTCAACAGCTCCATGACAGTAGGAGGCGATATGTAGCCCTACAAACCCCCTTTTGATTCAGCAAGCAATGAATATGGGAGTTGAAGAAAATCCTGGATAAGTGAATCCAATATCGGGGCTGGAGTCAACCATCTATTCTTCATTGTATTGATTTTTGTTACCATTCAGCACAGGTTCCATTTGTGAAGTTGTTCTCCACAGAAGAGCTAGTTGGCTCGCTAACTAATGTTGCCGGTTAGAGTTTGGAAAGCCGTTTGGCATCTGTTTTCACGTTGTCCAGGACTGCGCTTCCGCCATATTGAAGCGGTTCACTAGCAGCAAGTTGTGACTGACTGGCCAGGACTGAACTGAGAAGAGATCGGACTAGACAGACTCTAGATAGAGTTGGGGGGGCTGCTAGCGCGCTGGTGACGCAGGAAAAACACCCAAGAGCTGACAAAAATTACAAGGAACCAGATTATTCTAAATGACAGTTGAACTTCATAAGAAATAGCAAGATATAGGGCACATTTATGTAATAAACAACGACACACTCGTCAAGGCTGGAGTAGCTCGTGAATAGAGGAGAAGTCCGATCAAATTCCAGGTAAGTGGTTATAGCAACTAGCTTGCACTGTTAACATTTGCGTCAGCTGGTGGATGCAGGTATGGCAGCTGATTTGGTAACTAACGTTAGCTAGCTCTAACGTTATTTATTTTGTTAGAAATGTATTGGACTGAAATACGTTGATACGCGTCGTCAATCATTAAATAATTTAACTTGGATTGGGAATGTTAGCTAGCTAGGTACTAGTTCTGCCAGAATAGATTAGGTAGCTAACGCTAGCTAATGTAGTTAGCTAACGTTACTGTACGTTAGTTAAGTTTGCCAAGTTACTGTCTGACTCACCCACTGACAGAGGGGGGAGCAGGTCAATGTGGAGTTGGCTAGCTAAACTAATAGTTAGTTAGTTAGCTAGCTCGTGAACATTAACGTTTTTGAAAGCCGGGTCGATATCAGCCAACTAGTAATTTTAGCTTGCTAGCTAACTAGTTGACGTTTAAATTAGCTGTCGAGGTCTTTAGCTAAGTAACGTAATGAAAGGCGGTTCCCCACCCCTGAACCCGATGTCTGAGTTGTTGTTTTAATAGGGGTTCAATCCAGAAATGTTGCGCCGTGACATAGTTAGTTAAACGTATCTACAGTAAACTAGTCAATATTGGCTAGATGAACTGTAAGGTTAGCTAGCACCACAATAAAATATCTGACTAGTATGGACGTGGTTGCGCGGCCTGCTCCTTAACTACAGTTAGCTAGCTAACGTTAGCGCATTGTCTGCAGAAATGCAAATGTTTCAAAACGACGAATTCGTGGTATGTGTCTCTAAATGTTGCCAGATAACTAGCAACCTACTACAACTACCCTAACGAACTTGTATCAACGGTTACATGAGCAGATCAGTCAAAGGCCTGGAAAACAGCGCTTGGAAACTAGGCCTTCAAGTGACGGATCGCACTGCGAAATCAAGCTTAAAACGGTTGTTGTTAGCTAGCTATTTTTCAAATTGAGATGGCTAGCTGTTTTTACAAAAGTCGATTGTCTTGATATTTCGAAGTGTAATGAAATGCCATTTCTGATTTTGTTATACGATCTTTCTTTCCTTGATGATGAATGCAAGCAGATCACACAGCCAACCTAACGTCACGTTAGCGAAGTACAACTGTAGCTAGCTATCTAGTTAAGTTGACAGATACACCCGTGTTGGATGTCTTTTATTTAGCTAGCGAAGATGGAGCTGCATAATCATGGACCTGTTTGGTGGACTGTAATATTATATTGATTTATTTTTCATAACTTGTAAACGAATGCGTAATCTATTACCTATCAATTACTTGCTAACAACATCCTTGCATAATGCTAACTAACGGTAGTCAGTGACTGTTTTCATAGTGATCTTATCAGAATGATGGAAGAAATATAAATAGCTAGATCAATGGCATATATATAGTTGTCACCTCCAATGTCGTCATGGACATAGCTTATTTCTGAGTCTGATTTAGGACTCGACTCTCAGGTTTGGCCAATACTGTTTTGTGGCCCCTGTCATTAGGGATACAGCTATAGTTAAAGGCCCATTTCACATGACATAGCCAGCCAGTGATGTTTAAAGGGCTAGCTAGCCCGACAGGCCGCAACAATATTTATGTGTTATTAGCTAGTTGTCCTGTTAGACTGAAGGATGTTGAACAGAGGATGACCTCCCATGTCTCTCAATGCCATTCAGTATGGATTCATTTTCAATTCTCAGTTACTGATGAGAATGAATGATCACTGACTGACTGGTGTTTTCTTTGTGCAGTATGCTGTTGCTTAATCAGCAGTGGCTAAATGCATTCATCACTTATGGGAATCCAACTGTAGCCTACTTAATAGTGTGGTTTTGAGCTGGGCTCTCTAGGGATTGTCTTGCAGTAGAAGCATTTTAATGGCGTGTTTGTGATGCCAGTGGCCACCTGCTAAGGACAGGAAATGTATGTTTCAGTACCTCAATTTGTTTCCTTACTGAATGGTCCACTAGCAGATGGATACAAATGTGAGCATAGTGCTGCAGATAATTTAGACCTACTACTACCACACTCGGGCATCCCCTGAAGATGACATATCGGCAGAATCACTATTGTTTTTTTTTTAGGGTTGCGCCTAATCTCTGTCTGATCAGATTGTGTTTTGCAGGGCTTGAGTCTGGATTTAGTTTTCTGTTGAATCATCATGTTACTGATGTCCTCTCTGGAATGATAACACTGTTCTCAATCTTTTTTTTTGTTTGAACCAGTATCTCATTATAGCTACCTAACATCAAAGAATACAGCAGCCAGGTGTTGGTCAGAGAACACGCACGGACGCAAGCACACAGCCTACCAGACAGCACAGCTGCTGTGGTTTCTTTAATGACAAACTTAGTCACAGTCAGTCCATTGCCAGACCCAACCATTTAAATATGTCGCTGAATACATCAAGGCCTATGAAGGAAATATGATGTGTAGGGAATATATGATCAAACCCTCTTGTTCCAAACTGGGGTGGATTGGATTTCCAGTCATATTGTCTATCTCTGCCAGGCAAGACTGGTGTCGTCCCTACAGCCAACTGACTGCAGCCACATATGTGTTCAGGAGGATGCAGCATACTGAACTTTGCAGATAGAAATGCCATGAATAGATCATCAGACACAATTCTCTACTCGTCATGTCAGAGAGAGGCATGTCTATCTATTGTACTCAATATATTTATATCGGAGTGTTGTTCCAGACTGAACGCAGCCCAGGCTTTCAGGTGGGTGGAGAGAGTAAATAATACTCATCCTTATGGCTCATGGCCTTATGTGTCTTCTGGAGCTGCGGCTGGCCTTTGTTGGCTCATACAAGCTCAGTGTGCATGGTGTGGTTATAAACCAGATTGTACCTTCGAGCTGGAGGGAGAATATAAATTATGGTGTTGACTTTCTCATAGACTTTATATGAAGTTGAGGCTTTGTGTTTCTGTAGGCTAGATATTGAAACTATATATTTTGATAAGAAAGATGCTGCTGATTTGGCATTAATTTTCAAGGAAGGTTATTTTAAATTGGGAAGTGGTTGAGCAGGTTTCCCAAAGACTGAGAGGGGAAAAAAGCATACATTTGTATTTTCGCTGGTCTGGAACAGAATCGTAAAGGAGAGTGAAAGCGAAAGGGATGAGAAATATCTCTCCTGCTTCCTGGCCAAACGATCCCATGGTTACTTCAGGAAATCCCCTCTTGTCTGAAACTGAGAAAGTTGTGTTGTCTTTGCTTTATGGTGTTCAAATACTAAAACACTGTGTGCCTCCACAACCTCTGTACATGTCAAGAATACGACTCAACTCTAAATGGTGTATGATTCATTTCCAATTCCAGCATATGTGGTTTGTAGAATAATTGACAAGTTTCCATCTGGTCAGGTGTTTATCGTAGTAGGAAAAGCGAGCAGCAAGTACAGTATGTCACATTTCCATCGTCACATGAAATCTTCAGTCTGCTCCCAATTTTACCTAACAGTTTTCATGATATCAGCTTCACCTGCTATCAGCGTCATGTGATAGCACGGGGCGGCAGGTAGCTTAGTGGTTAAGAGCATTGTGCCAGTAACCGAAAGGTCGCTGGTTCTAATCCCCGAGCAGACTAGGTGAAAAATCTGTCGATGTGCCCATGAGCAAGGCACTTAACCCTAATTGCTCCTGTAAGTCGCTTTGGATAAGAGCGTCTGCTAAATGACTAAAAATGTAAATATCAGCGTCAAGTGCTTAGGCCTATTCTTTTGGTTTTCCTTCTGATCTCAATCGGATGAATATTAGATTGGGGATTCATCACTGAACAATGGCTTTTGTTTCGTTTTGCTTGTTGTTGCCCAATCTGAAACGGTAGGAGAGATCTACAGTGGGGAAAAAAGTATTTAGTCAGCCACCAATTGTTTAAGTTCTCCCACTTAAAAAGATGAGAGAGGCCTGTAATTTTCATCATAGGTACACGTCAACTATGACAGACAAAATGAGATTTCTTTTCTCCAGAAAATCACATTGTAGGATTTTTTATGAATTTATTTGCAAATTATGGTGGAAAATAAGTATTTGGTCACCTACAAACAAGCAAGATTTCTGGCTCTCACAGACCTGTAACTTCTTCTTTAAGAGGCTCCTCTGTCCTCCACTTGTTACCTGTATTAATGGCACCTGTTTGAACTTACCTATTTAAGTGGGAGAACTTGCACAATTGGTGGCTGACTAAATACTTTTTTCCCCCACTGTATCTAGATGGCCAATGATATGGGATACATGAATCACATCCATCCCATATGATTTCCATCCTTAACCCTTTTAGTCTTATAAGCAAATTACAAACTGTAAGAGTTTCCGTCTTGTGGCTTTTGGCCACTGTAAGCTGTTGATTCCTAGATCAGTGATCAGTTTTCATAACTGTGACCTTAATTGCCTACCGTCTGTAAGCCGTTAGTGTCTTAACGACCGTTCCACAGGTGCATGTTCATTAATTGTTTATGGTTCATTGAACAAGCATGGGAAACAGTGTTTAAACCCTTTACAATGAAGATCTGTGAAGTTATTTGGATTTTTAAATAACTTCACAGATCTTCATTTTATATATATATATATATATATATATATACACACACCAGTCAAAAGTTGGGACACACCTACTCATTCAAGGGTTTTTCTTTATTTTTACTATTTTCTACATTGTAGAATAATAGTGAAGACATCAAAACTATGAAATAACATATGGAATCATGTAGTAGCCAAAAAAGTGTTAAACAAATCAAAATATATTTTATATTTGAGATTCTTCAAAGTAGCCACCCTTTGCCTTGATGACAGCTTTGCACGCTCTTGGCATTCTCTCAACCAGCTTCATCTGGAATGCTTTTCCAACAGTCTTGAAGGAGTTCCCACATGCTGAGCACTTGTTGGCTGCTTTTCCTTCACTCTGCGGTCCGACTCATCCCAAACCATCTCAATTGGGTTGAGGTCGGGTTATCGTGGAGGCCAGGTCATCTGATGCAGCACTCCATCACTCTCCTTCTTGGTCAAATAGCCGTTACACAGCCTGGAGGTGTGTTTTGGGTCATTGTCCTGTTGAAAAACAAATGATAGTCCCACTAAGCCCAAACCAGATGGGATGGCGTATCACTGCAGAATGCTGTGGTAGCCATGCTGGTTAAGTGGGCCTTGAATTATAAATAAATCACAGACAGTGTCACCAGCAAAGCACCCCCACACCATCACACCCCCTCCTCCATGCTTCACGGTGGGAACCACAGATTCGGAGATCATCCGTTCACCAACTCTGCGTCTCACAAAGACACGGCGGTTGGAACCAAAAATCTCAAATTTGGACTCCTCAGACCCAAGGACAAATGTCTACCGGTCTAATGTCCATTGCTTGTGTTTCTTGGCCCAAGCAAGTCTCTTCTTATTATTGGTATCCTTTAGAAGTGGTTTCTTTGCAGCAATTTGACCATGAAGGCCTGATTCACGCAGTCTCCTCTGAACAGTTGATGTTGAGATGTGTCTGTTACTTGAACTCTGTGAAGTATTTATTTGGGCTGCAATTTCAGAGGCTGGTAACTCTAATGAACTTATCCTCTGCAGCAGAGGTAACTCTGGGTCTTCCATTCCTGTGGCGGTCCTCATGAGAACCAGTTTCATCATAGCGCCTGATGTTTTTTTGAGGCTGCACTTGAAGAAACTTGAAAAGTTCTTGACATTTTCTATATTGGCTGACCTTCATGTCTTAAAGTAATGACAGACTGTCGTTTCCCTTAGCTTATTTGAGCTGTTCTTGACATAATATGGACTTGGTCTTTTAACAAATAGGGCTATCTTCTGTATACCACCCCTACCTTGTCACAACACAACTGATTGGCTCAAACGCATTAAATTAACTTTTAACAAGGCACACCTGTTAATTGAAATGCATTCCAGGTGACTACCTTAGGAAGCTGGTTGAGAGAATGCCAAGAGTTTGCAAAGCTGTCATCAAGGCAAAGGGTGGCTACTTTGAAGAATCTCAAATATAAACTATATTTGGATTTGTTTAACACTTTTTTTGGTTACTACATGATTCCATATGTGTTATTTCATAGTTTTGATGTCTTCACTATTATTCTACAAAGTAGAAAATAGTAAAAATAAAGAAAAACCCTGGAATGAGTAGGTGTGTCCAAACTATTCTATTTTCTCCCCAATTTCGTGATATCCAATTGGTAGTTAGTCTTGTCCCATCGCTGCAACTCCCGTACGGACTCGAGAGGTGAAGGTCGAGAGCCATGCGTCCTCCGAAACACGACCCTGGGGACCAAAGTTAGCGTGCATGGGCCCGGCCCGCCACAAGGAGTCGCTATAGTGCGATAGGACATGGGCATCCCGGCCAAACCTTCCCCTAACCTGGACCAATTGTGCGCCGCCTCATGGGTCTCCCGGTCGCGGCCGGCTTTGACGCAGCCTGGGATCGAACCCGGGTCTGTAGTGATGCCTCTAGCACTGCGATGCGATGCAGTGCCTTAGACCGCTGCCCACTCGGGAGGCCGTCATGAGACAATTGTTTCAATGAGGAAAATGTAGAGTTGAAGTTTGGTTCACTTTTTGAATTGAAATGGAATTGACCCTAACCCTGGCATTTCCTTATACAATAGAGGGCATTTCCACTACTAGCCTTCATTGTATCTATGCCGTACTAGCAGTCTGAGGTCGTCTAGGCCTCTTCCTCTCCAGTGTTAATGTCATGCTGTTTTAACTGGAGACGCTGCTGCCTACTCTCTCTAACTTTACTACAGCCCTTGGAAAGTGCTCGTTGGCAGCCTCACTGCTGAATGAGATATTCTTTCCATCTGTTGAGGATTGATATCTTAATATATTTTCCACTTTCTTACCGCTGTATGTTGTTAGTAGCAATATCATTGTAGTACATTTATTTATTTTTATTTTCACCTCTTGTCACAGACTTAAAAACAACCAAACATTTGATTGATTCCAATGCCTGCATGAGTAGCTATGGCTTGGTGTTATACTAGATTACACCGGCCCAGAATGCTAGTGTATGTCTTTCCTATGACGTCTCGCATAAGTGGTGCCAACAAGTGCTGAGTTTGCAGCCAAGTCATAACGTGTTTCACTGATGGTCATGCTGACGACCTGGCCAGCCCATGCGACGCTCTCAGCTGATGTGATGGGAAATAAAAGACCCAGACTTGGCAGCAGCCAGCCAGAGATGGTGTTTGCCTAACCGGTTCCTCTGCCTACCGTTACTCCTTATCACGTCAGCGCTCGAATGCTTATCAGTCTTACCTCCGCACATTGCCTCTACAATACTGCTTTTTAACTGCACACACGGAACGCAAGGAAGTGTCTGGGGAAAATACAAAAGATTGTTCCCTTCCATTGTTAAACGTCCCAAAGTGTCTTGACTGACAGTGTTTGTTAAGAATTGAAGGCTTATCTTTACCCCTACAACGTTATATAATGTAAATGCATTAGTTCTATTTCAATGTACAGTGTCTACTTTATTATCAGACAGAGAGCCAGGCTCACCTGACAGATGGTCACTGACAACACCAAGCAACCTATTTGATAACTCATGATGACTATAAAAAGAAATGTACCGTATATAACAAACACAGAACGTAGAAGTGATCCATTGATTGAATTTTCCTGCGTTAAAATCTCTCCTATCGCGTTCATTCGTTTTTGTGAGTGGGGACCACCATGCAGTATTTTGATGGTCTATGACAACTAACCCAATGATACACCCTAACCCTGTCCTCTCCTCTCTCTTGTCCAGGTTATGCAATGGTCTCAGCGGCCTGTCCAGATCTCCAGGTGGTTCTGTCCCGCTGCTCTCCTCCCTCTGCTCTGCCTCTGAGGCTGCTGAGGCGCCTCCTGTGATTTCCCTCCTGGCCCAGTGCTCCCTAAGAGGCCAAGATCTGCCCCGTGACGAGCATGACAGCCACCACGCGTGGCTCTCCGGTGGGGGGCAACGACAGCCAGTCGGGCCAGGCGCCCGACGCCCAGGGGCAGAGTCCGAGCCAGAGCCAGCCCCCGCTGCCACAGAACCAGGTCAGGAACCTGTCTGTCTGGTCCGTCCGTCTGTCCCACCCTCTCATCTCTGTCCTTCACCTCAACCTCATGTGTTCACCATGTTCTCTCTTCTAGTCCTCTTTCCTTTTTCTGTCTTTCTCTCTCCCCTCATCCAGGGCTCCAGAAAAACATTTTCCCCTGGTGGCACTGGTGCCACTAACTTTTTCACTTGGTTGCACCAGCCCATGATTTGTTAGCACACCCAATTATTTTTCTTTTCGCGGTGTCACACAATAGAATACATTTGAGTCATCTTATACAGTAATTCACAATGCTTTATTAAGAAGTGTAATAGACTACCAAGATGCTATTCAATAAATATGTTGTTACATCTAACATATCCAAGCTGGAATGCATGAATCAAAATATTTTTTATATGCAACCTAATCAAGTGGTTGACAGGCTATTTTTGTTATATTTTACTGTCAAAATAGTGCTCCAGAATTTCCATATACAATGGGGAGAACAAGTATTTGATACACTGCCGATTTTGCAGGTTTTCCTACTTACAAAGCATGTAGAGGTCTGTAATTTTTATCATAGGTACACTTCAACTGTGAGAGACGGAATCTAAAACAAAAATCCAGAAAATCACATTGTATGATTTTAAGTAATTAATTTGCATTTTATTGCATGACATAAGTATTTGATACATCAGAAAAGCAGAACTTAATAATTGGTACAGAAACCTTTGTTTGCAATTACAGAGATCATACGTTTCCTGTACGTCTTGACCAGGTTTGCGCACACTGCAGCAGGGATTTTGGCCCACTCCTCCATACAGACCTTCTCCAGATCCTTCAGGTTTCGGGGCTGTCGCGGGGCAATACAGACTTTCAGCTCCCTCCAAAGATTTTCTATTGGGTTCAGGTCTGGAGACTGGCTAGGCCACTCCAGGGCCTTGAGATGCTTCTTACGGAGCCACTCCTTAGTTGCCCTGGCTGTGTGTTTCGGGTCGTTGTCATGCTGGAAGACCCAGCCACGACCCATCTTCAATGCTCTTACTGAGGGAAGGAGGTTGTTGGCCAAGATCTCGCAATACATTGCCCCATCCATCCTCCCCTCAATACGGTGCAGTCGTCCTGTCCCCTTTGCAGAAAAGCATCCCCAAAGAATGATGTTTCCACCTCCATGCTTCACGGTTGGGATGGTGTTCTTGGGGTTGTACTCATCCTTCTTCTTCCTCCAAACACGGCGAGTGGAGTTTAGACCAAAAAGCTCTATTTTTGTCTCATCAGACCACATGACCTTCTCCCATTCCTCCTCTGGATCATCCAGATGGTCATTGGCAAACTTCAGACGGGCCTGGACATGCGCTGGCTTGAGCAGGGGGACCTTGTGTGCGCTGCAGGATTTTAATCCATGACGGCGTAGTGTGTTACTAATGGTTTTCTTTGTGACTGTTGTCCCAGCTCTCTTCAGGTCATTGACCAGGTCCTGCTCTGTAGTTCTGGGCTGATCCCTCACCTTCCTCATGATCATTGATGCCCCACGAGGTGAGATCTTGCATGGAGCCCCAGACCGAGGGTGATTGACCATCATCTTGAACTTCTTCCATTTTCTAATAATTGCGCCAACAGTTGTTGCCTTCTCACCAAGCTGCTTGCCTATTGTCCTGTAGCCCATCCCAGTCTTATGCAGGTCTACAATTCTATCCCTGATGTCCTTACACAGCTCTCTGGTCTTGGCCATTGTGGAGAGGTTGGAGTCTGTTTGATTGAGTGTGTGGACAGGTGTCTTTTATACAGGTAACGAGTTCAAACAGGTGCAGTTAATACAGGTAATGAGTGGAGAACAGGAGGGCTTCTTAAAGAAAAACTAACAGGTCTGTGAGAGCTGGAATTCTTACTGGTTGGTAGGTGATCAAATACTTATGTCATGCAATAAAATGCAAATTAATTACTTAAAAATCATACAATGTGATTTTCTGGATTTTTGTTTTAGATTCCGTCTCTCACAGTTGAAGTGTACCTATGATAAAAATTACAGACCTCTACATGCTTTGTAAGTAGGAAAACCTGCAAAATCGGCAGTGTATCAAATACTTGTTCTCCCCACTGTACAGTGGGGGAACAAAATATTTAGTCAGCCACCAATTGTGCAAGTTCTCCCACTTAAAAAGATGAGAGAGGCCTGTAATTTTCATCATAGGTACAAGTCAACTATAACAGACAAAATGATAATTTTTTTTCCAGAAAATCACATTGGAGGATTTTTAATGAATTTATTTGCAAATTATGGTGGAAAATAAGTATTTGGTCAATAACAAAAGTTTCTCAATACTTTGTTATATACCCTTTGTTGGCAATGACACAGGTCAAACGTTTTCTGTAAGTCTTCACAAGGTTTTCACACACTGTTGCTGGTATTTTGGCCCATTCCTCCATGCAGATCTCCTCTAGAGCAGTGATGTTTTGGGGCTGTCGCTGGGCAACACAGACTTTCAACTCCCTCCAAAGATTTTCTATGGGGTTGAGATCTGGAGACTGGCTAGGCCACTCCAGGACCTTGAAATGCTTCTTACGAAGCCACTCCTTCGTTGCCTGGGCGGTGTGTTTGGGATCATTGTCATGCTGAAAGACCCAGCCACGTTTCATCTTCAATGCCCTTGCTGATGGTTTTCACTCAAAATCTCACAATACATGGCCCCATTCATTCTTTCCTTTACACGGATCAGAAATCCTGGTCACTTTGCAGAAAAACAGCCCCAAAGCATGATGTTTCCACCCCCATGCTTCACAGTAGGTATGGTGTTCTTTGGATGCAACTCAGCATTCTTTGTCCTCCAAACACGACGAGTTGAGTTTTTACCAAAAAGTTCTATTTTGGTTTCATCTGACCATATGACATTCTCCCAATCCTCTTCTGGATCATCCAAATGCACTCTAGCAAACTTCAGACGGGCCTGGACATGTACTGGCTTAAGCAGGGGGACACGTCTGGCACTGCAGGATTTGAGTCCCTGGCGGCGTAGTGTGTTACTGATGGTAGGCTTTGTTACTTTGGTCCCAGCTCTCTGCAGGTCATTCACTAGGTCCCCCCGTGTGGTTCTGGGATTTTTGCTCACCGTTCTTGTGATCATTTTGACCCCACGGGGTGAGATCTTGCGTGGAGCCCCAGATCGAGGGAGATTATCAGTGGTTTTGTATGTCTTCCATTTCCTAATAATTGCTCCCACAGTTGATTTCTTCAAACCAAGCTGCTTACCTATTGCAGATTCAGTCTTCCCAGCCTGGTGCAGGTCTACAATTTTGTTTCCGTTGTCCTTTGACAGCTCTTTGGTCTTGGCCATAGTGGAGTTTGGAGTGTGACTGTTTGAGGTTGTGGACAGGTGTCTTTTATACTGATAACAAGTTCAAACAGGTGCCATTTAATAAAGGTAACGAGTGGAGGACAGAGGAGCCTCTTAAAGAAGAAGTTACAGGTCTGTGAGAGGCAGAAATCTTGCTTGTTTGTAGGTGACCAAATACTTATTTTCCACCATAATTTGCAAATAAATTCATTAAAAATCCTACAATGTGATTTTCTGGATTTTTTTTTCTCAATTTGTGTGTCATAGTTGATGTACCTATGATGAAAATTACAGGCCTCTCTCATCTTTTTAAGTGGGAGAACTTGCACAATTGGTGGCTGACTAAATACTTCCCCCCCCCCACTGTATATGTGTGTGTGTGTGTGTGTGTGTGTGTGTGTGTATATATATATATATATATATATATATATATACACACACACACACACACACACACACACACACACACACACACACACAGTTGATGTCGGAAGTTTACATACACCTTAGCCAAATACATTTAAACTCAGTTTTTCACAATTCCTGACATTTAATCCAAGTAAAAATTCCCTGTCTTAGGTCAGTTAGGATCACCACTTTATTTTAAGAATGTTAAATTTCAGAATAATAGTAGAGTGATTTATTTCTTTCATCACATTCCCAGTGGGTCAGAAGTTTACATACACTCAATTAGTATTTCTTAGCATTGCCTTTAAATTGTTTAACTTAGGTCAAACGTTTCGGGTAGCCTTCCACAAGCTTCCCACAATAAATTGGGTGAATTTTGGCCCATTCCTCCTGACAGAGCTGGTGTAACTGAGTCAGGTTTGTAGGCCTCCTTGCTCGCACACGCTTTTTCAGTTCAGCCCACATATTTTCTATAGGATTGAGGTCAGGGCTTTGTGATGGCCACTCCAATACCTTGACTTTGTTGTCCTTAAGCCATTTTGCCACAACTTTGGAAGTATGCTTGGTGTCATTGTCCATTTGGAAGACCCATTTGCGACTAAGCTTTAACTTCCTGACTGATGTCTTGAGATGTTGCTTCAATATATCCATATAATTTTCCTTCCTCATGATGCCATCTATTTTGTGAAGTGCACCTGTCCCTCCTGCAGCAAGGCACCCCCACAGCATGATGCTGCCACCCCCGTGCTTCACGGTTGGGATGGTGTTCTGAGTGGCGCAGTGGTCTAAGGCACTGCATCGCAGTGCTAACTGTGCCACTAGAGATCCTGGTTCGAATCCAGGCTCTGTCGCAGCCGGCCGCGACCGGGAGACTCATGGGTGGCGCACAATTGGCCCAGCGTCGTCCAGGGTAGGGGAGGGAATGGCCGGCAGGGATGTAGCTCAGTTGATAGAGCATGGCGTTTGCAACGCCAGGGTTGTGGGTTCATTTCCCACGGGGGGCCAGTATAAAAAAATATGTATTCACTAACTGTAAGTCGCTCTGGATAAGAGCGTCTGCTAAATGACTAAAATGTAAATGTAAATGTGTTATTCGGCTTGCAAGCTACCCCCTTTTTCCTCCAAACATAACGATGGTCATTATGGCCAAACAGTTCTATTTTTGTTTCATCAGACCAGAGGACATTTCTCCAAAAAGTACGATCTTTCACTCTAGTGGTAGCATGAGATGGAGTCTACAACCCACACAAGTGGCTCAGGTAGTGCAGCTCATCCAGGATGGCACATCAATGTGAGCTGTGGCAAGAAGGTTTGCTGTGTCTGTCAGCATAGTGTCCAGAGCATGGAGGCGCTACCAGGAGACAGGCCAGTACATCAGGAGACGTGGAGGAGGCCGTAGGAGGGCAACAACCCAGCAGCAGAACTGCTACCTCCGCCTTTGTGCAAGGAGGAGCAGGAGGAGCACTGCCAGAGCCCTGCAAAATGACCTCCAGCAGGCCACAAATGTGCATGTGTCTGCTCAAACGGTCAGAAACAGACTCCATGAGGGTGGTATGAGGGCCCGACGTCCACAGGTGGGGGTTGTGCTTCCAGCCCAACACCGTGCAGGACGTTTGGCATTTGCCAGAGAACACCAAGATTGGCAAATTCGCCACTGGCGCCCTGTGCTCTTCACAGATGAAAGCAGGTTCACACTGAGCACATGTGACAGACGTGACAGAGTCTGGAGATGCCGTGGAGAACGTTCTGCTGCCTGCAACATCCTCCAGCATGACCGGTTTGGCGGTGGGTCAGTCATGGTGTGGGGTGGCATTTCTTTGGGGGGCCGCACAGCCCTCCATGTGCTCGCCAGAGGTAGCCTGACTGCCATTAGGTACCGAGATGAGATCCTCAGACCCCTTGTGAGACCATATGCTGGTGCGGTTGGCCCTGGGTTCCTCCTAATGCAAGACAATGCTAGACCTTATGTGGCTGGGGTGTGTCAGCAGTTCCTGCAAGAGGAAGGCATTGATGCTATGGACTGGCCCGCCCGTTTCCCAGACCTGAATCCAATTGAGCACATCTGGGACATCATGTCTCGCTCCATCCACCAACGCCACGTTGCACCACCGACTGTCCAGGAGTTGGCGGATGCTTTAGTCCAGGTCTGGGAGGAGATCCCTCAGGAGACCATCCGCCACCTCATCAGGAGCATGCCCAGGCATTGTAGGGAGGTCATACAGGCATGTGGAGGCCACACACACTACTGAGCCTAATTTTGACTTGTTTTAAGGACATTACATCAAAGTTGGATCAGCCTGTAGTGTGGTTTTCCACTTTAATTTTGAGGGTGACTCCAAATCCAGACCTCCATGGGTTGATACATTTGATTTCCATTGATAATTTTTGTGTGATTTTGTTGTCAGCACATTCAACTATGTAAAGAAAAAAGTATTTAATAAGATTATTTAATTCATTCAGATCTAGGATGTGTTATTTTAGTGTTCCCTTAATTTTTTTGAGCAGTGTATGTGTGTGTATGTATGTATATATATATATATATATATATATATATATATATATATATATATATATATATATATATATATATATATATATATATATATATATATATTATTATTATTTTTATTTTATTTTCAATAGAGATGAATTTGCCTTAATCTTTAGTTGTGCTAATATTATGTATAGGGCTAATTCAATTGGTGCTAATTCACCATCTGAAGAAGTGAAACTCAAAACACATTAGCTTGATCATTAACTTTAAATATAATACCTACTGCTAGTAGCCATGTATTAATCGAACAGTAAACTTTACTATGAGGCCTAGTGCACTTGCGATAGCGGATGCGCAATTTTGCGAGCTCCGTATTTCAAAGCCATATCAGATATCTTGATTGTATATAAAATGATACCTACAGAAAGCTGAGACCATCCATTCTTTAATATGGATAGCTAGTTGCTTCCAAATGTGTTTCCCCCCCGCAATTGCATTTTGAAATGTTATGAAATGTTATACAGTCACGAGGGGCACAGGAAGGGGGAGAGGGAGTGTGAGCAGCTCGCTTATCCCAGCAGCCGGCCCCAGCAAACAGGCAGGCACAGCGGCAGGGCAGACACTTTTATTACAGGAATCATGAGGATGGCTACCCAGACTATTTGCATTGTCCCCCACCCCACCCCTTTACGCTGCTGCTACTCTCTGTTTATTATCTATGCATAGTCGCTTTAACTCTACCTACATTTACATATTACCTCAACTAACCTGTGCCCCCGCACATTGACTTTGTACCGGTACCCCCTGTATATAGCCTCCATACTGTTATTTTACTGCTGCTCTTTAATTATTTTTTACATATCTATTTTCTACTTAACACTTATTTTTCTTAACTGCATTGTTGTTTAAGGGCTTGTAAGTAAGCATTTCAATGTAAGGTCTACACCTGTTGTATTCGGCGCATGTGGCATAAAAATTGATTTGATGTGATAATGCACTTTACTGTTGAACAAATTCATGATTTTATCTGCCCCAAAAATAGGACATTTAATAAATGGTCACAGTCTGGAGCCCTGTTATCTCCTCTCTCCCTTTCATTCCCCTGTTGCCCCCCTCCCCTCATCCTGTGCTCGTCTTTCTGCTGAAACACATAGTATGAGACTAACTCCCTCCTCTGGGGCAAAAAGCTCTCCTGAATCATTGAACGGTAACTCCAAATATGAATCCAACCTGTTTTAGCCTCTGAAACCATAACACAGGATATGTTTGACGAATACTGTAATGATGTTTTGTTTAGACCTGAGTGTTGGTCTGTGACACTGTGTTACTGCACCAACGGCCCACAGTGTCACAGAAGCAGCACAGAGACGCATGTAGTTGAGTTATCCCCCCCCTCCCCCTCCTCCTCCCTCCACAGGTTATGACAGAGTGTGTGTGTGTGTGGGAAACACTACAGCACAGTTTTTCCTTCAACAGTCAGTGCTCACACCTAAGCGGAGGGAGGGAGGGGAGGGGAGGGTGGGGGAGGGGAGAGGGAGAGGGGAAGAGAGGCAGACTGGGAGGGAGGCGGAAGGATACAATGAACACAAGCTCCCGAGTGATAGATAAAGACAGAGAGAGTGTTAGAGATGAGTCGTACCCAGACGTGAGAGGCAAGCTGGCTATGTAGGTCATCCAAGCAGAAGGAGCATTCTCTACACACCCCCACATTTCCCAAGTTCTGCAGCTCAGCTATGCACAAAACAGACACACACACACTTGCCGCTACCACTGCTGCTCATACTAACAGCTAGCTAACTAGCGATTTAGCATTAGCGGCTAACAGGATTTATTTTAGCCACGACGTGCTAAGATAAAACAAACTAGCTGTTTGCGGACTGTAAGATGCACAAACTAATAGTGTGATTGTAGAACGCTTTGAAAGCAGCATCCGTGTCACCAGCATCGTGTTGCGTCTGACTATGCAGAGTGAACGGCTAGTGAAGTGCTCGTGACTCAATGGTCGAGCAACAACATGCTCTCGTTGAGTGAGAGGGGGCTTGGTGTGGGAAGCAGCATGCAGGAGAGGTAGTAAACTATAAAAACGGACATTTACACGTGCCAGAGTTGTGTATCACATTTAACAAACTAACATTGACTCAAACCGGTCCGTTCATCAATACCGGTGTATATAGTAAAATACCGTATCGTCCAACCCTATTGTTTGTGAATTTCTGCCCTATATTCTGATTGTGTGTTTCAGACATCATCCCCTAACTCGTCCAATGAGAACTCTCCAGTGAGCCCCCCGGATGAGCAGGGTCAGGGGGACGGGCCCCCCACAGCTGGAGGAGGAGGAGGAGCCTGCCTTCCCTCACACAGACCTGGCCAAGCTGGACGACATGATCAACAGGTAAACACACACACACACTCAAACACCCACATGCTTACACACACGGCCAAGCTGGACTTTATTTTAATTTTATTGAGTTTAAATTTACAGGAACAGTGAAACATGAATCAACGTTTCAGTAAAGGTGCCGGTTTTAGCCAGCCGGCTGATTTTCAAACACAGTCCCTGGGCAGGTTATTAAAAACTATTCCAATAACATACAGACAAACAATGAGCAGTGAGCACATGCAGAGCAACATAGGACAAGCAACACGTAGCACGCAGACAGACAGCAACCTAGCACAAGCAACACGTAGCACGCAGACAGACAGCAACATGGGACAAGCAACACGTAGCACGCAGACAGACAGCAACCTAGGACAAGCAACACGTAGCACGCAGACAGACAGCAACCTAGGACAAGCAACACGTAGCACGCAGACAGACAGCAACCTAGGACAAGCAACACGTAGCATGCAGACGGACAGCAACCTAGGACAAGCAACACGTAGCATGCAGACAGACAGCAACATGGGACAAGCAACACGTAGCACGCAGACAGACAGCAACATGGGACAAGCAACACGTAGCACGCAGACAGACAGCAAACCTAGGACAAGCAACAGTAGCACGGCAGACAGACCAACCTAGGACAAGCAACACGTAGCATGCAGACAGACATCAACTATAGGACAAGCAACATGTAGCATGCAGACAGACCAGCAACATAGGGACAAGCAACACGTAGCACGCAGACAGACTGAGCAACCAAGTACAAGCAACACGTAGCACGCAGACAAACATCAACCTAGGACAAGCAACACGTAGCACGCAGACAGACAGCAACCTAGGACAAGCAACACGTAGCACGCAGACAGACAGCAACCTAGGACAAGCAACACGTAGCACGCAGACAGACAGCAACATGGACAAGCAACACGTAGCACGCAGACAGACAGCAACATGGGACAAGCAACACGTAGCATGCAGACATACAGCAACCTAGGACAAGCAACACGTAGCATGCAGATAGCAACCTAAAACAAGCAACACGTAGCATGCAGACAGACAGCAACATAGGACAAACAACATGTAGCACGCAGACAGACAGCAACATAGGACAAGCAACACGTAGCACGCAGACAGACTGAGCAACATAGGACAAGCAACACGTAGCACGCAGACAACAGCAACCTAGGACAAGCAACACGTAGCATGCAGACAGACTGAGCAACATAGGACAAGCAACACGTAGCATGCAGACAGACTGAGCAACAAAGGACAAGCAACACGTAGCACGCATACAAACATCAACCTAGGACAAGCAACACACAGCACGCAGACAAATAGCAACCTAAAACAAGCAACACGTAGCATGCAGACAGACAGCAACATTGGACAAGCAACACGTAGCACGCAGACACAGAGCAATAGCACAAAAAGCAACAAAACAAAATCCATAAAAGCAACAAACAGGGTTTCCACACCTCACAAGCTAAAGACAACAGATAACATGGAAAGCGGCAATACGCAGTGTGTGATACTAAGTGCTGTGTGATTGTGAGGAGGAATGTGTATCTCTGTATTCATGTGGATGTTTTGTGTTTCCAGACCCCGCTGGGTGGTTCCAGTTCTGCCAAAGGGAGAGTTAGAGGTTCTTCTAGAAGCTGCTATAGAGCTTAGTAAAAAGGGTAAGAATATTAGCTAATTCTATTTCTCAAATCACTACTACATTTTTTGAACTAAGGCAATCAAGATGGTATAGAAAGCTTGTCCTTGGCTATGTACACATCTGAAATCGCATTGACAGCAATGTATTTCAACCACGTTGTATGGAGTTTAGACTAGCTTGATAGCCGACTCTCTTTTAGCGTACTTGCACTTTGTCAACGACTCATTAAAATGTCAGCCGCGTAGTTTCTCTTTAGATTGATATTTGACCTGCAGCCCTTGAAAAAATATATCTGTGGTAGTACAATATCTCCATGCACTTAATTCTTGTCTGTTTTCTGTCTGTATAGAACTTGATGTGAAGTGTGAGGCGTGCCAGAGGTTTTTCAGAGACGGCCTGACCATCTCTTTCACCAAGATCCTCACAGACGAGGCCGTCAGTGGGTGGAAGTTTGAGATACATGTGAGTCTTTCTTTTATTCCATTTGATTTCATCAGGATTGTGCTTTCAAAAGCAATGGCCACTGTTTTTCAAGGAGTCATGGGCCCTCTTCCAATACTTTGAAAACCCATCCTCCTCCTAGTCCCTTCCTTAGGCTAATCACTAATTTGACACAATTGGATTGGTGAAACCTATTCAGTGGAACTCCTATTTTCGCCCATCCAATTGTGTTAATTGTGTGATTAACTCAAGGAAGGAAGGATGCATTTCTGAAGAAGTATTCAAACAGGGCCTTGGTAAGGGGAGTGATGTCACCAGAAGCACCCTGCTGTTGAGATCTGATCGATGATTTCTGTCCTCTGTTGAAAGCTCAGCAGGTGGCTTACATTTCTCTGCCTCAGTCTAAATTCAGTTTGCTATCTGGGCCCTTGTGGTGGAGGAAAGAAGGGAGAATGAACAGGGAGAACACCAGCGGTGATCAATGCTCTTTTCATCGGAGGAAGTGGCTTTGGCTTGGCTCTTCTGTTCTTTAACTCGGTGACATTGATACTGAATAGCCTTTCTCAGTGGAGCGTGAGTCACCCACTCTTGACAGCCCAGCCCTATCTCTAGCCCCAGGTTCAGCTGACTGCTGTGCCCCCCTTAAAATGTATCGTACCATTTCTACCGTTCTGCGTGCCAATTATGATTTTTATGAGGATTTTCATGGAACAGTTTCATTTCAATAATAAAGTTTTAGTTTCTGAAAGTCATTGTCAGGTGGTTAATCATACAAATCTGAATTAAAATGATAAAAATCGAAAAGTTAGTCAACTAATGCGAGATCACCAGCCTGATACACCGTGGTCCATTGGCGGCTAAAGAAATGAGCGCATGGAACTCATAGCCTATAGGCCAATGCAGCAGTAGGTCTATAAGCTCTTTCACACTGAGGATTGTGAATATCGAGGGGGAGATTGTTGGAAAGAGTTTTAAAATAGCTTACTATGAGAAACTATAGTTTTAATATATTATCATTCGCAATGGATGTAAAAAAAAAAACACTTTCTTACATTTCCGCGCAGCAGGCCAGTTACTTCTATGCATGCTGAGACACGCGCTCCCTCAACATTATCAGGACAGAGAAACCAGACACATTTACATTTTAGTCATTTAGCAGACGCTCTTATCCAGAGCAACTTACAGTTAGTGAGTGCATACATTTTCATACTGGTCCCCCGTGGGAATCGAACCCACAACCCTGGTGTTGCAAGCGCCATGCTCTACCAACTGAGCTACACGGGACTCACATGGAGCACTCCAAACAAAAGACAATGAAAACATTTACAAATCTCGTAAATGATGGTCATGAAATAAACCAAAACTCAAATGACCGGTATATTTAAATCTTCCCGGTCAAGTTGTCCGGTGCCACATTTTCCTAACGAAAACCTTGCAATAGACATAGTTCCTGGCCATTCGCATCCCTGCAAATATGATGGCTCTTTTGAGTTGATACATTGCTACCGCAGACTTCGGAATGTGTTCTGAAGGAACAGGGTAGTTGTAAGCAATATGGAGGAAGCTCCCCCTAAGCCCTCAGTGAGGCTATGTGGAGCCTTCATCCTATTGCTTACACTGATCTCACTCTCTCTCCATCCACAGAGGTGTATCATCAACAACACCCACCGGCTGGTGGAGCTGTGTGTGGCCAAGCTCTCTCAGGACTGGTTCCCCTTGCTGGAGCTGCTGGCCATGGCCTTCAACCCCCACTGCAAGTTCCACATCTACAATGGCACGCGGCCCTCTGAGACAGTGCCCGCAGGGGCGCAGCTAGCAGACGACGAGCTCTTCGCCCGCCCCCCTGACCCTCGCTCTCCAAAGGTAGGGTCTGAATTCAAGGTAGGCCCCCCAAAGATCTTTTATTACTCACTTTGGTCAACCACCTGTTCTATCAATGTACTCCTTATTTAGGACCCAAAACTGTTTTTAAATATATATTTTCAGCGATTGACACTTTATTGAAACAGGAAGTCAGAGGGGGAGACAAACGGCGGGAAGGGTGGATACATGAATTGAACCCTGGTCTCCGGCGTGGAGTCGTATATTTGACTGCAACACATCGGCCCCAAACTTAACCCTCCCCCCCAATATATTTTTCCAAAATCACTAATAAACCCCAACTTTTCCCCAAGACCCTATAATCGATCTTCTGATTTTCCAGTACTCTCCCAAGGAAAGAAATGTTGACTCAGTTTGTCTATATCGTCAGTTTGCTAAATATATAACCCTCTACCTTCAAGGACAATTCCCCTATTTACTGTTGAGGCTTTTCTTGTAACAAGGTGGATCAACAAAAATATATACTGAGGATGTTTTAATAAACTATGTCCTGGGACTGATGTGATATTTGCTATACTGTGTAAATGTCTGTCTTTCCCAGCCAAATCTCATCATATAGGCACAGTGTGAAATGTCTGAATCCATTTTTTAGGATTGAGCCTAAATTAAATATCCTCTGGATGCCATAGCAACAGAAATGCAGAGAACAGGCTTTATTTTTTATTTTATTTTGCAATTTATTTTCTTTGAACGAATGCGCTCTTTGCTCTGGCCTTGCCTTAGGGCCAGTGCACATAAACAAAGGATGATCCCTCCGTGGACTGGGTAGGAAATAAGAGAGATGGAAATAGAACAAATGGCTGCACTCGAGGTGTCTGGACTGTTGTGGAGTTTAAATTAGATTAGGTGCTGCCAGGGAGAGAGAGTGAGTGAGTTTTTCTATGAAAAGCGCGATGAATGGAGCGTGGGCCGGGGGTGGTCAATGTGAACACTGTCTGCTGTAGATGCCCAATACAAACACTGCTGCAGCCTCTGATATGAGTCTGTGGGTTGAATCAAAAGCCAGGCAGTTTTCCTCTGATTTTCCCTTCAACCAAGCTTTTCTGTGTAACAGCTGTGAGACTTGAGGGATGTATTTGTATAACTGAACAGCTTGAGTGGATAGTATGGTGAGTATCTCTTAACTTTTTTGATTTATTTTTAACAAGTGTGTTGTTGTTTTTTCCTCTTCGTTCACAGGGCTGGTTGGTGGATTTAATTAACAAATTCGGCACGTTAAACGGGTTTCAAACGCTGCACGATCGCTTCATAAGTGGCCAAGCACTGAACGTCCAGATCATCGCTGCCCTTATCAAGTGAGTCGGCCCGTATATATACAGTGGGGGAAAAAAGTATTTAGTCAGCCACCAATTGTGCAAGTTCTCCCACTTAAAAAGATGAGAGAGGCCTGTAATTTTCATCATAGGTACACGTCAACTATGACAGACAAATTGAGAAAAAATTTTCCAGACAATCACATTGGAGGATTTTTAATGAATTTATTTGCAAATTATGGTGGAAAATAAGTATTTGGTCACCTACAAACAAGCAAGATTTCTGGCTCTCACAGACCTGTAACTTCTTCTTTAAGAGGCTCCTCTGTCCTCCACTCGTTACCTGTATTAATGGCACCTGTTTGAACTTGTTATCAGTGTAAAAGACACCTGTCCACAACCTCAAACAGTCACACTCCAAACTCCACTATGGCCAAGACCAAAGAGCTGTCAAAGGACACCAGAAACAAAATTGTAGACCTGCACCAGGCTGGGAAGACTGAATCTGCAATAGGTAAACAGCTTGGTTTGAAGAAATCAACTGTGGGAGCAATTATTAGGAAATGGAAGACTGATAATCTCCCTCGATCTGGGGCTCCACGCAAGATCTCACCCCGTGGGGTCAAAATGATCACAAGAACGGTGAGCAAAAATCCCAGAACCACACGGGGGGACCTAGTGAATGACCTGCAGAGAGCTGGGACAAAAGTAACAAAGCCTACCATCAGTAACACACTACGCCGCCAGGGACTCAAATCCTGCAGTGTCAGACGTGTCCCCCTGCTTAAGCCAGTACATGTCCAGGCCCGTCTGAAGTTTGCTAGAGTGCATTTGGATGATCTAAAAGAGGATTGGGAGAATGTCATATGGTCAGATGAAACCAAAATAGAACTTTTTGGTAAAAACTCAACTCGTTGTGTTTGGAGGACAAAGAATGCTGAGTTGCATCCAAAGAACACCATACCTACTGTGAAGCATGGGGGTGGAAACATCATGCTTTGGGGCTGTTTTTCTGCAAAGGGACCAGGACGACTGATCCGTGTAAAGGAAAGAATGAATGGGGCCATGTATCGTGAGATTTTGAGTGAAAACCTCCTTCCATCAGCAAGGGCATTGAAGATGAAATGTGGCTGGGTCTTTCAGCATAACAATGATCCCAAACACACCGCCCGGGCAACGATGGAGTGGCTTCGTAAGAAGCATTTCAAGGTCCTGGAGTGGCCTAGCCAGTCTCCAGATTTCAACCCCATAGAAAATCTTAGGAGGGAGTTGAAAGTCCGTGTTGCCCAGCGACAGCCCCAAAACATCACTGCTCTAGAGGAGATCTGCATGGAGGAATGGGCCAAAATACCAGCAACAGTGTGTGAAAACCTTGTGAAGACTTACAGAAAACGTTTGACCTGTGTCATTGCCAACAAAGGGTATATAACAAAGTATTGAGAAACTTTTGTTATTGACCAAATACTGATTTTCCACCATAATTAGCAAATAAATTCATTAAAAATCCTCCAATGTGATTTTCTGGATTTTTTTTTCCTCATTTTGTCTGTCATAGTTGACGTGTACCTATGATGAAAATTACAGGCCTCTCTCATATTTTTAAGTGGGAGAACTTGCACAATTGGTGGCTGACTAAATACTTTTTTCCCCCACTGTATTCACACACACACACACACACTTTAATGGATGACATTTAAAGAGCATGTTTCACTAGCTCTTCAGTGCTTTCTACATTATATGGGGCTAACTCACACCATTCACCACCAGTGTGTAACATCCCACCGTGCCATCGCTAAAGAAGGCCTCAGGCTCTTGCTGTGACGGGTCTGTCTTCATGACTAGATAGATGTGGTCATTTAGCGGACACTTTAATGTGGCCCATAGAGCAATCAAACCCACAACTCTGGTGTTGTAAGAGTCATGCTTCAACCAATAGAGCTATGGGAACAGCATGGTCTACTGGACGTGTTGTGACTGTGTTGTTTTGTCCTCCAGGCCTTTCGGGCAGTGTTACGAGTTCCTCACGTTGCACACGGTGAAGAAGTACTTCCTGCCCGTCATCGAGATGGTTCCTCAGTTCCTGGAGAACCTGACGGACGAGGAACTGAAGAAGGAAGCCAAGAACGAAGCCAAAAACGATGCCCTGTCCATGATCATCAAGTCCCTGAAGAACCTGGCTTCCAAGGTGCCTGGGCAGGAGGAGACTGTCAAGAACTTAGAAATATTTAGGTTAAAAATGATTCTTAGGTGAGTTCGCTTCAGGCCAAACTGTCCTAAAGGTTTTGTTTTAAAACACCTGTCTTGGTAACTATTGGCTGAACGCTAACCTGAGATACGTGCACGCATCGTGTATTGATGTCAATGTAAAAATTTGAGTAATGCTTGTGGATTTTAGTTAGGAATTGCCCCTATGTGAACTATTTGTTGATAGTAATCTGTGGTGGTTATGTTTTCATCTGCAGGTTATTGCAAATTTCCTCTTTTAACGGCAAAATGAATGCACTAAACGAAGTAAACAAGGTAATCTCCAGTGTGTCCTATTACACACATCGGCATGGCAACCCCGAGGAGGAGGAGTGGCTAACTGCAGAACGCATGGCGGTGAGTTAACCATCAATCAATCAAATCTATGTATTTTTTATTTAGTAATAATAATTGTCAGCGAACATGAATACACACATACAAAATGAAGTTAAATGTATTTGTTTAACGCTACACAAGCGCCTTTTCACAAAGTGTGTAGTATAGAGAGTATACCGTAGTGTGGTTTGTGGTGGCGTAGTCGGCAGAACTGATGGAGATTGAAAGATGTCTGTCTATCTGTCAGGAGTGGATCCAGCAGAACCACATCCTGTCCATTGTGCTGAGGGACAGCCTCCACCAGCCTCAGTACGTAGAGAAACTAGAGAAGATACTCCGCTTCGTCATCAAGGAGAAAGCTCTTACCATGCAGGATCTGGACAACATCTGGGCTGCACAGGTACAGTGCCTGCGTGTGTTAGTGCATGCGTTTGAAGAGAGAAAATCATTGATGATCACACATATTGTGCATGGTTCAGGTGAAGGGGATATGACCCGTAACAGCTCTTACGACAGAATGGGAAATCCTTCGTCTTACCTGGGGCATTTCCAGGTCTTTGGGGTTGATTTGCTGAAAACGCCCTTACCTAAGCATGGCTCGGTCCATGAAATGGCGTTAATGTGCCCCATGTGAAATGTAAGGCTGAAAACAGATAATCCAGCAGTGTGATTGTTGACACGTTGTTTGTTGACATTTTTTGTTGACATGTTGTTCCACCGGCAGGCTGGTAAACATGAGGCCATCGTGAAGAACGTCCACGACCTTCTGGCCAAGCTGGCCTGGGACTTCTCTCCTGAGCAGCTTGACCACCTCTTTGACTGCTTCAAGGTGAGACCTCTCTCCACACACACACACACAGCACGTTTCACTATCCTTGTAGGGACCAGAAATGTATTTCCCTTAACCTTAACTCCTAACCCTAAACTTAAACCCGAAATGTAACCCCTAAACCTAAAATAGCTTTTGTCCTCGTGGGGACCTGGGAAATGTCCCCACGAGGGATCATTTTCCTTGTTTGACTATCCTTGTGGGGACTTTCCGGTACCAACGAGGAAGCCCACACACACACTTTGCTCTCCTAACCCCTGTGGTGGTTTGTTTGCGGTCTGCAGGCGAGTTGGACGAACGCCAGTAAGAAGCAGCGTGAGAAGCTGTTGGAGCTGATCCGTCGTCTGGCGGAGGACGACAAGGATGGAGTGATGGCCCACAAGGTAAACATGGGTTAAAGAGATGTATTTTTCTAGCTCCTGTGCGCCATTTGGATATGAGTAATGAAGGTTCCTCTCCTCCTCTGCTCCATTTGGATATGAGTACTGAAGGTTCCTCTCCTCCTCTCACCACAAGGTGCTGAACCTGTTGTGGAACCTGGCTCACAGCGACGACGTGCCTGTAGACATCATGGACCAGGCCCTCAGTGCTCACATCAAGATACTGGACTACAGTTGCTCTCAGGTAATACTAGGTACCAGTCAAGAGCCAGGCGACTGCTTTCCCACACGGCTCAAGGTATTGAGAACCAGCCAATGTTTTTAGGGGTATGTTGGGGTGCTAGCAAGGACTGGCTTATGGCTGTGTGTGTGTGTGTTCCTTGAATACTGTTGATGTTGATGTTCATTTCAGGATAGAGACACGCAGAAGATCCAGTGGATCGATCGCTTCATAGAAGAGTTGCGCACCAATGACAAATGGGTGATTCCTGCACTAAAGCAGATCCGAGAGATCTGTAGCCTGTTCGGAGAGGCTCCTCAGAATCTCAGGTAAAGGAATGGACAGGGTCAGAGTTCAACTACGGGCTGGGAGGGAGACATCATTTATAAACTCTGTTGAACATGCTTGTGATTTACAAAGATATAGAAACGGAATGAGTACAAATTTAGGATAATTCAGAAGGACATAACAGAAAGAAATGTACACTGTATAGCAGCCATGCTTCTTTGTCAGCTCTATACTTTAGATTTCTATCTGCAACATTTTAGATATTCACCCCACTTTAATTTTTGTTTTGCTCAGGATGCTATGCTTGGTTATACGTTTTCTCTACGCCTTTAAAGAATGGCATTTTAATCACATTTCCAGAGGGGCTGAAGCATGCCAACTCTTTTGTAAACAGGCATTTTCTGTTAACAGTCTGAGATTTGACCTTGCCATCCAGTTTGATCGAACAGTGAACATTCTTAGACTAAAACCGAGCGAATGTACTGTATCTTGCTTCTTAAACGCTGAGTTCTCAAAGTAGCATAGATATTGTTGAATTAGGTGCTGCTTTTAATAACATGCAGTTGTACTGACTGAAGTAGCATTGGTAAATGCAGCAAATATGTAGCACACCACATGCCTGTTGTTTTTCAGAAAGAAAATGCCTATTAACATACAAACGAACTTAGTGGGGTAAGTTGACAGCTAATTTGGGGGATATTATGGCCATTTTGTTATTTGAAATTGTAAAAAATGTCTAAATTCACTCTTTCTCTCAGATGGTACAACAGATCTGTAATGTTTATTTTCATTCATAAATCTGCTTTAGCAAACCTTTCTCAAGGTAAACCTCAAATTACACCCTATTCCATATACACTACTGCACTACCTTTGACCAGAGCCACAAATGACTCCAAATAGTGCACTACTTTTCACCAGAGCCACAAAAGGCTCTTGTCAAGTAGTGCACTACATGGGGAATTGCATACAAAAGTAGTGCACTACATGGGAAATAGGGTGTAATTTGAGATGCACTCAAAAGCGTCTCTTTCTGCACCGGCTCCTCTTAGCTTCAATCACCGACTGTTTGCAGGGTGACATTTTGGGGGCATTTCTGGGAGCACTGCTTACTCACATTTCCTAAACACATCGTAGTGATTTTAAGAATGAAATTCCTCACCATTTCTCTTTCTGCACACACAGACACACACACACACACACACACACACACACAGAGATCATGGGGTACTGTTTAGAATGTTGGATATACCAATACTGCTTTCTTTGCACTACAGATGCAGAGAAGCAACAAAATTCCACTTATTCTGCAGATAAATTATTGTAATAATTTCATTAGTAGGAGTGGGGGTAAAAGTTGATGTTGTCGGCCTGTCATAGACATGGTGACTAAAGTCTCTGAACCTTTCTGTCTATCTCCTTCCCACCCCCCCCCTCTCTCTCTCTCTCCATCCCCCTCTCGCTCTCTCTCTCTCTCTAGAGAGAGGCTCGAGCTTCCTCAATCAGCGTAGGAGGCGAGAGAAGGTCCAAAAAGCTCGGCATCCGCCATACGATCCTAGGATCTGCTCAGCCATCTTCTCTCCTCTCTCATCTCTCCGCTCTCTATTCTCTCCTTCTCTTCGCGCTCTTCTATCTCTCTCTCTCGCTCTCTCTCTCTCTCTCTCTCTCTCTCTCTCTCTCTCTCTCTCTCTCTCGCTCTCTCTCTCTCTCTCTCTGCTCTACAGTCAGACCCAGAGGAGTCCTCATGTGTTCTATCGTCATGACCTGATCAACCAGCTGCAACACAACCATGCCCTGGTCACGCTGGTGGCTGAGAACCTCTCTGCCTACATGGAGACCATGAGGCAGTTCTCTAAAGGTATGGACCACCTCACACAGGAGGGGACATTTTCTCATTCATCACGATTGCCTCATTCTTGACTTTCAGACTTTTCTGATAGCAGAAAATCTTAAATACTATTTCTCTATGTTCTCTACCCTCTTTTTCTAACCCTGGGGCAATTAGCATGTTAGATTTCCATTTGGAAAAACCTCAGCAGTTGGGTACAATTGAAAGATGCACCTTGAGCCCTCACATAGATGATTGTGTCTGTCGTGTAGCCGAGCAGACGGAGTTTGACCCCCAGACGGTGAGGGTAGGGAGCCGCTACAGCCACGTACAGGAAGTCCAGGAGAGACTCAACTTCCTGAGGTATGACATCACATCCGCAGGGCAGTATTCATTAGGCACCAAACAGAAGAAAAGACTGTAACCGGCAGAGACCGACGCGCTCTTTTCTGTTTTCCATTGCAAAGCCCTTTAAAACGTTTTCCATTGCGTAACCTAATGAATACGACCCAGCTCTTCATCTTCATGGATTCAATGAATGGAAGTGAACGGTGAACTGAGCCACTGTAGTCTGATCATAATGGTTCATGTATGCGTCTGTGTTGTCCCCAGGTTCTTGCTGAAGGACGGCCAGTTGTGGCTCTGTGCTCCTCAGGCAAAACAGATCTGGAAGTGTCTGGCCGAGAACGCAGTCTTTCTTTGTGACCGAGAGGCCTGCTTCAAATGGTACGCTGCCATCGTCAATATTATTATCACCTCGAAAGGGTGAATATGGCTACAACATATTTCTATTTCCTTTGTCTCATTCATAGAGAACAACTCAAATGTTCTCAATTTTCTCAACACGAGAAACACCAAGTCAACTCTGTTGTTCATCCCCAGGTACTCCAAGCTGATGGGAGACGAGCCAGACCTGGACCCGGACATCAACAAGGACTTCTTTGAGAACAACGTCCTCCAGCTGGATCCGTCTCTGCTCACGGAGAATGGCATGAAGTGCTTTGAGAGGTTCTTCAAGGCCGTCAACTGCCGGGAGGGCAAGCTGGTGGCCAAACGCAGGGCCTACATGATGGACGACCTGGAGCTCATAGGACTGGACTACCTCTGGAGGGTGAGTTATTTAGCCTACTTATCACTGTTATGAAGCTGTTATAACTGACAGCTGTTGGACCAATGTTCCCTCTCGCGCAGCTCCCCCGGGACTGCTGCCCAGAACAAATATCAGCCCATGCAGAGACGCACGAGATTGAACTTCACTCAACTATCTAGAGTTTTCCCCGTTAGTTAACACTATCAACGTTTCCCTTTACTGTGGGAATTGTGATCGAATCAACGCAGTATTAGCCACTTTCAATGCAACATACCGAAACAAAAACGAACTATGCAAGACTTGGTATGCAAAACTAACTATGCATGAGATTTTGTTGTAGGCAGAATGCTGATGCTGATTCTCTGTAATAATGGTATGGGAATAATGATGCATTTTATTTTGTAAAGTGGTTTCTTGCATCAAACATTCAGTCACTTCCTTGTCTGAAGGACAAGTGGATAAACAGGTTAATGTCAAGCCCTGCATGTTGTTTTTCAAGTCTCTTGGAATGTAGGCCTACATCGAACACCACACATTGGCTGTTACTGTAGGCTGACTGATAGAACAGCTATTTCCATGTTGAAATGTTATGGGATGCAATTTCTCCATTGTTTTTGATGGTAGGACTTTCTGGTAGGCCTACATTATGATCAAATAGCCACAGTAACCTACTTGACCACTGTTAAAATTGTAAGTTAAAGCGGGTTCAGCCTCCGTGTTCACAGTAAACGCGCGCTGGAAGTTGAACTGAATTTTCACAAAGTTCAAGTTTGCGCTCAGCAGACCTGAAATTTGCTCAGTGCCTCATTTTCTTTGAGGGCACATTAGGCTGGACTTCCTCTGGAGGGTGGGGTTTATAAAGCCTCTTAGCACTGTGGTTATGCAGCTGTTTTAGCAGACAGCTGTAACCATCTTTTTAAACCTTGAACTCCCTTTGGACTACATTCAGTGTCTTCGGAAAGTATTCAGACACCTTGACTTTTTTCCACATTTTGTTACGTTACAGTCTTATTCTAAAATTGCTTAAATAAAAATCCTCATCAATCTACACACAATACCCCATATTGACAAAGCGAAAACAGGTTTTTAGACATTTTTGCAAATGCATTCAAAAATAAAAAACTGACCTTATTTACATAAGTATTCAGACCTTTTGCTATGAGACTCGAAATTGAGCTCAGGTGCATCCAGTTTCCATTGATCATCCTTGAGATATTTCTACAACTTGATTGGAGTCCACCTTTCGTCAATTCAATTGATTGGACATGATTTTGAAAGGCACACACCTGTCTATATAAGGTCCCACAGTTGGCAGTGCATGTCAGAGCAAAAACCAAGCCATGAGGTCGAAGGAATTGTCCGGAGAGTTTCGAGACAGGATTGTGTCGAGGCACAGATCTGGGGAAGGGTACCAAAACATTTCTGCAGCATTGAAGGTCCCTAAGAACACAGTGGCCTCTATCATTCTTAATTTGAAGAAGTTTGGAACCACCAAGACTCTTCCTAGAGCTGGCCGCCCGGCCAAATTGAGCAATCGGGGGAGAAGGGTCTTGGTCAGGTAGGTGACCAAGAACCTGATGGTCACTCTGACAGAGCTCCAGAGTTACTCTGTGGAGATGGGAGAACCTTCCAGAAGGACAACCATCTCTGCAGCACTCCACCAATCAGGCCTTTATGGTAGAGCGGCTAGACTGAATCCACTCCTCAGTAAAAGGCACATGACAGCCCGCTTGGAGTTTGCCAAAAGGCACCTAAAGTCTCTGACCATGAGAAACAAGATTCTCTGGTCTGATGAAACCAAGATTGAACTCTTTGGCCTGAATGCCAAGCGTCACGTCTGGAGGAAACCTGGCACCATCCCTACGGTGAAGCATGGTGGTGGCAGCATCATGCTGTGGGGATGTTATTCAGCGGCAGGGACTGGTAGACTAGTCAGGATTGAGGCAAAGATGAACGGAGCAAAGTACAGAGAGATCCTTGATGATAACCTGCTCCAGAGCGTTCAGGACCTCAGACTGGGGCGAATGTTCACCTTCCAACAGGACAACGACCCTAAGCACACAGCCAAGACAACGCAGGAGTGGCTTCGGGCAGTGGTGGAAAAAGTACGCAATTATCATACTTGAGTAAAAATAAAGATACCTTAATAGAAAATGACACAAGTAAAAGTCACCCAAACAAACAAATACTACTTGAGTAAAGTCTAAAAGTATTTGGTTTTAAATATTATTCAGTATCAAAAGTACACGTAATTGCTAAAATATGCTTAAGTATCAAAAGTAAAAGTATGAATCATTTCAAATTCTTTATATTAAGCAAACCAGATCGCACCATTTTCTTGTTTGTTAAATTTACGGATAGCCAGGGGCACACTCCGACTCTCAGACATAATTTACAAACGAAGCATTTGTGTTTAGTGAGTCCACCAGATCAGAGGCAGTAGGGATGACCAGGGATGTTATTTTGATAAGTGCGCGAATTGGACCATTTTCATGACCTGCTAAGCATTCAAAATGTAAAGAGTACTCCCGTGTAGCTCAGTTGGTAGAGCATGGCGCTTGCAACGCCAGGGTTGTGGGTTCGATTCCCACGGGGGACCAGTATGAAAAAAAAAATGTATGTACTCACTAATTGTAAGTCACTCTGGATAAGAGCGTCTGCTAAATGACTAAAATGTCAAATGTACTTTAGCGTGTCAGGGAAAATGTATGGAGTAAAAAGTACATTATTTTCTTTAGGAATGTAGTGAAGTAAAAGTTGTCAAATATAAATAGAGTACAGATACCCCAAAAAAATACTTACGTAGTACTTTAAAGTATTTTTACTTAAGTACTTTACACCACTGGCTTCGGGACAAGTCTCTGAATGTCCTTGAGTGGCCCAGCCAGAGCCCGGACTTGAACCTGATCGAACATCTCTGGAGAGACCTGAAAATAGCTGTGCAGCGACCTCTGTGTCTGAAACAAAGGGTGAAATGACTGACTGCATGTCTGGCCTACAGTATGAGCACTAATGAACTGCTCAAGCATTTTACTATCCTTCTTTCTTGATCATGTTGTCTTCTGTCTCACCAAGCCCACATTCAAAAGGCACAACTTCAAAGAAGACCATACCCTCTGAATGCTGCTATTTGAGGTGATGATCATTAGTCATTTCCATGCATCTATAAACCTCTGGGTTCTGTGGGATTGTTTCAGGAGCATCTGAAACGGATAGATTTAGTGAGTATGTCTGTATGGGAGAGAGGGGGCGGTGGGTGGCTGACCCAGTTAGTTAGCAGCCTAGCTGTTTGTGTTTAGTGACCTACATGGCCTGTAATCCCTCTGTGTTGTTAAATGAAGTCCTTACATCACAGAGGAACAGACAAGTCTTCTGGATGCTGCTAAACCGAACATCAGCTTCTGTGGTGCTGAGGAGGAAGGGCTGTTTTAATGTTGTAGAGTCTGTCAGTCCAATGGCTTCTGATGATGTTGTAGTCGGGGCTTTAACGGTATTGGTACCGAACCGCTCGGTACGGAGACTTCGGTCCGCACTGTGAACCTGAATGAGTACATAAAACCAATATTGATTTATTTTTTAACACTAGGCCTATAGGCTATTCCTACGCTGCATTGTATGCCATTGCCTAGAGAGGAAATCTGAGCTGAGAAAACATTGTAGGCTATTCCGTTAAAACAACTGCAGCCCATGCGCCCGTTGTAATCAGAATTCGTATCTTAACTGCCGGATTTCAAACTATCCTTTTCATCATTGTTTAAATCTCCAGTTTAGGAACATTTTGGCTTCATAGTCGATTTAAAACGGCGATGGACAGTTGTGGATAAAACGTTAATAGTATGTTCTCCACTGCTCAACGAGAATAGCCTATGCAGAGTGGCGCTTGTAGCTTGTTGTCGTCCAATCACAAGTCATCGAAGCGCCACTACAGTCATGGAGCGTCCTTGTGTGGAAAACCAAGTTAGGAGATTATCTAATTAATGGAAGATGGAATTAAAAGTGAAATGAAAAGTATATGCTACAACAAACAAGAGCCAACAGTTAGGCTGCTATGTAATAATCTGAATGGATGTGTTGTTATTTGTAACTGTAGGACAGTACGAAAGCGCATGCAGACTCAATTAGCAGCTAATTTAGCTAGCTGTTTTAGCCAACTAGCTTCTCTCGGGTTGATGCAGTCAAGACAGGTACTACGTAATCATATTGGATGATAAATAACCTAGCTATGACAAGCTAGAAGTTAGTCTACTAGCGCAAGTCTTCTCGGTTGGGTGCTCCCTCCCTCCCTCCTTCCTCCCGTTTCACTCGCTCACAGCACAGGTCCCTCCTCCGCCTGCTCTCCCTCGCGTTGTATCAGCTCTGGTTAATAAAGTAGCTTACAAATGGTCTTTTCTGCTGCTTCCTTCACTCGGATCCGACCACGTCTATACGGAACTTGTCGACCTCGGGTCCGTTCGGAACGGGTCTCTATATTGAAAAATGTATTTATGCATATTTGTCAGGGTGGGAAAGCCCCATGTCCATTTCGGAACGGGTCCTTGAGGCCCAACATAACAATCCCTGTCACAACAGAAAATGCCAGGAACATTGTGAATGATGTCACAGAAACTGGACTTGGGCCACAAATAGGGTGCTTTTAAATTGTGCGTATTTTGCCAGTAAACAAACATTTAACTACAGTAACTGTTGGAATTTCATTTTTCTGCTGTACGGTAATCGAACCGTGACCCCAAAACCGCAATACGTACCGAACCGTGGGTTTTGCGAACCATTACACCCTTAGTCTGACCAATGGCTTCTGATGATGATGAAACCTGTGTTGGTTCAAAGTGTTCTTCTAACCTTATTATTCACGCTCTGGGTATATTAGATAATTCACAAGTTCATTTGTTTTAGATGTGGGATTTCTAAACCTTGTTCTCACTTCCTATGCATAGCTGATTCAGGAGTTGTGTTATTGTATATTTGGGTATTCAGCCTTTTTGCACGGTATGGGTCTAGGCTACATTTGAGTTCATTGGATTTTCTCATATGCAATGTTTGGTTGCGAATTATGTATTTTTTTGCATCCTAAGCAAAGCTCATTTTACAGCACTGATGTTATTGATTTGGCTGGTAAGCCGTGCGTGGTACACATTTAGCGCGTACACACACACACACACACACACACACACACACACACACACACACACAGTATTTGAGGCTGGGTTAGTGCACTGCTGTAAGTGCTGTTAGTGTGTGAGACCTGCTCAGGGTCAGCGGGTAGTGACTGGTGATGATTCTGTGGGCTGTTGCTGAGTACCTATTAATGGCCCCCTCCTCTAGTCTGGATGAGTCATAACACACACACACTTTTCAGTGTTGTCTCCAGGGCTGTGTGATAGAGAGAGGGGGCCGGAGGCGTCCATTGATTCCGTCTGTTATTTCCTCCTGCCAGGTCGTAATTCAAGGGAGCGATGACATCGCCAGTCGAGCCATAGACCTGCTGAAAGAGATTTACACCAACCTCGGACCAAAACTACAAGTCAATCAGGTAACCTGGGTGTCCGCTGTCCCGGTGACAATAACGGCTCAATCTGCTGTTAGGTCATCCTAAATCATCTAGCCATTTTGAGTCAACCACTTACATATAAACACAGTCATGAATAGAATAGTGATTGTATTGCCAATCAATTGTAGTTGATTATAATTTAGACGGGGACAGTCCGTGTGAAACACCGCTACAGCATCCCTTCCTCTGCGAGCCCCGTTGCACATATTGGTTTTAGGGACGTTAACCGGTTAGCCGGTGAAAATACATTTGACCAGTCATGCTTATCTGTCTTATAGGTTCATTTGAATAATTTAGTGGAATTAAATTGGCACGCGTGTATTTTCGTTAGTCGTCATGTATCTTATTTATTACATTTACATTACAGTTACGTCATTTAGCAGACGCTCTTATCCAGAGCGACTTACAGGAGCAATTAGGGTTAAGTGCCTTGCTTAAGGGCACATCGACAGATTTTTCACCTAGTCGGCTCGGGGATTAGAACCAGCGACCTTTCGGTTACTGGCACAACGCTCTTACCCACTAAGCTACCTATCACACGCGCACAGCATACAGAGCCTAGTTTGAGGAGTGGAATCACCTATCACCTGTCAGACAGCACAAGAGCATCTTCTCAAAAAGCTGGTACTGGAGTGATATGTGCTTTTTTTTAAGCCCAGTTGTTGCACAACAAATAACAATTCTAAATGCAATCGCGTGTTAATAACTGTTTTGACGGCCACAATTAAAAAGAGCTACTATTTTTATTTCTCAATCTCAACTCATAATTAAAACGCTCCTCCCATTCGCCATTCGAGTGCATAGGATATAGTCACCGGTAGGCAGGCTATCAGCGCGTCACCCACCGCTTTACAATGTGAGCTTGAGGCAGTATAATTGTTTGAAACCTGAATGTTTTACTTTACTTGAAATAATGAGGAATGTCTTACCTTGCTTCAAAGTAGCCTAGACAAAATTCAGCCCTAGAAATGTTGAGGCAATTATTTTAGAAAAGACTTCCTCGTGCCATTAACCAGCATTTCTCTCCTGTTCTATTGGTTTTCATATTAACTTTTTTGTTGTTGTCTGGAAGCCAAAGGCACAATCCTAGTCATATTAGTAACCCATCCCAGTTGTTGCTATTAGATTCCCCCTCTTTCTAAATTTCTAACTGAGATTTTAATCTCTGTCACATATAGAATCGTTCGCATTAGGTGCGCTGTTTAGAACAGTGTTTCCCCACAAATTGCATTTTGGCGAATGTTTGAAAATGGCGTTTTATTAGCTGCTTCATTAACCTCTACGGGATCGATGTCCCGTATACGGGATGGTTGAGCTAACGGGCGCTAATGTGATTAGCATGACTGTTGTAAGTAACAGCTAACTTTCCAGGACATAGACAAGTCTTATATGGGCAGAAAGCTTAAATTATTGTTAATCTAACTGCACTGTCCAATTTACAGTAGCTATTACAGTGAAAGAATACAATGCTATTGTTTGAGGAGAGTGCACAACAACAAAAAACGTATCAAGGCAACTGGTTTGATACATTCACCTCTGAAGGTAAATAATGTACTTACATTCAGTAATCTTGCTCTGATTTGTCATCCTAAGGGTCCCAGAGATAAAATGTAGCATAGTTTTGTTTGATAAAATCTATTTTTATATTCAAATGTAGGAACTGGGTCTCTGGCTCCACACCCACCCCGCCCGGCCATCTAGATGTGTGAAAGTTAGTGTATAAGCTAATGATCCATCATGTATGACATTCCTGGGAGTGTGTAAACTTACATTTTGTATTACCATATAATTTTTGTATGTTCTCTATAGTTATGTACTTGAAAATGTATCAATTGACCAATTCGGCACATTTGGGCAGACTTGATACATAATAGTCCAGTATTGCAATGCTTCACTGGGTCAATCGGAAACTTTGCACACACACTGCTGCCATCTAGTGGCCAAAATCTAAATTGCCATCTAGTGGCCAAAATCTAAATTGCCATCTAGTGGCCAAAATCTAAATTGTGCCTAAACTGCAATATCATATTGTGGCCTTTCTCTTTCATTTCATAGATGGAACAAAAAGAATCATAGAAAACGCATGTTTTTTTGTTTTGTATCATCTTTTACCAGATCTAATGTGTTATATTCTCCTACATTAATTTCAAATTTCCACTCATTTCAAAGTGTTTCCTTTCAAATGGTATCAAGAATATGCATATCCTTGCTTCAGGTCCTGAGCTACAGGCAGTTAGATTTGGGTATGTCATTGTAGGTGAAAATTGAAAAAAAGGGTCCGATCCTTAAGAGGTTTTAAAGCAGTTGCATGTTCAATAATAGGCTATAGCCTTTTGACTAAGACGATAGGCTTGCTATTGTTGCATGTTTTCATTAAGCTCAATGAAAAATGTCTGTTCCTTGTATGCATGCATAGTATTTTCTGTTGGTCACGTCATTTTACTGTTTGGAAAAATATAACCGTTAGTTGACCGGTTAATGAGGGTTGGTTAGTCGGAAGCAGAATTGACCGAAATGTGCATCGCTAATTGGTACTATTTCCAGTACTAGCACCTGATTCCTGATGGATGGATTGGAACGCACTGCAGTTAGTTCCATACAAACACTGTCAACCATTAGACATGAATCTCCTTCTCCTGAACTCACTCCTCTGACTGTCCTTCCCCTCCTCTCCCCCCATACAGGTAGAGATCCACGAGGATTTCATCCAGTCATGTTTCGACCGTCTGAAGGCGTCGTATGATACGCTGTGTGTCCTGGAAGGGGACAAGGACAGCATCAACTCGGCCCGGCAGGAGGCCGTCCGCATGGTCCGCGTGCTCACCGTGCTCAAGGAGTACATCAACGAGTGTGACAGTGACTACCATGAGGAGAGGACCATACTGCCAATGTCCAGGTAGGGGAGGACATAGGCAGACAGACAATAATGCACGCAGAAGCACTGATATTGAGCCTGTTTTCCTGACATGTTTTCCCATTTTGTCCTGTCCACCTCTCTCTCTTTCTCTCCGTCTGTCTGTCCTCTCTGCTCTCTCTCTTTTTCATACATTTAGATAATTGCTGAGACTTGGTTAAAAAAGTCTGTGCTAGACTGTGTCTCTCTGAATGGATATAATGTTTATAGATCTGACAGAGCTAGCAGAGGTGGGGGTGTCGCCATATTCACAAAGAACAACTTGAATGTTGCTGTCTGTATTACTAGCTCTATCCACAAGCAATTTGAATGTCTTGTCCTAAATGTGGGCCTTGGTAATAATGCCCAACTAACGTTAGTGGGAGTTTATCGCCCTCCCAATTGCCCTTAACAAATTGTCTGATTTGCTGTCTACCTATGCTAAATCTCAATTAATATTGGGTGATCTTAACCTGGATTTGTTGATTCCAGTATCAGATAGACTGGAGGATATTTGTACTGAGCTAAATTTAATTCAACTGATGACTAAACCAACCCGCCCCAACTTAAATCACCCTGAAAAAATCGAGTATTTTGGATATCCTTCTAACATAAGTATACAGTCAAACAGAATCTTTGCTAACGAGCTCAGTGACCATTGTCCCATTGCATGTATTAGAGATAATAAGCTACTTAAATCGTGTCCAGGCATTATTACAAAGATACATTTTAGAACTTTCAATGAGGAACATTTCCTGTATGACCTGGGGCTGTATGATTTGGGGGGGTGTCCTCCATCTCTGATTCAGATCAGGCCCTTAAATGTTTTACCTCTGTTTAACTCTGTTGCGCGTAAGAATGCCACATATAACAGATTAAGAGTAAAGGACAGATCTAACCCATAGTTCACGCATGAATTGTCTGAAAGATTTCATGGAAGAAACTTAGCTTGGGCTAAGGTTAGATTGACTGATTCTACCTCTGACTGTCAGTCCTTCAGACATTTGAGAAGTAGATGTCTTACTGTGGGCAAAGTCAACATACTTCTTGAATTGTGTATCTGAGAGTGGTGGAAATCCAGCTAAATTCTGGAAAGTGGTCAAATCTTTTTAAAAAAACAAAAAAAAACGACCCCCCTCATTTCCCCAGCAGGTTATGACAGCCTCTGGTACCATTATAGAGGCGAAATAAATTATACCCTGATGAAGACAGCTTGTCTGTGGAAATGTTGGTTATTAGGATATTAAATGATTGCATCTCTGAGCTCCTAGAGTGTGCGGCTTTCCTTTTCTTTTTCAAGCCTCTGGTACCATAACAGATCAAAATGACATTGGTGGTGCTAATTGATAGCCATTTTGCCTCAGCTAGCCATCCTTTTGAAAGAACGGTTTCTGAAAATACCTTCATTACTCCCTTTTCATCCTTTATTCAACTCTAAACAGATACCAGAGAATGATGCTCTTCCAGGCACTCACTATTTATTTTAATTAATTTTGTACCATTTATTTGCAGGAAAATGTATGTACAAAAAAATACACAGGAGCTGATTCGCTTCATCCCTTTCTACTGCAGCTTTCTCCCCGCCTCATTGTAGAATATTTTACCCACATTTTTTATTCAACAATTGCTTCTGGTGCTATCCCTAAGACCTGGAAGGCGGTGCATGTCCTCCCCCTTTACACAAGTGGAGGTCCTTCTGGCCTAGATAACTACCGCCCAATTTCTAAACTATCTTACCTTGCAAAAATATTAGAATCACTGGCAAACTCTCAGCTAATAACTTTTTTCACTTCAAATGATATTCTTAATGTATACCAGTCTGGTTTTAGACCAAGCTACGCTTGTCTTAAATTATATACACTACCGGTCAAAAGTTTTAGAACACCTACTCATTCAAGGGTTTTTCTTTATTTTTACTATTTGCTACATTGTAGAATAATAGTGAAGACATCAAAACTATGAAATAACACACATGGAATCATGTAGTAACCAAAAAATTGTTAAACAAATCAAAATATATTTTATATTTGAGATTCTTCAAATAGCCACCCTTTGCCTTGATGACAGCTTTGCACACTCTTGGCATTCTCGCAACCAGCTTCATGAGGTAGTCACCTGGAATGCATTTCAATTAACAGGTGTGTCTTCCTAAAAGTGAATTTGTGGAATTTCTTTCCTTAATGCGTTTGAGCCAATCAGTTGTGTTGTGACAAGGTGGGGGGGGGGGTATACAGAAGATAGCCCTATTTGGTAAAAGACCAAGTCCATATTATGGCAAGAACAGCTGAAATAAGCAAAAGAGAAACGACAGTCCATCATTACTTTAAGACATGAAGGGCATTCAATCCGGAAAATTTGCAGTCGCAAAAACCATCAAGCGCTATGATGAAACTGGCTCTCATGAGGACCACCACAGGGATGGAAGACCCAGAGTTACCTCTGCTGCAGAGGATAAGTTCATTAGCGTTACCAGCCTCAGAGATTGCAGCCCAAATAAATGCTTCACAGAGTTCAAGTAACAGACGCATCTCAACATCAACTGTTCAGATGAGACTGTTTGAATCAGGCCTTCATGGTCGAATTGCTGCAAAGAAACCACTACTAAATGACACCAATATGAAATGAGACTTGCTTGGGCTAAGAAACACGAGCAATGGTCTGGAGTCCAAATTGTAGATTTTTGGTTCCAACCGCCGTGTCTTTGTGAGACGCTGTGTGTGAATGGATGATCTCCGCATGTGTATTTCGCACTGTAAAGCATGGAGGAGGTGTTATGGTGTGGGGGTGCTTTTTTGGTTACTACATGATTCCATATGTGTTATTTCATAGTTTTGATGTCTTCACTATTATTCTACAATGTAGAAAATAGTAAAAAATAAAGAAAAACCCTTAAATGAGTAGGTGTTCTAAAACTTTTGACCGGTAGTGTATTAAATTGCTTAGATCATAGGAATCACTGCTGCCATATTTGTAGACCTATCTAAGGCCTTTGATACTGTCGACCATCCCCTACTCATTCAAAGATTGTCTGAAATTGGCCTCGACCAGGTGTCTTGCAAGTGGTTTGGGAACTATCTGTCAGACAGGACACTGTGTGCTTTCTGATGTTGTCAAGTAACCTTGATATTACTAAAGGTGTCCCGCAGGGGTCGATTTTGGGACCTGTCCTTTTTACAATTTATATAAATAATATTGGTCTATCTGCAAAAACCTGTAACATTCATCTGTATGTATGCTGATGACACTTATGTACGCTATTGCCCCTATGACACCCCTATTTATGCAACTGCCCCCAATTGTTGTAGCTGCAATCTGATTTTGTTGCCTTGCTGATAAAAAAAAAAAAAAAAAAACGAAATGTATGCTGTTTTGTAATTCTCATTGAAATATATATTTCAGATGGCTTACACATTTATGCATTGGATGGGTGTTTCATCGAGCAGGTTCCCGCCTATAAATATCTGGCCTTTTGGATTGACAATAATTTGCAGTTTTAAAAAAACATACCGATGGGCAAGTTAAGAAGCTGAGATTTAAAGTAGGCTTTTTCTAATAGAAATAGATCATGCCTCTCCCTAAACAGCAGGAAGCAGATTGTACAGTCAACTTTCCTGCCAGTTCATGACTACACCTTTTATCATAGTGCCCTTGGCTTTATCACCGGTTACAGTTTTAAAACGCATCACTGCATCATGTATCAAAAGGTTGGCTGGTCCTCATTAAAGTCCCGTAGATGTCTTCATTACTTCGTTTTTGTTTACAAAGTGCTACTACACAAGCTTCCTACCTCATTTCACTGTTAAAATAAAAAAAATATGAGACACCAAACCCGTTCACAGGGATGGTTAACTCTCCAAGTTCCACTAGTGCGTACCGTTGTAGGTAAATCCGCTTTCACTTTTAGTGCTGCCCCAGTTTTTAGAATAGCTTATAAAACTCCCTACGTCTTGACACCCTGGTGCTGCTAGGGAAGTTTAGGACTTTAATGTTGTATGAATTGAATGACAATTGCCACTGTTTGGATTGGATAATTGTATTTGTGGTGTTTGAAGCTGTAGTGTTGATTCTGTAATTTGTATTTTATTTTTACTGATCATTTTGAATTTGTTGTATTGTTGTCCTCAGGGCACCATTTGGAAATGAGACCCTGGTCTCAATGGGTTCCCCTGAATAAAGTTAGGTAAAAATCTCCTCTCTCTCCTTTCTCTCAGGGCGTTCCGGGGGAAGCACATCACGTTGATTGTGCGTTTCCCTAACCAGGGCCGTCAGGTGGATGACCTGGACATCTGGTCTCACACCAACGACACCATTGGCTCGGTGCGCCGCGGCATCCTCACACGCATCAAGGCCAACGCCACGCACACCAAGATAGAGCTCTTCATTGGCGGGGAGGTCATCGACCCGGCCGACGACAGGAAGCTGATTGGCCAGCTCAACCTGAAAGACAAAGCGGTGAGCGTAATGTTTTGACGAGTCACATTCTTTCTTCCTCTGGTCTTGACAGTTTATTTTTTGTGTAGGTTAGAGTTTGGGTAATGTTTCTGTGATTATTTATACAAAATGGTTTGTCTGATGTCTTATATTCTCCCATGTGCGTGCGTGTGTGTAGTTGATCACAGCCAAGCTGACCCAGGTGAGTGCCAACATGCCCTCCAGCCCAGACAGCTCCTCGGACTCTTCCACTGGCTCACCTGGTAACCACGGCAACCACTTCAGCGAAGGGCCCAATCCCGAGGTGGAGAGCTGTCTCCCTGGAGTGGTGAGTGAATTTAAACACTCTCACAGCTGCTTCCCCAGAGTGGCTCGTCACCCCTCTCATGTTATTTCGTCAGTCACCGTTACTTGGGAAGGGTGCCTAGCTCTCTTGGTCCCTGCCTAGAAAACAATTCAAATTGTTGCCTTTGATAGGAAAGCATCCAGATAGTAGAAAGTCTCCTTTGTCAAAAGGCCATATTCAGCTACAGGGGCTCTGCAGTTTCTACTGTTCTCTAGTCCACAGTCCACACTTGTAACTACTGTCATCAAAACAAGTTTGTCTCAAAAAGGTGGATGTCTGGCCTATCGGTGCATTATTGCAGATGAGTAAATGGACCAGAGCTAACCCCTTGTCTCTTCTCTCTGGTCTCTCTCTCTGTCTTCAGATCATGTCTCTCCACCTGCGCTACATCTCCTTCCTGTGGCAGGTAGCAGACCAGGGCTGTAGCCTCAACATGCATCTGCTGCGAGACGGAGCCAGAGTACTCATGAAGCTCATGCCTCCAGGTACAATATTCTCTGTGGGACATATGGGCCGTGCCTCGATTCTCCAACCTTCTCCTGAAATGTGCACTTGCACACTCCTCGTCATGGATTTAAAAATATTGGGTTGGGATAGTTTTCCGGCATTGTTAAATCTATGATGGGAAGCGTGCAAGTACACATTTCAGGAGAAAGTTGGAGAATTGGGATGAAGCCATAGATGGGTTTCTTTCATGAAAATGCTATATTTTTCTCAAAGATGTGAATTTGGCTGAATATTTACCAAGCCTGCACGGGTGGAGAAATGTGAGATGTGTATATGACCGATATACAGGTAACAGCCAAAATAAAGATAATAAAGCTCCACAAGTGTTCAGTTGGGTTGCGATCTAGTGACTGAAACACACACACACCCTTTAAACCCCCTTTGATCCTTTGAGACTCCTCTTTCAAAGTCACTGAGATCTCTTCTAGCCATGATAGACAAAATAATGTCTCACTCACTCACCGGCCAGTTTATTAGGTACACACATCTAGTACCGGGTCGGACCCCCCTTTTGCCTCCAGAACAGCCTGAATTCTTCGGGGCATTCTACAAGGTGTCGGAAACATTCCATAGGGATGTTGGTCCATGCTGACCCAATGGCATCACACGGTTACAGCAGATTGGACGGCGGTACATTCATGCTGTGAACAACCCGTTCTATCTCACCACAAAGATACTCTATTGGGTTGAGGTCTGTGGACTGCGTAGGCCACTCAAGTAAACTGAACTCGCTGTCAGGTGATGTTTTTCCACTCCTCAATAGTCCAGTGTTGGTGATCGCGTGCCCACTGGAGCCGCTTCTTCTTGTTTTTAGCTGATAGGAGTGGAACCCGGTGTGGTCATGTGCTGCAATAGCCCATCCGTGACAAAGATCGACAAGTTGTGCGTTCTGAGATGCTGTTTTTCACAACGCTGTTGTACTGCGCCGTTATTTGTCTGTCTGTGGCCTGCCTGTTAGCTTGCAAGATTCTTGCAATTCTCTTTCGAACCCCCCTCATCAACGAGCTGTTTTCGCCCACAGGACTGCTGCTGACTAAATGTTTTTTGTTTGTCGCACCATTCACGGTAAACCGTAGACACTATCGTGCATGAAAAGCCCAGGAGGGCGGACGTTTCTGAGATACTGGATCCGGCGCGCCTGGTATTGACGATCATACCACGCTCAGTCGCTTAGGTCACTCGTTTTGCCCATTCTGACGTTCAATCGAACAGTAACTGAATGCCTCAAAGCCTGTCTGCCTGCTTTAAATAGCAAGACACGGCCATATGACCCACTGTCTGTAGGAGTGATCCATTTTCTTAAACTGGGTGGTGTACCTAATAAACTGGTCAGTGAGTATACTGTATAGAAGCTGTTGATTGTGTTTGTGTAGATGACAGTACAGTATAGAACCTGTTGTTCATGTAGATGACAGTACAGTATAGAACCTGTTGATTGTGTTTGTGTAGATGACAGTACAGTATAGAAGCTGTTGATTGTGTTTGTGTAGATGACAGTACAGTATAGAACCTGGTGATTTGTGTTTGTGTAGATAACAATACAGTACAGAACCTGTTGATAGTGTAGATGACAGTACAGTACAGAACCTGGTGATTTGTGTTTGTGTAGATAACAGTACCGTGGAGAGCCTGCGTGGTGTGTGTCTGGACCATGCCAAGCTGGGAGAGAACGGCCTCAGCCCCACACTGGACTCGCGCTTCTTTGGCCCCTCGCCATCACAAGTCCTCTACCTCATAGAGGTGGGTCTCATCGTGTGTGTATGTGGTCGCTGCTGATTGACTGTCTCATCATTACCATAGCAGGTGCTGTACACTTTGCTCTCTGTTGACCAGTTCCACTGTGTGTACATCTCTCTTCCCCTACCCACCTTAGGTGGTGTATGTGTTGCTCATGCCAGCCAGCTCCACATTGGGTGAGGACGCCAGCGACTTCCAGTACAACTTCCTGAAGAGTGGCGGGCTGCCGCTGGTACTGAGCATGCTCACACGGAACAACTTCCTGCCGTCGGCCGACATGGAGACACGGCGAGGGGCGTACCTCGACGCTCTTAAGATCGGCAAACTGCTACTCACCGCTGTTGGGTTCGGACACGTCAAAGCCGTGGCCGAGGCCTGCCAGCCCAACGCTGAGGGGACCACACCCATCTCACCGGTTACTTAGTTACTCAGTTATACATACACACACACACACACAAACGCATGCGTGTGAAGTAGAACTAGGATTGTGACAGCCGTGTCGATGTTAACATCCTCTTTCCCTTTCTTCAGATCAACCAGGCCACTCATGACCAAGCCCTGGTCCTCCAGAGTGCCCTGCAGAACATCCCCAACCCTGCTTCTGAGTGCATGCTCCGCAACGTAGCTATACGCCTGGCCCAACAGATCTCTGACGAGGTGAGAGGGGAAGGGGGGGGGGGGTAAATCTAGGGAGGGAGAGACTGAAGAGAAAGCTGAATAAGGAATAAAAAGAGGAGATAGGAGGAGAGACATTATGTAGGCTACTATGTTATTGACTGTAATATCTCCTCTAATTTAAGTCTCTCCCCCTCCCTCCCGTCCCTCCCAGAACTTCTTCCAGGCGTCGAAGTATATCCCTGACATCTGTGTGATCCGGGCAGTGCAGAAGATAGTGTGGGCTTCAGGCTGTGGCACCATACAGCTGGTCTTCAGCTCCAACGACGAGATCAGCAAGATCTATGAGAAGGTACCTACTGTGTAGCTGTTTATCATTCCACCATCAGTCCATTGATGAATTGATGTTATCTACTTTTATTTAGGTCTCAGTCTGAGGAGATTGTAGTGGGGTGTTGTGTGTAGGCCACTGCCACTCATTGAGTTTATTTGTATTGACACAAGTGTTTTGTCGTCAGTGTATCTTCTTCCTTGATAAGGCTGTTTTTTTTGTTTGGCCTGTACAGTCACAGATCTGTTTGTTGTGTTTGGCCTGTACAGTCACATATCTGTTTGTTGTGTTTGGCCTGTACAGTCACAGTTGAGTGTTTCTGTCGTACTTGTTCTGTAAGTGGGATGACGAGGTGTGTGTGTGTGTGTGTGTGTGCTTGGTTGGTGCTTACTGAGGTGAATAATAGGTTGATTATGTGCACTGTGCACCTGCTGTTTACTTCCTGAAATACAGAGAAGAGGTTAGTGTGTTGTAAACTCACAGCGGTGTGTTTGTTCTCCCCCTCTACAGACGAACATGGGTAAGGAGCCGGACGGGGAGGATGAGCAGGTGTGCTGTGAGGCCCTGGAGGTCATGACCCTGTGTTTCGCTCTGCTGCCCACCGCTCTGGACACACTCAGTAAGGAGAAGGCCTGGCAGACCTTCATCATAGACCTGCTACTGCACTGCCACAGCAAGTATGTACCCCCGCTGTCTGTCTTGTCTTTCTATCAGATGTTTTAGCGTTGAGTTGGAGCAAAAGCCTGCCACTCCTCAAGGATGTTTGCCACTGGTGTACCACATTGGTCTCTGTCTAACTGCTTTGTGTAGTGGACGAGCATATGGGGCTGTCTGTGTCTATGGTAATAATGGTCCTCTCTGATCTGTCCCCAGGTCAGTTGGTAGATTGATGGATTAGTTTGTCTGTGGTTTAATTGTCTTCTCTGATCTATTTCCAGGTCAGTTCGTCAGATGGCCCAGGAGCAGTTCTTCCTCATGGCCACCAGGTGTTGCATGGGCCACCGACCCCTCCTCTTCTTCATCACCCTCCTCTTCACTGTGCTGGGGGTACGTAGTAGCACCTCTCTGTTCACTGTGCTGGGGGTACGTAGCAGCACCTCTCTGTTCACTGTGCTGGGGGTACGTAGCAGCACCTCTCTGTTCACTGTGCTGGGGGTACGTAGCAGCACCTCTCTGTTCACTGTGCTGGGGGTACGTAGCAGCACCTCTCTGTTCACTGTGCTGGGGGTACGTAGCAGCACCTCTCTGTTCACTGTGCTGGGGGTACGTAGCAGCACCTGTCTGTTCACTGTGCTGGGGGTACGTAGCAGCACCTCTCTGTTCACTGTGCTGGGGGTACGTAGCAGCACCTCTCTGTTCACTGTGCTGGGGGTACGTAGCAGCACCTCTGCTCATTACGATCACTGCAATTATGGCCCTGTTCAAATACATTGAACTTGTACCCTTAACATCTTCATTCGTTGAAGTAAATCCCAAATAATAATAAGCAAAGGGTCTATTCTATCATAGCTTTCACCTATCCAGCCATGTCAGAGCACTGATCACTTCTATGAAGGGGAGGATGGAAGTATGCATGTATAAAGTAGGGGTTTAGAAAGCTGTTCATTGGTTTTCCTGGCTTTTCAACAGATCTTTAAAGCGCAACGGAAGGCAATACACTTATCTGATAGAAAACGGCCTATGTGGCATCGATATTAGTCAAACATTTATTCTAGTGTAAATTTACTACAAAGTGTAAATAGGATTATTTTGGTCATAAAGTCAGTCTCGTCCAAAACAGAGTATTGTGAGTTCGTCATGACTTGCTTGAGGGTTGGGTTTTGATTTCGTCAATGCTCACATGCCCACTAACACAACACACAGACAGACAGTGAGACAGACCTGTCCATCAGCGCAGCAGATCTGACTTTGTTTACATAAGACAACACGTCGCAAATTTTTTTACTTGAGAAATACTGCACCAAACACCTTAGCTAGATGTAAAATTGTGTAGATAAAACCTCCTCGGGGAAAAAAAGTCAAACTTATTTTGATTTCATGAGTTATCTTAGATTCATACACAAAAATGTATGCACGCACGACTGTAAGTCGCTTTGGATAAAAGCGTCTGCTAAATGGCATATTATATTATTATTCAGACTATTTTCAGGAAGTGATACCAGCTTTATTCAAAAAATTGTGTAAATAATTTTTTGAATGGTAATGTTTTCAATGTAAACTTAAATTACAAAATATCAAGTATCTAGAAAATATTTTGATTTTGTAATTATGTTTGAGTCACTCAGATAGCATAAGAACACTGGCAAAATGTGCAAAACTCATTTTGTTGGCTGATGAAAAGTAAATGTGGACAGTTCTTAAAATATCTTCAATATGCGCCTCGGAATTAGATAAGGACGCGCGCAGTTGCGTCCCCGATGTGTCTGTCTTCACTTGTAGCCTGTGAGAAAGACCCGATAACGAGGTGCTTCGGAGCATGCAGCCGGGAGAAGGGAATTATAATTATTATATTCAGCCCAAGGGCACAATGGACACAACGGCCACAACCCTCCCTCAAATCGTTTGGAGAAAATATCCTTTCTATTTTATTCAGCTTTGTTCAATTGTATTCTTCATACTATAAAATGTCACAGAATTCTAAGCAAATCTTTTCTGCTAAATGAACTAGTGTAGCCCACAGCCATATGGTATAGCCAGATCAGGGCCTAGCATAAGGACAACTCAGAGTATGCTATTCTGTTGTTCTGAAGTAGACTAAAACAAATAATGGATTTATTAGACTTTTTTTTAATGTAGATGTTCCAAAGTTCTGCATCAGTGGCTTGTAGGCTATGCGTGGAAGCCAGGAGATGCTAAATGTGTTTATGTCAATTACCGTGAGATCGCCAGTTATTTGCTTGACAATCACCGGGTGACAAAATGTCATGAATGCCACAGCACCAGCCACACCCCCACCACGCCTACCACCTAAGCCTCATTTTGATCCAGAAAACAACCTGCAGGTAATACAGTGGGGAGAACAAGTATTTGATACACTGCCGATTTTGCAGGTTTTCCTACTTACAAAGTATGTAGAGGTCTGTAATTTTTATCATAGGTACACTTCAACTGTGAGAGACGGAATCTAAAACAAAAATCCAGAAAATCACATTGTATGATTTTTAAGTAATTAATTTGCATTGTATTGCATGACATAAGTATTTGATACATCAGAAAAGCAGAACTTAATATTTGGTACAGAAACCTTTGTTTGCAATTACAGAGATCATACGTTTCCTGTAGGTCTTGACCAGGTTTGCACACACTGCAGCAGGGATTTTGGCCCACTCCTCCATACAGACCTTCTCCAGATCCTTCAGGTTCGGGGCTGTCGCTGGGCAATACGGACTTTCAGCTCCCTCCAAAGATTTTCTATTGGGTTCAGGTCTGGAGACTGGCTAGGCCACTCCAGGACCTTGAGATGCTTCTTACGGAGCCACTCCTTAGTTGCCCTGGCTGTGTGTTTCGGGTCGTTGTCATGCTGGAAGACCCAGCCACGACCCATCTTCAATGCTCTTACTGAGGGAAGGAGGTTGTTGGCCAAGATCTCGCGATACATGGCCCCATCCATCCTCCCCTCAATACGGTGCAGTCGTCCTGTCCCCTTTGCAGAAAAGCATCCCCAAAGAATGATGTTTCCACCTCCATGCTTCACGGTTGGGATGGTGTTCTTGGGGTTGTACTCATCCTTCTTCTTCCTCCAAATACGGCGAGTGGAGTTTAGACCAAAAAGCTCATCAGACCACATGACCTTCTCCCATTCCTCCTCTGGATCATCCAGATGGTCATTGGCAAACTTCAGACGGGCCTGGACATGCGCTGGCTTGAGCAGGGGGACCTTGCGTGCGCTGCAGGATTTTAATACATGACGGCATAGTGTGTTACTAATGGTTTTCTTTGAGACTGTGGTCCCAGCTCTCTTCAGGTCATTGACCAGGTCCTGCCGTGTAGTTCTGGGCTGATCCCTCACCTTCCTCATGATCATTGATGCCCCACGAGGTGAGATCTTGCATGGAGCCCCAGACCGAGGGTGATTCACCGTCATCTTGAACTTCTTCCATTTTCTAATAATTGCGCCAACAGTTGTTGCCTTCTCACCAAGCTGCTTGCCTATTGTCCTGTAGCCCATCCCAGCCTTGTGCAGGTCTACAATTTTATCCCTGATGTCCTTACACAGCTCTCTGGTCTTGGCCATTGTGGAGAGGTTGGAGTCTGTTTGATTGAGTGTGTGGACAGGTGTCTTTTATACAGGTAAGGAGTTCAAACAGGTGCAGTTAAGACAGGTAATGAGTGGAGAACAGGAGCGCTTCTTAAAGAAAAACTAACAGGTCTGTGAGAGCCGGAATTCTTACTTGTTGGTAGGTGATCAAATACTTATGTCATGCAATAAAATCCAAATTAATTACTTAAAAATCATACAATGTGATTTTCTGGATTTTTGTTTTAGATTCTGTCTTTCACAGTTGAAGTGTACCTATGATAAAAATTACAGACCTCTACATGATTTGTAAGTAGGAAAACCTGCAAAATCGGCAGTGTATCAAATACTTGTTCTCCCCACTGTACATGTGTAAAGCACAGTACTATTAGGGTGTCCACCCACTCTGCTCAGAGTGGGTGAAAACGCGCTTGGTGATGACATTTCACTTCCTAATGTTATTAAATACATTTTACCAAGACAAATATGATTCTTCGTGTTCTGAATCGTTCATACATCCGATAATAAGCACCGAGCTCTGTTGACAGATAGTAAAATTAGCACGACACAAGCTTAATTAAATGGAAAAAGCTTTGAAAATAAAAAGCTTGCGATACACTGTTCCGTTGACATTTCACTGAGAAGCTTGTTTTTGTAAGACGACCTCTGAAAAAAGAACAAACTTCGCATTAACATGAACAGCGTATACTAAAATATGAAAATACTACATGTAATGTCTCAATGATATATATCTTAACTCTATACTGGATTTGAGTAGAAAGATGACCAGTTCAATAGTGAGCCTGTCAGGTAGCCAGTAGAAAGATGACCAGTTCAATAGTGAGCCTGTCAGGTAGCCAGTAGAAAGATGACCAGTTCAATAGTGAGCCTGTCAGGTAGCCAGTAGAAAGATGACCAGTTCAATAGTGAGCCTGTCAGGTAGCCAGTAGAAAGATGACCAGTTCAATAGTGAGCCTGTCAGGTAGCCAGTAGAAAGATGACCAGTTCAATAGTGAGCCTGTCAGGTAGCCAGTAGAAAGACGACCAGTTCAATAGTGAGCCTGTCAGGTAGCCAGTAGAAAGATGACCAGTTCAATAGTGAGCCTGTCAGGTAGCCAGTAGAAAGATGACCAGTTCAATAGTGAGCCTGTCAGGTAGCCAGTAGCCTTCATTCTCTCACAGCATCCAGCCTAGCTGACACCATGCTATTTCCAGATTTTTAATCACCTTTTTTCTCTGGCCATTGATTTAGTCGCCCTAATTTTGACCTCCCTACGAGGGTAAAAACTCCAATAAATTTTGAACTGATTATGATAGCGACATGAGGTTTGGACCATTGGTTTTCTTAGAGGATTATCTACACAATTAACATTTTACCCATTGGTCAAAATATGGTGTTTTTGATTGGACACCCTATACTAAAGTTAATTGACATGTCTTCCAGAGCACAGCTAAGGAACGGGCCAAGCATGCTGGGGACTACTTCACCCTGCTCAGGCACCTCCTGAACTATGCCTACAACAGCAACATCAACCTGCCCAACGCAGAGGTGCTTCTCAACAACGAGATCGACTGGCTCAAGAGGATCAGGGTACGACCATGTTGTTCCAGCCTGACATTGTGTAATAATGAATAACCGCCCTGAGCTTTGTGTAGAGTTAATTGCAGCTCATGGCTGAGGTTCTAGTCGTTGGTCAGACTTTGGCTGTATTCATTAGGGCACACGTTAGCAGAATGTTAATCATGGAAAACAAAAGCAAGCGGTTGTTATACGACAAGTACATGTAGTCCCCCTATCTCTGTTTGCTTCTGATTGGTGCTTAATGAATATGACCCTGGTTGTGACTAATATGCGTGTGCCTCTGCGTGTGTGTCTCTGCGTGCGTGTGTGTGTCTCTGCGTGCGTGTGTGTCTCTGCGTGCGCGTGTGTGTCTCTCTGCGTGCGTGTGTGTGTGTCTCTGCGTGTGTGTGTGTGTGTCTCTGTGTGTGTGTGTGTGTGTCTCTGCGTGCGTGTGTGTGTCTCTGCGTGCGTGTGTGTGTGTGTCTCTCTGCGTGTGTGTGTCTCTGTGTTTGTGTCCCAGGATGAGGTGAAGAGAACAGGGGAGACGGGCGTTGAGGAGACCATCCTGGAGGGCCACATCGGAGTTACCAAGGAGCTGCTGGCCTTCCAAACACCAGAGAAGAAGTACTACATCGGCTGTGAGAAGGGAGGGGCCAACCTCATCAAGGTAGGCTGGCACATCCATTTTGTATTGTATTGACTCTTTCTACTTATTCACCAACTTGGCCCTTGACAACATTTGATTTGGCCCGCCAGAGGCTTCCAGCAGGACCTTATGTAGTGATAAACAATGTTTTTTCTTGTTTTAGCATTGATCTTCATATCTGAATGTGGCTATAATAAATGTGTTGCAAGGCAGTAAATGTTGCTTTCTTACCCTGTATTAACTAACTCTCTCTCTCCGCTCTCTCCCTTCTCTCCAGGAGTTGATAGACGACTTCATCTTCCCAGCGTCTAACGTGTACCTGCAGTACATGAAGAGTGGGGAGTTCCCTACGGAGCAGGCCATCCCTGTCTGCAGCAGCCCTGCCTCCATCAACGCAGGCTTCGAGCTGCTGGTGGCTCTGGCAGTGAGCTGTGTCCGGAACCTCAAGCAGATCGTCGACATGCTCACTGACATGTACTACCTAGGTATTGATTGTCTGATTCATTGATTTATTGATTTGTTTGCCCTGTACAGTGGAACCAATGGAAGCTCCAAGTGAAGCCCACCTAAAATATTTGAGACATTTGACCCAGGTCGTTGCCTCCCCTCCCCTGTCAGGTGTGAAGCCCACATATACATTTTATTGTCTGTGTTTGATCAACAGGTTGTGAGGCTCTGACAGAGTGGGAGTACCTCCCCCCAGTGGGACCGCGGCCCACCAAAGGCTTTGTGGGGCTGAAGAACGCCGGGGCTACCTGCTACATGAACTCGGTCATCCAGCAGCTCTACATGATCCCCCCCATCCGGAACGGCGTCCTGGCCGTGGAGGGCACCGGCACCGACGTGGACGATGACATGTCCGGCGATGAGAAGCAGGAGAACGAGGTAACGCAGGAGAGAGAGGTAACAAGGAACAGGTTTGGTCATAGGAGTGATGTTTTAATTGTTTGTTGGTTGATCCGTGTTTCGTCTGCTTCTTTAAAAAGCTGCAGTTGGTACTGTTGTCATTCATTCATTCATTCATAGGTACTGTTGTCATTCATTCATAGTTGTCATTCATAGTTTAATCATAATCAATGTGGGGTGTTTCATTTAAAATGTTTTTTTCCCAATTGTGTCCTAATGAACAGGACCCAGCTTAACCCTGTGTGTCCCTCGGCCCCCTACAGAGTAACGCAGACCCGCGGGATGAGGTGTTCAGCTACAACCAGCAGATTGACGACAAGCCATCGCTCAGTAAGTCAGAGGACAGGAAGGAGTACAACATTGGGGTGCTGCGCCACCTGCAGGTCATCTTTGGTCACCTGGCCTCCTCCAGACTGCAGTACTATGTACCCCGGGGCTTCTGGAAACAGTTCAGGTCAGTGGAGACTGGAGGGGAGAGATTGATTTACCTGGTTTGGGAGGAAAAAGATGGGTAAAATATGTACCAGTATGTTAAATACAATCAAACACTTGACCGACGCTGGATTTAGTTTGCCCTGTACAATGGAACCAATAGTTTAGTCCCACCTTTCCTCCCCATCTCCCGTCCCTCTCTCCCACCATCTCTTCTAATCTCACCCACGTAACCCCCCCCTCCTGTAGGTTATGGGGTGAGCCGGTGAACCTGCGAGAGCAGCACGATGCCCTGGAGTTCTTCAACTCCCTAGTGGACAGTCTGGACGAGGCTCTGAAGGCCCTGGGTCACCCGGCCACGCTTAGCAAGGTGCTGGGGGGATCCTTCGCCGACCAGAAGATCTGCCAGGGGTGCCCACATAGGTAACACACACACACTGCACCTTGGGAAAATATCTCAAATCAATTATATCTTCGCAAATCGTAACTGTAACCATTAGAGTGGAGAATGTGAAACTGACTTGAGATCAGGTCTAGGGGCAACATGGACTAATACTTATTGTTAGCGCACCTGAGGATAATTGATTTGAAAATGTCAATTTCTGCACAGAGAGAGATTTGTAGTGGTTTAATTAGAGCTGGGAGATATGACCTAAAAATCATATCTCGATTTGGGCGATTCACAATATATATCTAAAAAATAAAAATAAAATGTATTTTTAATGTTTTCTCTAAATAAGCGTTGTTGTACAATTAAAGGTCAAATACACTGCGTTTCAAACAGTCTGCAATAATCTAATGAATTCAGGGCTTGTGAAGTTACACCTAGGCTAAATATAAGTCTTCCACAACCATAAGACCCACTAATAATTTAATTATTTTATCAAAATAGTTCAACCTGCTTTTTTTTTTTCAATAATAATCACTGATCTGGCTTTCAAGGCTGTCTATGAAAATGCCCTTTTGTTAAAAATGTAACCAGAACCATGAATAAACACATTCACTAATAAATTACTAACTTCTTGTAGCAGGAATTAGGCTATAAAACATTTACACAGGTCTCATCAACAATCTCTCAAGCCAACGTGCTAGTGATTAGCCAGCTAATCTTTATTATTTCAAGTTTAGCCAACTTGGATCTATTTGCTAGCTAACAAGGTTGAACAGTTGAATTGTTATGAACACACCCTTCTGTCTGCCTCCAACTGTTTGAAAAGCATGTTAGCTTGTCCACTTTGTTCAGATGTTGAAATCAAGTGGCCTACCTTACTTCTCAGAATGAGAATGAGTTGATAGTTCCTTATATAAGTGTTTTATGCTTATTGCACATTTATAAAACACAGACTAGACAGCTATTATAACAGTCTTTGGCTAAAATGCTGATAGCGGTACGTGGTACCCCAATGCTGCACGCGACAAACTGAGCATTCATTTTTCAGAATCAATGTTCATTGATACTCTTGTTTTAGTAGTGTCTGCTCTGCACGCAATTTGAGTAGTTGAGAAATAAAAAGGGCATCGTTAGACAAGTTAACTTCTCCTCTATTACAGTAAAATAATGTCTCAATGTGTTTTGGTGTCCATATGACCGATTCTGTTAGACCAAACCTCAAATGCAAACAGCGAGTTGAAACCGCTTGTCAGAGAGGAAGACGTGATCTTTCAACTTTGTTGGCTTGAGAGGCAGGGGGAGGGGCTTGGCGTGTGTGTAAACCATAGAGGAAGAGGCCAACTAAAATCTGTCCAAAATAAGCCCAATGCGTTTCTATGGGCTTATTTAGGATCTAAGCTTGTCGCCTGCCTTCCCGCCTTTGGGACAACGACTCCCATTATTAGGGTGGAGACGTGCATCTCGTCATTATATACAGATCTCTGGTGTAAATGGGAAGGTGCACACAGCACAGAGGAGTGAGGTAGACGAGACCAAAAATACAACATGAAAACAAGCGGACATAAACGCTCATGAAAATACAAAATAACAACCTTGATTCTTGCGATTCAAGCATTTGGAATATCGCGATAAAACATGAATTTGAATTAATTGTATATATCGCCCAGCCCTAGGTTTAATATGAGGCTGCTACAGTGTTGGTGGTAACTTATGTGGATACTGTGTGTTCATGTGTGCGTGCTCCAGGTATGAGTGTGAGGAGTCGTTCACCACTCTGAATGTAGACATCAGGAACCACCAGAACCTGTTGGACTCTATGGAGCAGTACGTCAAAGGAGACCTTCTGGAGGGAGCCAATGCATACCACTGTGAGAAGTGCAACAAGAAGGTTAGACACAACTCACTTTGGCCTAATTAGTCAGGGAAGTGAAGTGAATGTCTGTTGTCAGAACTCTGTTCAGGAGCCGGAGATGGCTCTAACTGGGGTAGTCCTGCTCTGTTTGATCGTTTAACTGTGGTTGGTCTACTGTGGTTGGTCTACTGTATAGTCTATTTCTGAACCACTCCAAACAATATATTCTAATCAGATCTTGCAATTGAAATAGACCAATAGCCCTTTTTCCAACCAGCTACAGCGCATTCGGAAAGTATTCAGACCCCTTGACTTTTCCACATTTTGTTACGTTACAGCCTTATTCTAAAATTGATTAAATTGTTTATTCCCTCATCAATCTACACACAATACCCCCATAATGACAAAGCGAAAACAGTTTTTTTGTGTGCAAATTTATTTAAAATAAAAAAACTGATATTACATTTACATAAGTATTCAGACCCTTTACTTATTACTTTGTTGAAGCACCTTTGGCAACGATTACAGCCTCGAGTCTTCTTGGGTATGACGCTACAGGCTTGGCACACCTGTATTTGGGGAGTTTCTCCCATTCTTCTCTGCAGATCCTCTCAAGCTCTGTCAGGTTGGATGGGGAGTGTCGCTGCACAGCTATTTTCAGGTCTCTCCAGAGATGTTTGATCGGGTTCAAGTCCGGGCTCTGGCTGGGCCACTCAACGACATTCAGAGACTTGTCCCGAAGCCACTCCTGCGTTGTCTTGGATGTTGGAAGGTGAACCTTCGTCCCAGTCAGAGGTCCTGAGCGCTCTGGAGCAGGTTTTCATCAAGGATCTCTCTGTACTTTGCTCCGTTCATCTTTCCTTTGATCCTGACTAGTCTCCCAGTCCCTGCCGCTGAAAAACATCCCCACAGCATGATGCTGCCACCACTATGCTTCACCGTAGGGATGGTATCAGGTTTCCTCCAGACGTGACACTTGGCATTCAGGCCAAAGAGTTCAATCTTGGTTTCATCAGACCAGAGTATCTTGTTTCTCATGGTCAGAGAGTCCTTTAGGTGCCTTTTGGCAAACTCCAAGCGGGCTGTCATGTGCCTTTTACTGAGGAGTGGCTTCCGTCTGGCCACTCTACCATAAAGGCCTGATTGGTGGAGTGCTGCAGAGATGGTTGTCATTCTGGAAGGTTCTCCCATCTCCACAGAGGAACTCTGGAGCTCTGTCAGTGACCATCGGGTTCTTGGTCACCTCCCTGACCAAGGCCCTTCTCCTCCAATTGCTCAGTTTGGCCGGGCGGCCAGCTCTAGGAAGAGTCTTGGGTATTCCAAACTTCTTCCATTTAAGAATGATGGAGGCCACTGTGTTTTTAGGGACCATCAATGCTGCAGACATTTTTTGGTACCCTTCCCCAGATCTGTGCTTCTACACAATCCTGTCTCTGAGCTCTACGGACAATTCCTTCGACCTCATGGCTTGCTTTTTGCTCTGACATGCACTGTCAACTGTGGGTCAATTGAATTTACCACAGGTGGACTCCAATCATGTTGTAGAAACAGCTCAAGGATGATCAATGGAAACAGGATGCACCTGAGCTCAATTTTGAGTCTCATAGCAAAGGGTCTGAATACTTATGTAAATAAGATATTTCTGTTTTTTATTTTTAATACATTTGCAGAAATGTCTAAAAACCTGTTTTCGCTTTGTCATTATGGGGTATTGTGTGTAGATTTAAAATGATATATTTAAGGCTGTAACGTAACAAAATGTGGAAAAGGTCAAGGGGTCTGAATACTTTAGAAATGCGCTGTACTTTCCTGTAGGATTTCCTGGGTTGGAGCAAAAGCCTGCATGCCCTGTAGCTCCCCAGGAGGAGGGTTAACTTAGGGAGCAGTAACAGGTTGCTCCTCTTTCCCTCCTCCCTCCAGGTGGACACAGTGAAACGTCTGCTGATCAAGAAGCTTCCTCCAGTGCTTGCCATCCAGCTGAAGAGGTTTGACTACGACTGGGAAAGGGAGTGTGCCATTAAGTTCAACGACTACTTTGAGTTCCCCAGGGAGCTGGACATGGAGCCCTACACAGTAGCCGGGGTGGCCAAGCTGGAGGGGGACGACGTCAACCCAGAGAACCAGGTTAGGGATGGCATGATGTAGAGAAAGATTATTACATTATTGGGTGTAGAAATACGGAAGAAATGTCCATATTTTCATGTGTTCATAATGACGTAGTGGTCATTATCATTTGAAATATTTGATGTGATTCAGATGGGACCACATTTAAATGGATGGGACCACATTTAAACTGTCCCTTTTAAATTAACCAATTGTGGTTCACTTGAACATCAATTATAGCGATAATTGCAGATATGGCGATACACTGAATTATCGCGAGACTAAACCGATCATCCATATGGGTGTCCTGCCACCAGGTGATCCAGCAGAACGAGCCCTCTGATCCAGAGCCCCCGGGCAGCTCCAAGTACCGTCTGGTGGGGGTGCTGGTCCACTCAGGCCAGGCCAGCGGCGGACACTACTACTCCTACATCACGCAGAGGAACGTGGGCGGGGCCGACGGCGAGCGTAACCGCTGGTACAAGTTTGACGACGGCGACGTGACAGAGTGCAAGATGGACGACGAGGAGGAGATGAAGAACCAGTGCTTCGGAGGGGAGTACATGGGCGAGGTGTTTGACCACATGATGAAGAGGATGTCGTACCGGCGCCAGAAGCGCTGGTGGAACGCCTACATCCTCTTCTACGAGCGCATGGACTCACTGGACAAGGACAGCGAGCTGATCAAGTACATCCAGGAGCTGACCATCTCGTCCTCGTCCAACAACAAGCCGTCGCACCAGGTCAAGATGCCCAATGTGATCGAGTGCAGCGTGCGCAAGCAGAACGTGCAGTTCATGCACAACCGTATGCAATACAGCCTGGAGTATTTCCAGTTTGTTAAGAAACTTCTGACCTGTAACAGTGTCTATTTAAACCCTCCGCTAGGTACGTGGAACACACACACACACACACACACACACACACACACACAGGCTTCAATATACCTTCTTTTGAGTTCTAGAGCTATTTTCAAGGCAGGTGTTGTTGATGCTACACAGAGGTCTGTTTGTCTCCTTTGTTCCCTCTTGTTCTGGCCCTTGCTATTCATGGCTCTACGCTGACATTTTTTTCACTGTAGAGCCCTTCTATTGTGGTCAACCCAAGAAGAGATTGCTTTCACTGTGATCTGCTTTTGTCATTTGTCCACTGTGAATGGCCCAGCCTCACTCCTTAGTATAGCTAGCTCTCAGCCCTGTTGCAGTAGCCCAAGTAGTGCCATAACAAGGCTTTTTATCACTGTAATAGCGATAGACTTTTGCCATGCTTTAATAGCTGATATTTTCATTCCTTTCAATATTTAATAAGATAAAACATTATCTTACCACTATTAATACAGTATTTGAGATGCATACAGTTTCACCCCTCCCTTGGAGAGTTGCATAGAGAGGGAAAGTATATGATGGCAGAGCTGAACATTACATTTGCTAACGGTAAACTGCAGCAATTTCCTGACTTGTGAAGTTAATATGAGCCAATGCATTATTAATGCAGTCAGCCAGCCAGGCCAGGCCACAGTATACTGCTGTCTGTCTGTCTGTCTGCACGGCAGGCACAGGGAAATGAACTGACCACTGCAGGGTTAGCCATCAGTGTAAAAGCACTTGGTTGGGATTAAATGCTTCAGCTCATCAATAATGTATGTATGTGTATGGGATGGGGGGGGGGGGGGGCAACTCTTATCGTTAATGTCTCCAATTTCAGCCTTTCATTTAGGAGTAAGCAGCAGATGAGATCATAGGACTCTGTTTAAACAGTGAGATTCTGGTATTGTGCTCCGGTGACTGACTCACGCATTAACTCTGAAATTGAAACTCCCTGTGTGGGGAATAGGCTAGTCGCGCTCGAGTTTTCTTCAATACCTTCATAATCCTTCACTCATTTGCATCCAGAGAGGAAACATTCATTTTCTTTTCTTTTTTTATGACCAAGGTTTTTATTTAAATGTTCCAGTAGGAAGTTTGACGTTAAGTTGTGACTGAAGTCTGAACCAATGTTTATGTTGTGTGGTTGTATCAGGACAAGACCATCTACTGCCCGAGGCAGAGGAGATAGCTATGATTAGTGTTCAGCTGGCTGCTAGGTTCCTCTTCAGCACTGGGTTCCACACCAAGAAAGTAGTGAGGGGGCCCGCCAGTGACTGGTGAGTTCTGTCGGTCTGTCTGACCTTTCAACCTTGACCTGTGCTCATATATTGAGCGGAGTTAATCATCTTTCTGTTTTCTTATTCTCTTTGTCTTCCTCCTCTCTCACAACTGTCTGTGCATCTATCCCTGTCTCCTCAGTCTCTCACTCTCTCTCCACTCTCCCTTGCCTCATTCTCTCTCCATCTGAATCACCCCTCTTTCTCTATCCATTGATGCATCCCTCTTTCCCCTCTCCCCCTGTCTCTAACCACCGGTGTATCTCTGTTTCTTTCTCCATCTCCAGGTATGATGCGCTGTGCGTCCTGCTGAGACACAGTAAGAATGTACGCTACTGGTTTGCACACAACATCCTGTTTGCCTACGCCAACCGCTTCTCTGAGTACCTGCTGGAGTGCCCCAGCGCTGAGGTCAGGGGCGCGTTCGCCAAACTCATCGTCTTCATTGCACACTTCTCCCTTCAAGACGGACCCTGCCCCTCCCCCACCGCCTCCTCCGCCGGAGCCTCCACCCAACCACAGGTGAATGACTGGTTGTCCTGGTCCTAAAAGACAAACTGGTGAATGGCTGGTTATCCTGATCCTAAAACACAAACTGCCTATCAGGCGGGGTGTTCAGTATGCATGAAACAGGAGAAATGTTGTGAAACTGAGCAGTTACTACCTGGAATTGTCAAATAATACATTTGTCTCATTTTCGGCTTCTGTTTTCAAATGTTTCCCCTGTGTCGTGCATACTGGGCATGGCCCATACAAAGCACTTTTACTCTGGTCTTATGGAGTATGTGTTAAACTTCTCTCTCTCTCTCTCTTTCGCTCTCCATTTTCCCCTCTCTCTGTCAGGCGTGTGATAACCTGAGTCTCAGTGACCACCTGTTGAGGGCTGTGTTGAACCTCCTCAGGCGAGAGGTGTCAGAGCACGGCCGACACCTGCAGCAGTACTTCAACCTCTTCGTCATGTACGCCAACCTGGGTAAGGAACACGCACACATCCTGTCATGCACACCTGCTCTGACAACTCCTTGATTGATGGGGAGAGTGAATGGCTCACTGGCAATTCATTCCACTTTAGTGGACAGCAATGGACAGACATATTTCTCTTCTTGCCTCACTTTCTCCTTCTCGCCCACCCCCTCCCTCCCTCTCCCTCTCCCTCTCCCTCTCCCTCTCCCTCTCGCTCTCGCTCTCTCCCAACCTCCCTCCCTCTCTCTCTCTCCCCCGCCCTCCCTCTCTCTCTCTCCCCGCCCTCCCTCTCTCTCTCACCCTCCCTCCCACCCCTCTCACCCTCCCTCTCACCCTCCCTCCCGCCCCTCTCTCTCTCACCCTCCCTCCCGCCCCTCTCTCCCTCCCGCCCCTCTCTCTCTCCCACCCCTCTCTCTCTCCCGCCCTCCCTCTCTCTCCTCTCTCTCTCTCTCTCTCCCTCCCTCCCTACCCCTCTCTCTCCCTCCCTCCCCTCCCTCTCTCTCTCACCCTCCCTCCCGCCCCTCTCTCTCACCTCACTCCCTCCGCCCCTCTCTCTCACCCTCACTCCCCGCCCCTCTCCTCTCACCCTCCCTCCCCCCTCTCACTCCCTCCCTCTCCCCTCCCCTCACCCGCCCCTCTCTCTCTCTCCCCCCGCCCCCCCTCTCTCTCTCCCGCCCCCCTCCCCGCCCTCCCCTCTCTCTCCCCCCGCCTCCACTCTCTCCCCTCTCTCTCCATCCTCTCGCCTCTCCTCTCTCTCTCTCTCTCCGTCCCTCCCTCTCCCTCAATCGCCTCCTCCCTCCCCCCCTCTCACCCTCCCTCCCCCCCCTCTCCCCTCCCCCTCCCCCCCTCTCTCCCCTCCCCCCTCCCCCCCTTCCCTCTCTCTCACCCTCCTCCCTCCCCTCTCTCTCCCCTCCCTCCCTCCCCTCTCTCTCACCCTCCCTCCCTCCCCTCTCTCTCACCCTCCCCTCTCTCTCACCCTCCCTCCCGCCCCTCTCTCTCCCCACCCTCCCTCCCCTCTCTCCCACCCTCCCTCCCTCTCCCACCCTCCCTCCCGCCCCTCTCTCCCACCCTCCCTCTCTTCTCCAGGGCTGGCAGAGAAGACTCAGTTGTTGAAGCTGAGTGTCCCAGCTACCTTCATGCTGGTGGCTCTAGACGAAGGACCCGGTCCTCCCATAAAGTACCAGTATGCTGAGCTGGGCAAGCTCTACACCGTGGTCTCCCAGCTGGTGCGCTGCTGTGACGTGGCCGCACGCATGCAGTCGTCCATCAACGGTGCGTTCACACAGAGGTCAGGGGTGGTGACCTCTGGTTCTCAGGGTTAACGGACGAAGACGAACCAGTATCAGCTGGGTTGTATTCATTAGCCTTTTCTCAATTGGATACTCCTCTCTCCTATCCAATTGAGAAAAGGCCCTCATCTCTTTCTCTCGGTCTCTTTGTCTCTCCCTCTTTTCTCTCTCTCTCTCTTATCCAGGTAACCCCCCTCTCCCTAACCCGTACGGCGATGCCAACCAGACCACCCCGGTGATGCCTGTGCAGCAGCTGGTGGGAGAGATCCTGTTTGTTAGGACCAGCTATGTGAAGAAGATCATCGAGGACTGCAGCAACTCGGAGGAGACGGTCAAGCTGCTACGCTTCAGCTGCTGGGAAAACCCCCAGTTCTCCTCTACTGTACTGTCAGAGCTGCTCTGGCAGGTAAGGATTAAAACTGGTGAATCGCACACAGATGGACACACAAACACACACACCATTATTTGCTCACACACACATAATATGCACATACATTTATACTGACTCTACACACACCCACTCACATACAATCATCATATATGCTGCTGCTACTCTGTTTATCATATGTCCTGATGCCTAGTCATCTTACCTCTATACATATCTACCTCAAATCGATCCAGTATCCCTGCACATTGTAAATATGGTACTCCAACTGACTGACCCTGTGTATATACACTGAACAAAAATATAAACACAACATGTAAAGTGTTGGTCTCATGTTTCTTGAGCTGAAATAAAAGATCACCGAAATTTTCCATATGCGCAGAAAGCTTATTTCTCTCATATTTTGTGCACAAATCTGTTGACATCCCTGTTAGTGAGCATTTCTCTTTTGCCAAGATAATCCATCCACCTGACAAGTGTTGCATATCAAGAAGCTGGGGACAATAAAAGGCCACTCTAAAATGTGCAGTTTTGTCACACAACACAATGCCACAGATGTCTCATGTTTTGAGGGAGTGTGCAATTGGCATGCTGACTGCAGGAATGTCCACCAGAGCTGTTGCTAGATAATTGAATGTTCGTTTCTCTACCATAAGCCACTTCCAACGTCGTTTTAGACAATGTGGCAGTATCTCCAGCCGGCCTCACAATTGCAGACCACGTGTAACCACGCCAGCCCAGGACCTTCACATCCTGCTTCTTCACCTGCGGGGTTGTCCAAGACCAGCCACCTGGACAGCTGATGAAACTGAATAATTTCCCACTGTCGTGCCATTCATCCGCCACCATCACCTCATGTTTCAGCATGATAATGCAATGTCGCCAAGGATCTGTACACAATTCCTGGATGCAAAAAATCTCCCAGTTTTTCCATGGCCTGCATACTCACCAGACATGTCACCCATTGAGCATGTTTGGGATGCTCTGGATCGACGTGTACGACAGCGTGTTCCAGTTCCTGCCAATATCCAGCAACTTGAAGGAGTGGGACAATCAACATCCTGATCACCTCTATGCAAAGGTGATGTTGCGCTGCATGAGGCAAATGGTGGTCACACCAGATACTGACTGATCCACGCCCCTACCTTTTTCTTAAAGTTATCTGTGACCAACAGCTGCATATCTATATTCCCAGTCATGTGAAATCCATAGATTAGGGCCTAATGAATTTATTTCAATTGACTGATTTCCTTACATGAACTGTAGCTCAGTAAAACCTTTGAAATGATTGCATTTATATTTTTGTTCAGTGTATTATGCTTACTTACTCGTGTTATTTTTATTACTCATATGTTTTTGTTCTTCCTTATATTTGTTGTATTACATTGTTATTGATTACTGCATTGTTGGGTTTGGAGCTTGCAAGAAAGGCATTTAACTGTACTTGTGCACATTACATTAAAACTTGAAACACACACTAGACAGGTGTTTTATACAGTTGAAGTCGGAAGTTTACATACACCTTAGCCAAATACATTTAAACTCAGTTTTTCACAATTCCTGACATTTAATCCTAGTAAAAATTCCCTGTCTTAGGTCAGTTAGGATCAACACTGAAATTTCAGAATAATAGTAGAGCTTTTATTTATTTCATCACATTCCCAGTGGGTCAGAAGTTTACATACACTCAATTAGTATTTGGTAGCATTGCCTTTAAATTGTTTAACTTGGGTCAAACATTTCGGGTAGCCTTCCACAAGCTTCCCACAATAAGTTGGGTGAATTTTGGTCCATTCCTCCTGACAGAGCTGGTGTAACTGAGTCACGTTTGTAGGCCTCCTTGCTTGCACACGCTTTTTCAGTTTTGCCCACAAATGTTCTATAGGATTGAGGTCAGGGCTTTGTGATGGCCACTCCAATACCTTGACTTTGTTGTCCTTAAACCATTTTGCCACAACTTTGGAAGTATGCTTGAGGTCATTGTCCATTTGGAAGACCCATTTGCGACCAACTTCCTGACTGATGTCTTGAGATGTTGTTTCAATATATCCACATAATTTTCCTTCCTGATAATGCCATCTATTTTGTGAAGTGCACCAGTCCCTCCTGCAGCAAATCACCCCACAGCATGATGCTGCCACCCCAGTGCTTCACGGTTGGGATGGTGTTCTTCGGCTTGCAAGCGGTCCCCTTTTTCCTCCAAACATAACGATGGTCATTATGGCCAAACAGTTCTATTTTTGTTTCATCAGACCAAAGGACATTTCTCCAAAAAGTACGATCTTTGTCCCCATGTGCAGTTGCAAACCGTAGTCAGACTTTTTTAAGGCGGTTTTGGAGCAGTGGCTTCTTCCTTGCTGAGCGGCCTTTCAGGTTATGTTTTTAAAGGACTTGTTTTACTGTGGATATAGATACTTTTGTACCTGTTTCCTCCAGCATCTTCACAAGGTCCTTTGCTGTTGTTCTGAGATTGATTTGCACTTTTCGCACCAAAGTATGTTCATCTCTAGGAGACAGAACGCGTCTCCTTCCTGAGCGGCATGACGGCTGCGTGGTCCCATGGTGTTTATAGTTGCGTACTATTGTTTGTACAGATTAACGTGGTACCTTCAGGCATTTGGAAATTGCTCCCAAGGATGAACCAGACTTGTGGAGGTCTGAAAAACAATTTCTGAGGTCTTTGTGATTTCTTTTGATTTTCCCAAGAAGTCAAGCAAAGAGACACTGAGTTTGAAGGTAGGCCTTGAAATACATCCACAAGTACACCTCCAATTGACTCAAATTATGTCAATTAGCCTATCAGAAGCTTCTAAAGCCATGTCATCATTTTCTGGAATTTTCCAAGCTGTTTAAAGGCGCAGTCAACTTAGTGTATGTAAACTTCTGACCCACTGGAATTGTGATACAGTGAATTATAAGTGAAATAATCTGTCTGTAAACAATTTTTGGAAAAATTACTTGTGTCCTAACTGACTTGCCAAAACTATAGTTTGTTAACAAGAAATTTGTGGAGTGGTTGAAAAATGAGTTTGAATGACTCCAACCTAAGTGTATGTAAACTTCCGACTTCAACTGTATGTGTATATACAGTGGGGAGAACAAGTATTTGATACACTGCCGATTTTGCAGGTTTTCCTACTTACAAAGCATGTAGAGGTCTGTAATTTTTATCATAGGTACACTTCAACTGTGAGAGACGGAATCTAAAACAAAAATCCAGAAAATCACATTGTATGATTTTTAAGTAATTAATTTGCATTTTATTGCATGGCATAAGTATTTGATCACCTACCAACCAGTAAGAATTCCGGCTCTCACAGACCTGTTAGTTTTTCTTTAAAAGCCCTCCTGTTCTCCACTCATTACCTGTAACTGCACCTGTTTGAACTCGTTACCTGTATAAAAGACACCTGTCCACACACTCAATCAAACAGACTCCAACCTCTCCACAATGGCCAAGACCAGAGAGCTGTGTAAGGACATCGGGGATAAAATTGTAGACCTGCACAAGGCTGGGATGGACTACAGGACAATAGGCAAGCAGCTTGGTGAGAAGGCAACAACTGTTGGCGCAATTATTAGAAAATGGAAGAAGTTCAAGATGACGGTCAATCACCCTCGGTCTGGGGCTCCATGCAAGATCTCACCTCGTGGGGCATCAATGATTATGAGGAAGGTGAGGGATCAGCCCAGAACTACACGGCAGGACCTGGTCAATGACCTGAAGAGAGCTGGGACCACAATCTCAAAGAAAACCATTAGTAACACACTACGCCGTCATGGATTAAAATCCTGCAGCGCACGCAAGGTCCCCCTGCTCAAGCCAGCGCATGTCCAGGCCCGTCTGAAGTTTGCCAATGACCATCTGGATGATCCAGAGGAGGAATGGGAGAAGGTCATGTGGTCTGATGAGACAAAAATAGAGCTTTTTGGTCTAAACTCCACTCGCCGTGTTTGGAGGAAGAAGAAGGATGAGTACAACCCCAAGAACACCATCCCAACCGTGAAGCATGGAGGTGGAAACATCATTCTTTGGGGATGCTTTTCTGCAAAGGGGACAGGACGACTGCACCGTATTGAGGGGAGGATGGATGGGGCCATGTATCGCGAGATCTTGGCCAACAACCTCCTTCCCTCAGTAAGAGCATTGAAGATGGGTTGTGGCTGGGTCTTCCAGCATGACAACGACCCGAAACACACAGCCAGGGCAACTAAGGAGTGGCTCCGTAAGAAGCATCTCAAGGTCCTGGAGTGGCCTAGCCAGTCTCCAGACCTGAACCCAATAGAAAATCTTTGGAGGGAGCTGAAAGTCCGTATTGCCCAGCGACAGCCCTGAAACCTGAAGGATCTGGAGAAGGTCTGTATGGAGGAGTGGGCCAAAATCCCTGCTGCAGTGTGTGCAAACCTGGTCAAGACCTACAGGAAACGTATGATCTCTGTAAATGCAAACAAAGGTTTCTGTACCAATTATTAAGTTCTGCTTTTCTGATGTATCAAATACTTATGTCATGCAATAAAATGCAAATTAATTACTTAAAAATCATACAATGTGATTTTCTGGATTTTAGATTCCGTCTCTCACAGTTGAAGTGTACCTATGATACAAATTACAGACCTCTACATGCTTTGTAAGTAGGAAAACCTGCAAAATCGGCAGTGTATCAAATACTTGTTCTCCCCACTGTATATATATATATATATAAATATATAAATAAACCCCCAGTAATCTTCAACATACTCAAATCAGATTTGTATTGGTCACATACACGTGTTTAGCAGATGTTATTGCGGGTGTAGCGAAATGCTTGTGGAAATAATACATTAAAAAAACAAAATACTGCAAAGTTTCCTAAGAGCTAGAAGCAAGGCAGCCATTTTAACTCAATTGAGTTGCTCTGACAGGTAATAACAACCTCAGGCCCCATATACCCCAGTGTGCAGCCAACACTATTAGAAAACTAGATCTCAGAAGCCCTTGGTCTCGTCCTCTAACTCCCAAGTGGTGTTTTTCATATGTCTGTGTTAGATCTTATTGATAGTGTGTGTTTTGTTATCCCCCAGGTGGCGTACTCCTACACCTACGAGCTGAGGCCTTACCTGGACCTGCTGCTGCAAATCCTGCTCATCGAGGATTCCTGGCAGACACACAGGTACGTCATACTCAGGAGACAGACTCCTGGCAGACACACGGGTACGTCATACTCAGGAGACAGACTCCTGGCAGACACACGGGTACGTCATACTCAGGAGACAGACTCCTGGCAGACACACGGGTACGTCATACTCAGGAGACAGACTCCTGGCAGACACACGGGTACGTCATACTCAGGAGACAGACTCCTGGCAGACACACGGGTACGTCATACTCAGGAGACAGACTCCTGGCAGACACACGGGTACGTCATACTCAGGAGACAAACTCCTGGCAGACACACGGGTACGTCATACTCAGGAGACAGACTCCTGGCAGACACACGGGTACGTCATACTCAGGAGACAGACTCCTGGCAGACACACGGGTACGTCATACTCAGGAGACAGACTCCTGGCAGACACACGGGGACATTATCATGTCTTTGCTCCTCACTTTGGTCTGGGAAAGGTCACACAGTGGACGCAGGGTTTTGTCCCAATCTAGTGCCAACACATCTGATTCGACTCATCAGACTGCTTCAGGTCTCTTAGTGCTGGGCTGGGACAAAACCCTGCACACACTGTGGCCCTCTAGGACTAGGAATGGCCGGTTTCCCTGGTTGGTGTTTCCTCTCTGGCTTATTTTTTCTGTGTTGTTGTGAGCCAACCTCATCCCTGTTATATCTGATGTGTAACTGACCTCCCTCTCTCCCTGTCTGTCTGCGTAGGATCCACAACGTGCTGAAGGGTATACCAGACGACAGGGACGGCCTGTTTGACACCATCCAGCGCTCCAAGAACCACTACCAGAAACGGGCCTACCAGTGTATCAAGTGCATGGTGGCCCTCTTCAGCAGCTGCTCTGTGGCATACCAGATACTACAGGTAAACCAGTGACGACACTATGCACTAGACCACATGTCAAACTCAAGTCCGATCCGACCCAAGAGACGATTAAATCTGGCCCGCAGGTGGTTTGAGTAAACATGTTTTTGAAAAAATGAAATCCACATTTCAGGATTCATAATTGCAATGCAAGGAAAAAGTCATTCATAAGCACTCTTACTAATGGTGTGTGTCTCTCTCTCTGTAGAGTAACGGGGACCTGAAGCGTAAGTGGACGTGGGCGGTGGAGTGGCTGGGGGATGAGCTGGAGAGGAGGCCCTACACAGGGAACCCCCAGTACACCTACAACAACTGGTCTCCCCCCGTCCAGAGCAACGAGACCTCCAACGGGTACTTCCTGGAGCGCTCGCACTCTGCACGCATGACCCTGGCCAAGGCCTGCGAACTCTGCCCCGAGGAGGTAACACTCGCACCAAATGATGCGCACACACACACGCACTATACAACACACATGCATACAACCCAAAGGTAATACACTAATATCTAACATGGATGCGTGACTGAAATGGTAGTAGTGAAAGGTCAGTATTGATAGTCTCAGAGAATGTCTTTTGGGAAGGATGCACCATTTCAATATTGGTGGTTTTTACCTACAGAGTCAAAGTAATGTGGAAACAAGGAGCTTGCCTGTAATACTAGTTTTAATGAATTTGTTAAACAGAGTAGTGTTGGTTATATTGAATCTCATGCAGCAATACATAAACTATACTATTTTCTTCCTCGTGATGTGGGGTTAACATGTTGATGATAACCATCTGGTCTTCCACTCTTCTCGTGTTTCAAGTTCTTCAAGTGTTAGGTGTTGTAGTTGTACTATCAAATATACTGGAACTGAATGCTTTTAAAGCTCAAGTTGAGAGTTCCAAGCTAACACTAAGGTTCTTTTAGAAAGCCGTTATCTGCTGGAATATGATTTCTTAGTTATTTTTGGAATCTTCAGAATTTGTGCGTGTTTTTACTGTAGGTAGGGCTTTTTGAGTTTTTGAAAATGTTAATTTCCAGTTTACACACCCCATGGTGTATACACATTTTAAGCTAACATGTTGATACGTATTATATATTACTTTTTCCTATTAATTCCCTTATTTGTGTTAGTCTCCTTTGCTGAAGCTCAGTGTACATTACAATGTTTAGCCGTATTAATCCTTACCATAAATGGCGATATGATAGAAATTATATATGCTAACGTTACTTAAAAGAAAAAAAATCCACCTTAAAGCATAGTTTATTGACACTTGTATATATTATGCAATGATATCAATTATGCCATTTCAAACTAGTGTCACTTAACGAAGCCCGGTGAGGCCGAGTCTGAAGACGACGCTGCCGTGCGGAAATCATCCTCGCCACAGCAGCTTTTGCCAGGGGAAGGGACAGGACCTCAGCAACACACTGTAAGCCCTCACAAGCCCCTGGCAACCTCTGCCACAAGCCCCTGGCAACCTCCTCCTCCAGTCTGTCCCCTCTCTAGGTGTTCTATACAGGGCTATGTTAGTGGTGTCTGTCCTCTCTAGGTGTTCCATACAGGGCTATGTTAGTGGTGTCTGTCCTCTCTAGGTGTTCCATACAGGGCTATGTTAGTGGTGTCTGTCCCCTCTCTAGGTGTTCTATACAGGGCTATGTTAGTGGTGTCTGTCCTCTCTAGGTGTCTATACAGGGCTATGTTAGTGGTGTCTGTCCTCTCTAGGTGTCTATACAGGGCTATGTTAGTGGTGTCTGTCCTCTCTAGGTGTCTATACAGGGCTATGTTAGTGGTGTCTGTCCTCTCTAGGTGTTCCATACAGGGCTATGTTAGTGGTGTCTGTCCTCTCTAGGTGTTCCATACAGGGCTATGTTAGTGGTGTCTGTCCTCTCTAGGTGTTCCATACAGGGCTATGTTAGTGGTGTCTGTCCTCTCTAGGTGTTCCATACAGGGCTATGTTAGTGGTGTCTGTCCTCTCTCTAGGTGTTCCATACAGGGCTATGTTAGTGGTGTCTGTCCTCTCTAGGTGTTCCATACAGGGCTATGTTAGTGGTGTCTGTCCTCTCTAGGTGTTCCATACAGGGCTATGTTAGTGGTGTCTGTCCTCTCTAGGTGTTCCATACAGGGCTATGTTAGTGGTGTCTGTCCTCTCTAGGTGTTCCATACAGGGCTATGTTAGTGGTGTCTGTCCTCTCTAGGTGTCTATACAGGGCTATGTTAGTGGTGTCTGTCCTCTCTAGGTGTTCCATACAGGGCTATGTTAGTGGTGTCTGTCCTCTAGGTGTTCCATACAGGGCTATGTTAGTGGTGTCTGTCCTCTCTAGGTGTTCCATACAGGGCTATGTTAGTGGTGTATGTCCTCTCTAGGTGTCTATACAGGGCTATGTTAGTGGTGTCTGTCCTCTCTAGGTGTCTATACAGGGCTATGTTAGTGGTGTCTGTCCTCTCTAGGTGTTCCATACATGGCTATGTTAGTGGTGTCTGTCCTCTCTAGGTGTCTATACAGGGCTATGTTAGTGGTGTCTGTCCTCTCTAGGTGTTCCATACAGGGCTATGTTAGTGGTGTCTGTCCTCTCTAGGTGTTCCATACAGGGCTATGTTAGTGGTGTCTGTCCTCTCTCTAGGTGTTCCATACAGGGCTATGTTAGTGGTGTCTGTCCTCTCTAGGTGTTCCATACAGGGCTATGTTAGTGCTGTCTGTCCTCTCTAGGTGTTCCATACAGGGCTATGTTAGTGGTGTCTGTCCACTAGCACAGTGACACTGTGAGAATAGCCTGGGCAGTAGGACCAACACAGACAGACAGTCTGGAGCATAGGAGCTGGACAATAACAGATAGCAGTGACAAGCTGGTCAGATATCCGTCCGCTCGGCTGTTTTGCGTGCTGCTCACAACAGTGATTTTGTGATGAAAGTTGGTGATAGTGCAAATGTTTTGACCGTCATGGTCTTTGGGAAACCTATAGCCCATTCTCAGTATCCAGTGACTGACAAAGCAGCCAACTCCAGGTTCCTAATAGGCAGGAGAGATAGAGCTGAGGGCATCCTAGTATAGAGAATTAAAGATCCCTATGATTATCCATAATATAGAGCCAACCCCACCTAAATCCAACATGTCAATTGTAACGTTGAACCATCGCCAAACATTACAATAAAAATCAAACTGTGAGCCGCAAACATTTCCTCTTTACAGTCCAGTAGCAGTGTCCCACTGGTTACCTAAAGCAACACGGAATTCCTGGCTTCCCTTTAGTTCAGTTGGTCCTCCATCTTTAATGTAACACTGTTTATCCAATCAAGCTGTTTGTTCCACCTCCCCAAAGCAAACTAAAACTCTTGGCCATGGCTATAGTGGATGATGAAGTGCTAGCCTAGGGTTGGATTTGTAGTGTACTTATTGGAATGTGTTCAAGTGATGATAAATTAAAATAAATTGGTCATTTAGCAGACGCTCTTATCCAGAGCGACTTACAGGAGCAATTAGGGTTAAGTGCCTTGCTTAAGGGCACATCGACAGGTTTTTCACCTAGTCGGCTCGGGGATTAGAACCAGCGACCTTTCGGTTACTGGCACAACGCTCTTAACCACTAAGCTACCTGCCGCCCCTATGATGTTGTTCTGTTGAGACTAGGTCGGTACATAGGGGAAACCTGTGGTTTGTGTGTCAGCCATTTAAATTGCATGTGTTCATATTGTTTCTAGTCAACAGGACTAGTTCACATCTTATTATTGATCGTTTCAATCAGAAACATCACCTTGAATAGTTAATTGTAACTACCCGTAAAACCAATTTTATAACTATCTGGAGAGAAAGAAGGGCTAGATGCCTTAGGACCACAACGCTAATTGACGACAGGCAGCACCTACTTTACCCACAGGTTATTGTAGGTTTACGATAGGCTTGTGTTATCATGAATCTAGCCCCTCCACAGACTAACACACAGGCTGTTCTCTAGTTGGTCTGTTCAGATGTTGTAATGTGTTCTAGATGTTGTCAGTCTGTCTTTATGAGCAGACTGAATCATACAGACAAACGGCCAGTTGATCTGATTGGTCCCAGCACAAAGATGCTAAGATGGTAACGCTGGCATAACCGCCACGGAACTCTCATGGATGGAACACACTGAAAGTAGAAATCCCTCTGTTTTTCTCTGAACAGAGGATCCAGTGCATTTCCATCTAGTGTTTTCCCCAGCAAATTAACCCATATCAACATTATTTACATTTTACATTTTAGTCATTTAGCAGACACTCTTATCCAGAGTGACTTACAGTTAGTGAGTGCATACATGATTTATATTTTATTTTTCATACTGGCCCCCCGTGGGAATCGAACCCACAACCCTGGCGTTGCAAACGGCATGCTCTACCAACTGAGCTACATCCCTGCCGGCCATTCCCTCCCCTACCCTGGACGACGCTGGGCCAATTGTGCGCCGCCCCATGGGTCTCCCGGTCGCGGCCGGCTACGACAGAGCCTCTAGTGGCACAGCCTTAGACCACTGCGCCACTCGGGAGAAAGTCTCTGGCCCCCGTCCCTTAGATGTTACACTATATATACAAAAGTATGTGGACACCCCTTCAAATTAGTGGAATTGGCTATTTCAGCCACACTCGTTACTGACAGGTGTATAAAATCGAGCACACAGCCATGCAACCTTACTGAAGAGCTCAGTGACTTTCAACGACATAGGATGCCACCTTTCCAACAAGTCAGTTCGTCAAATTTCTGCCCTGCCAGCGCTGCCCCGGTCAATTGTAAGTGCTGTTATTGTGAAGTGGAAACATCTAGGAGCAACAACGGCTCAGCCGCAAAGTGGTAAGCCACACAAGCTCACAGAACTGGACCGCCGAGTGCTGAAGCGCGTAAAAATCGTCTCTCCTTGGTTGCAACACTCACTACCGAGTTCCAAACTGCCTCTGGAAGCAACGTCAGCACAATAACTGTTAGTCAGGAGGTTCATGAAATGGGTTTCCATGGCAGAGCAGCCGCACACAAGCCTAAGATCACCATGCGCAATGCCAAGCGTCGGCTGGAGTGGTGTAAAACTCGCCGCCATTGGCTGGAGTGATGAATCACGCTTCACCATCTGGCAGTCCGACGGACTAATCTGGTTTTGGTGGATGCCAGGCGAATGCTACCTGCCCGAATGGCTAGTGCCAACTGTAAAGTTTGGTGGAGGAGGACTAATGGTCTGGGGTTGTTTTTCATGGTTCGGGCTAGGCCCCTTAGTTCCAGTGAAGGGAACTCTTAACGCTACAGAATACAATTACATTCTAGGCGATTCTGTGTTTCCAACTTTGTGGCAACAGTTTGGGGAAGGCCCTTTCCTGTTTCAGCATGACAATGCCCCCGTGCATAAAGCGAGGCCCATACAGAAATGCTTTGTCAAGATCGGTGTGGAAGAAATTGACTGGCCTGCACAGAGCCCTGACCTGTGCTGAACCTCATCGAACTACTTTGGGATTAATTGGAACGTCGACTGCGAGCCAGGCCTAATCGCCCAACATCAGTGCCCGACCTCACTAATGCTCTTGTGGCTGAATGGAAGCAAGTCCCCGCAGCAATGTTCCAACATCTAGTGGAAAGCCTTCCCAGAAGAGTGGAGGCTGTTATAGCAGCAAAGGGTGGACCAACTCCATATTAATGCCCATGATTTTGGAATGAGATGTTCGATGAGCAGGTGTCCACATACTTTTGGTCATGTAGTGTACATGGAAACGTGATCTCATTAGAGCATGTCTCCCACCACGCTGTGGAGAATAACACCCACTCGCATAATAAAGTACATTTTAGATTTATACCTCCCTCAGTTGATATTACAACATCCAAAGCTGTCACACACTCCTACACAGCGTGTCACTCACTTCCTTCTCATTCAGTTCAAATAGGCAAAAATAGGACAACGTTCCCATCCAGTGCAAAGGCATATTCATATTAAGAGACTTTGGTCTGCTATTGGGCCCATAGGCTTGAGTTGTGTATGAATGTTAGGTTGAAAAATGCATTGGGAATAAAATGGTGCAAATCTTTTGACTTCATTTCCCAGGAGCCCGATGACCAGGAAGCCTCTGAAGATCAGGACACCTCCCCTCCAGAGGACACCTCCCTCTACCCACACTCATCTCCTGGGACGACCACACAGTTTCAGCAGGTACACACACACGATACTGTAGAGGCAGCGTTATCCTGCAACTATTTACTATCCCTGGAAACGGAGGCTTCTAAACTAATGAAGGACCTAATACAGGTCATGACAGACATTTTGTCAGAAGTTCCATATTACATCAGTAGTTTTACTAAAAACCTAATTGTTTTCTCATTCCTCCGCAGAACAACCACCCCCAGGGACAGCCATACACAGGCCCCGCTGCCCAGCTCATGAACAACCCCCATCACCTTGGCCCTGCCCCTTCCTCTACCCCAGGCCCTGACCCCAGCACAGGCACAGGCCCAGGCCCAAGAGCACAAGAAAACTGGGAGAGCACTGAGGAGGTCCCGCCCGCCTCCACCACCCAGGCCCCTACCTCGCCTAAGGAGTAACACCAGCCCTCCCCTCTGCTGTGCCTCCAGCCTCCTGCTCTCTCTTTCCTCTCCCCTCCAGGTGACCGACCAAGCAACTGATCGGGACACTCTCTCTCTGGGGTCTCCAGGGCAGGGCCAGGCTTCACAGCTCCTCTCCAGGCCCCCCTGAATCTCTCCTGCTACTGTGCTGCCTGCCTGGGGGGTGGGCTCTCCCCGGGGGGGGCTCTCCCCTCGGTTCTTCTGCCCTGCATACTGGAGCCTGGTTGCTGTCGACTGCAGAGGGGGAGTGGATAGTGTTATAATAAACATATTACCCAGGCCTGACGATGCTGATGCGCTTGTCTACATGACGAAAAGGTGTACATAGTGTGTTAATGTTTTGACTGTTCAAAAAATGAATCCCCCCCTAATAGCGTAACTTTGTCAGGTTTGCTGTTGGGAGAGAGATCTTGCGAAAAACAAAAATGGATGACATAAGAAAAAAATAAGAAAAAAGCAACACCGTTTTTTGTTTTATCACCTTCACCGCTCAGCAGTGAGATTTGGTCTGCCATCGGACGGTTACTGGTCATTCACCTTTAGGAGGACACATTATTAGTGAGCTCCTTGGCAACCTCTTGACCCATGCCAAATCAACTCACGAGCTGCGGTTGGTTTTAGTGTGAGACGTGGAATGGTTGGGTGAACTTTTATGGTGTTTTGGTTGATGTGAAAAAACGGTGATGCAACATTGTTCTGGAACTCATTGCCTTTGTTTGTTCTGGTAATTTAATTCAAACCTTTCGGAAGCTGTAGTTAATATGCTGTAACATTTAGCATGGCTTCTCACCAGAATAGCATAGCTCAAGGGAAGATATGTGATATGATTCGACAGCTGTCCTTAATCCACAGCTACAGAGGACAATTACTTTTGGCTCTTTTCTTTCTTGCTCATCCACCTTGTACATTGAGGGCGGTATTTTGAACCAATGCAAAAAAGTGGTTTTTCAATTGCACATTATAATCCTCCAACTTCACATTCGCAAGTCAATTTTTGGTGGGTTAGGGTGCTTCATCTATAGGAATTTTGAGAAAGAAAACACCATGTGTGAAACCTGATTTTCTCTGCCAGGCGTGTGGTTTGCTTCCGTCTCTCTTTGGGAGAGTCTTGGACAAACGGCTGACCTATTCCATGGAGCTCACCAGGTTTGTCCACTCTATGGACCAGCCTGGGAAAGTCACTGATCCTGGGCCGCAGTGTCAGACAGGAGAAGGGGCATGTCATGTTGCAACATGGTTAAGTAAAAGTGTGTAATTCTTTAAGATTTAAAAAGGTAAACATCAGTAAAACGATTTAATTGGTAACTTGAATGTGTGTATTTTGGGGATTGTCTAAAATACCAAATATTCTGCCCACCGTAATATTTTGCTCTTATTTTATAGAATTTATTTTGTATTTCACACAAAGAATAGAATTTGATTTAAGAACATTTGTCCCTTGTCTTATTTTTAAAGGTATTGACTGTACAGAGTTCGGCACCCTGTTTTTTGCCGACTTTTGTTTTGGCCATGGTGTGACGTTGAATTCTGGAGCTACAGTCACGATGTGAACTTTTACTGAGGTTTTTTGTGCACAGAAATATAACAAAAGCATTGCGCCCTTAGCAAATAAAGAACATGAAATATTGTATTCATGTAACCAACTTGGTAAAAAAAAAATGTCTGTACATTTACTTTCTGTATTATCTCAAGGAGAAAATATGTAGGCTACTGCTTGGGACTGAAGATGGTGCGCAAACAGACTTGGTCTGTAAATGTGCCAATACCTATGGGTAGCTTGAAGTCAAAGGATCATACTCATCCTGATTCCATGCTTTACATGGGTTACGATCACCTCCACAGGCCTTTAAAAGGCAGTCTATAGGTCGCTAGTACATTTCAGTTCTGTGCCCTAGTGATGCAGTCATCCTCTTCTGCTATTCAACTCCAGGTTGCATACTAAGGCTCCTCTACTGGCCATACTGATGAACCATGTATGGATCTCTACGTCGGAGGATTGACTTACCACTTCAGAAAATTGTATTTATAGATGTGTAAATATTAGTCAATACTACAGATTTAACTTCAGTAACCAGCCAAATTGTTATGGTGATGCGGCCCCATTTGAACCACAATGTCAAATCTATTACACATCCATGAAACTCATTACATCCCTCAGGTGAGTGCAACAAAATATGGAAGAAAGTACAACACTGAAATCTGCAGCATTTGTTGATTAGTCTGGACCAACATCATTTCACCAGGTAGCAAGTCCTCTTGGGTCCAACTCCACTGGTGCACTAACCTAACAAAAGGAGTCAACACAGGTCAGCTTCCTTGGAACATTTTAATTGTAAAGACGGCTAGTTCTCCTTCTCCGAGACGGTCTTTGTTCCACGCAGTCTGCCTGTACGACGGGCAGCAATGAGACCAACCTTGCGACCAGCGGGTGCATCCCTCCTGATAGTTGAGGGTTTGCCAATATGCTGGTGGTTACCACCACCGAAGGGATGCTCAACAGGCTAGAGGGGGAAAAGAAATGTCAGCAAAGCCGTTCTAATAACTGATCATGGATCCTATGCCCCAACATCCTCTGAACCCTTGACTGGTTTTGTTTCCCCCCCCCCCTTTTTGGCAAACTTAAAAGAGCAATATGAAAAAATGTAACCAACAGCAGTTTGAGAGTGAGTAAATCTCAAGCCCCGTCCCTCAGCTTTTTACCGAACCTAGGGTGGGGAGGCCGTTGTTTCTACTGCCGATTGCCGCGTTAAGTTAACCGTCTAAAATGTGCTAAAAGCGCTGCAGTTGTGCATTTGTTTGCTAATTTAGTTATCTAGCTATGTGGTGAGAATCCCCTCATGGATCAAGAGCCTTGCTGTTTATTTGTTTTGTGAGTGCAGCAAACTAGCATTTGAGTTACTTGTATAACTTTGAGCTGGGATGTCTCATGCAAATAGTTTGTCAGACTATAAAATGTTTGCAATGCTCTCCTTAGCATTTAGCCTGCATTTGCTATTGGATTTTACATGTACCTGTTAGCATTGCTAACCTTCGGATTACAGAGGCACAGTGGGGTTTGAAAATAGCATCCCTTGTGTTCAGTGCTGGTATTACCGAATTTCATGACGGCACAAGGTCGGTATGACAACCTGGATACCGCCCAAGCCTAGTAAGACCATCTACAAACCTAATAAGGTACATCAGGTGCAGAGAAACACACAATATCTCTGGAAAATAACTGCTTGAGGTATAACTTTAAGATCCAAATCTAACCTTAATGTTTTACCTGAACCTACCCAAAAGAAACTAATATGCAGAAGAGATGTCCACTTACGTTCATGGCCACACCACGGACACGTGGCCATGAGTTCCTCTTGGCCTTGTACTTGTGGTAGGCACGACCGGCCTTCAGGATGGGCTTGTCAATACGTCCACCTCCAGCAACCACACCTGATGACCAGAGAGAGCCATTACTCCGGTGAACAGTAGCACAGGATTCCCTAACCAGCCAATATGCTCTGAAAGCAACCATGTCACATGCGATGACTGGTAGGACCCATATTCTGAATGGCAATTGGAACAGTAACCACTTTTTGGTTTTCCTGGTCTCTGGCAAAACTATCTGCCTACAAACTTGGCGAACAAATGATTAGTCTTATCAAGTCGATCCAAAATATTGTGCACAGTGCAGCTGGAATCAGAGCAGATCCCCTCCATTTCATCGATTCAAGACATGGGGGTTAATTTGACAGAACAAACTTGACATTAGACCCAGCTTATGAGAAAGTGGCAGTGTCCAAATACCCATACTTGCATTCTAAAAATACATTTTGAGTAAGGAGAAAGTTTTGTATGTGATATTTTGAAAATTGAGTATGCTTTAAATGCCAGGATGTCATACTCATTCCGGGTCTTCTTCTAGTAGAATTCGTTGCACACTGACGCATAGAATCGCTGACGCGACGTACCAAAATGAACAAATGGAGGGAATCAAGCAATTGCGCATTAGATGACATTCAGTAGAATGAGCCTAGTATGCCAATATGTTGCTAACTGCCTTCATTTTTACTAAACTGTGGGTACTAAATAGTATGTAGTATGATTAGTTGGCAAGCCAGATCGGACACAGATACCACCTACAGAATAACAATGTCCCACTGATTGCGCCAAAGCATCACTGTCAAAAAGGTTTGTGGTCAAAGATACAAAATGAGTCCACCATTAATTAGAAAACATCTCTGAAACCTTCAGCTAACTAACATACACAAAGAGAAACATATCTTATGTTCTTACCAACAACGGCTCTGTTTGCAGAGGCGATGACCTTCTTGGAGCCAGAGGGCAGCTTGACCCTGGACTTCTTGGTATCTGGGTTGTGGGAGATGACCGTGGCGTAGTTCCCTGACGCCCTGGCTAGCTTGCCCCTGTCGCCAGGCTTCTCCTCCAGACAGCAGATGATGGTTCCCTCAGGCATGGTGCCCACAGGCAGGACATTACCGATATTCAGCTGAGCTGAGAGAGGATATTGTTATTAATCCTTAAGCGTCTATGCTAACATATGGAATTATTTTAAGATAGTCACCAACATTTAGCAATTAGATGTTGAATTTTAGGATCTCTATGTAAAAAGATTTGATGAAACATTGAATTTGGCCTTACTGCTATTAAACCATAGAAAAAATACATCAAAATGAAGTTTGTTTTATCTTTCCTATAGAGATAAGATCTGGAAATTATTTTTTATTTTAACCCATATTTAACAAATGTTGTGCACTAAACTACTTCCATTCATTTACAACTGGTACCAGGCTACCTTCAGACAAGTTGTGACCGTCCTAGAGCATAACAACTGACGTGTTTGTGAGAGTTACCTTTAGAGGGATCATATAATGTGGGCGGCAGGTGGCTTAGTGGTTAAGAGCGTTGTGCCAGTAACCGAAAGGTCGCTGGTTCTAATCCCCGAGCCGACTAGGTGAAAAATCTGTCGATGTGCCCTTGAGCAAGGCACTTAACCCTAATTGCTCCTGTAAGTCGCTCTGGATAAGAGCGTCTGCTAAATGACTAAAATGTAAATGTGTAGCCCAAACTGTTTGGACGCTACAGACAGAAGTTGGCAGATCAGCAGTACCGACCTCAGACAAGTCCCGTGACGCTTGTGGGGGTCATAGAGGCCAAACCGTTACAGAAGCTTCAGACGTTTTCGTGAGAAGACAGATTTTTGGGATGTCTCATGGTCTGACAAACTGATGGATTTTGATGGGAATTTGTATTATTATGCCAATTCGATATCTGTGGGGGCACGGATATCGACGTTAGGGGGTTAAGGTATTGTAGTTAGTTGGGGAAAATATCCTAGAAGAGGTGACAACTGCTGTGTTGGACACATACTAAGCAGCCTACAGGTAAACAACCCCATGACCATTTCCATTCCTCACCCTTCTTGCCACAGTAGATGAACTGTCCGGTGTGGATGCCCTCTGCAGCAATAAACAGCTCGGTCCTCTTCTTGAATCGGTAGGGGTCACGGAAAGCCACCTTGGCCAGGGGAGCACCACGGCCGGGGTCATGGATGATATCCTGAGGGAGATAAAGGTCAAGTCAGGTCCAAAGCAGATAGTTTTACACAAACTACTTAAAACAATGCATGGCAAACTCCAACTTGGGACAATGTAGAAAACTGTATAGTTCAACAGCGTGAAAAATAGCCATTGTGAGAGCATTACCTTCACAATTCCCTTGATGTAACCATGACGTTCAGCAAAGTCAATGTGTCGGAGTTTAGCGGCACCTTTTCTGTGCTTCACGTGGGCTTTGAACACGGAGCCGGCACCTTTTCTCTGTCCCCTGATAACACGCCCCATCGTGACTGCAAACAAAATATGACAATTCAGTTACAGCCAGGTTCAAAGTATATCGAGTTCAACGGTTCAAGAAAGGCACTGACAAGCCGTGATAGTAATCTAGGCTACATTCATAAATGCGTGTGTAACGTTAAGTACACAGAATTTCGCTACATATACCTGCCACTGGCAGCAGTTAGCTATTGATGACGTTTAGCTAGACACCTAACGTTAGTTACTTAGCTAGCTACGTTAGCTACCTAACTAACCAACTATGATGTCAAATAAGGATCCTGCTCTGCAAGAAGCGTGAATTGTTAACTAACAAATTAATATTAAAATGGACATCACACTTGCATGTAGTTGTAAAGTTGTCAGCCAACTAGCTAGCCAACATGCGGATTTTCCTAGCATGCCAACAACGCTAGCTAGCTAATGTTACCTATTAAAGTTCAGTGCTGACTCGCTACACTACGCAACTAGAAACTAACCATGAATTATTTTTTTTTTTTTAATTATACAATAAACTGGCCGACGGTTCTACGCTCGTGGATAATAAATACGGAACGTCTGAACAAATAACAGAACCAGAAAACCGAGCTACCGGCAGCTAGTGATAACTGCTACACCGAGACGAAGCCCATGTCACTTCAGATCTATACGGATACACACCACAATCATCAAAGATTTAAAACGCATTAAAAATCACTTCTTGTCGCTTCAATGATACAAAGACTATAGTTAGCAGTGTTTATTATACGTTTTCTACGGGTATTTCCGAGTGGATGATAGTATATTATACAAGATTTAACTCGGATTCTGTGAAGAGAATAAAATCACCATTCTCCTACCTAAACCCCGATGACGGAAAGAGGAAGTGTAAGGTCGAGCTAGCCGATTTCTTCCGGTAAAATAGCTGATGGGAACAGTAGGCACGTGTTTTTTTGCAGCTTTAAATCAGCCTGTCCAGCAGATGACAGCAAATCGTTAGCAGACATCAATTTGTGTTTGATAAAGCTTCCCTTGCGCGCGCACACAAACACACACACACACTGTCTTGTACAACTAACCTTGTGGGGACACAAAATTCAGTCCCATTCAAAATCATATTTTCCCTAAACCTAACCCTAACTTTAACCCTAAAACCTAACCTTAACACTAACCCTAACCCTAGCTCCTAACCCTAAAACTAACCCAAGCTCCTAAACCTAATTCTAACACTAATTCTAGCCTTAACCCTAAACCCCATAGAAATAGCATTTGACCTTGTGGGGACTAACAAAATGTCCCCAGTTGGTCAAATTTTTGTTTGTTTACTGTTCATGTGGGGACTTCTGGTTCCCACAAGTATAGTTAAACACATCTACACACATACACATACAGTGGTCACACAGAGCACGGTGCATCCAGAGATGTGAAGTTCAGGGATGTCTCACTGATAATGAGGCCTTATGGTGTGTCTAGCATTATGAACTAGTCAAGCAGCATTTCTGAACACAGGTGTGCCTCTTGGCTGTGGTTTAAAGAGCATAAGTCATGTTGGGCAACAGGTTTTAACCTTGGCTTTTTACCAGAACCGGGACCCAGAGTGATTTATCATTCCTTAGAAAATATTAATATCTACACACATGCTGGTACAATGTTTCCCCGTTTTTTTGCCCTTTTGGAACTTTTTTCACAGCCGGGTCAAAGAAGGTTGTTGACATTCACAAAAAGTGGTAGGCTAATTGCCTGGTCTGGGGGATTGACTTGTGAGACTGACAAGTGTCGTGTTACCCTGCTCAGACGTTGCTGATGCATGCCAGATCTTACAACGCCTGGAAAGGTATTTGACGTATCAGCTAACCACATAATGTGTTATAGCAATCTGGTGCCTGACTTCACAGTCGATGGCGTGGCACGCAACCATTGGTTGATGCACGCAATGACTGAGCAAGGGAACACGGCCAAGGATTCCTTCTTCCCAACTACCACTACTTCCCTCCCTCCCTGCCTGTGGCTTGCTATTACATAAATCTTCCACAGCCAAGCTCTGCCATATAGCCAATTTCCTTGGATTCAACTGATCCCTCCAGCATATGCTCCGGCTGCTCTCCTCAACCCCCCTGGCCAACCGCTTGGAATTGTGGCCTACTTGGCAGGCTCACTGGCAGAGCTGTGTCTCAGTACTGGAAAATGTCTTCCTTGTCTCCTTTCCTTCATCACTGAGCTAGATAGAAGGGAGGTAGGAACTGGAAGGAACAGGGGAGAAGCGAACTGGAAGGAACAGGGGAGAAGCAAAGAGAGATAGCAAGGGAGAGGCAGAGAGAGAGAGAGAGAGAGAGAGAGAGAGAGAGAGAGAGAGAGAGAGAGAGAGAGAGAGAGAGAGGTCTACAGAGGGCATTTGACCATGTAAGCTACATAACCTCTTGCCTTTTTTCCTCCTCTCCTTATCTGTACTGATCTGCATTACGGGGGGGGACCTACTAAAGGTACGCTTAAACCTGTCAAACACTTACAGATCAGTGTTGAATTGCAGATTAAGGATACAGCTGTCTAAGGCACTGCATCTCAGTGCTAGAGGCGTCACTACAGACCCTGGTTCGCTTCCAGGCTGTATCATAATCCGGCCGTGATTGGGAGTCCCATTGGGCGGCGCACAATTGGCCCAGCATCGTCCGGGTTTGGCCGGGGGTAGGCCATCATTGTAAATAAGAATTTGTTCTTAACTGACTTGCCTAGTTAAATAAAGGCTAAATAAAAAATATATATATTTTTTAAAATACAAGGAGAAGAGCCCTTTCAGACTATTGATTGAGCTCACTGAGGTATCGTATATGATTGAGATACAACCAAAGTGACACAAAGTCTTGCTTCCTTTCCTTATGTCCTATCTTAATAAATGTTTAATACCTTATCATATTTTTTGCTATTACATTATTTACTTAACTACTATATGCACTTCACCTGAGGAAAAAAGCAGATAAGGTAGACTTATCTTTCCACGCGAAAGGTTGCGGGTTGGCAGGACTGGCTGATGTCACTTCCAGGAAACTGGAATGCTTATGGATGCTACTCTCAGATGCAGAATAGCCCACGTTTTACGAGCATGGAGAGGCCAGAGATAGCCAGACTAGTAAATTGGGCTAAGGAACAGAAATTGGGTATTGGAGAAAGGCCATCAGTGTGTGTTGTCCAAACAATACAGCGGATGGCTCAGAAATTGAACCTGACGAAAGTGAGGGTGCAGGTGTTGTAAAGACCTCAGAGTCCGAGCCTCGCCCGATGGTCATGCAAAGGATGATTCTGGCCCAGTGGGAGTGACATTTTTGGAGAAAGTGGAGGTCTTCCTTTTGGCTGACCCATATGTAGTCTCACTGTTAAATTGGTGTAGGTAGCTCGAAATGGACTTGTGATGATTTTCGGTGTTTCTTCCGCCCAGAGGGAGATTCCTAGATGTGAGAAGTGTGCAGGAGGGTATGGGACAAAGGAACTTGTAGTATCGGTGGAAAAACTTGTGTGTGTCAATTGTGGGGGTACCCATGTTGCTGGGGATCAGAAGTGCCCGGTGCGAGAGAGACAGGTTGAGGTTGCCAGGGTCAGAGTAGAACAGAAGGTGTTGTATGCTGAGGCAGTGAAGAGAGTAGAGGATGATGGGTTAAGGGTGAGTAGTAGGCCTAGGCCAATACAGAGTGATACGAATTGGTTTCTTAGCATTTATTGCCATGGTTATCAACTGTACTGCAGAAATTGAACATAAATCACAGACAATAGATATTGTGGTGGCAGCTGCAGAGAAGTACTTGGGTGTACAAGGTTTTACCAGAAGAGTTACAAGGTGTGTTGAACGAAAGAGTCCCGTCCCCCAGGCCGTCGGCCTGGTGTAGGATCAGTTAGGGTTAATATAGTGGAATGGGGTGGTGTCATTTTTTTTTTTATGTACAAAATTGTGGTATATTGGTGTAGGGTTAGTTGGTGGTATGTAATAGTGGTATATTGGTGTAGGGTTAGTTGGTAGTATGTAATAGTGGTATATTGGTGTAGGGTTAGTTGGTGGTATGTAATAGTGGTATATTGGTGTAGGGTTAGTTGGTGGTGCAACATTTTTCCCTTTCCCCCTTCCTTTTTATTTTAATATCACAAAATGGAACGTGATCGACCACACTCTCCCGCACAGTAGCTGGCGGCATGCACAAACAAAATGTGCGAAAGCCATGATACCAAAGAAGAAAAAGAAGGTTGCGGGTTAGGGTGGCCGGAACGAACAGGTTGTTTGGACGTGGGTTGATCGGAGTTCCGGTGTCAATCGTTGATAAACAACCAATCAAATTTTACTTGGTGTGGAGTGGCGCAGCGGTCTAAGGCACTGCATAGCAGTGCTAGAGGCGTTACTACAGACCCGGGTTCATTCCCGGGCTGTGCCACAACCATAGGACGGCGCAAAATTGGCCCAGCGTCGTCCGGATTAGGGGAGGGTTTGACCGGGGGGGCTTTACTTGGCTCATCACGCTCTAGCGACTCCTTGTGGCGGGCCGGGGGCCTGCAGGCTGACCCCGGTCGCCAGTTGAACGGTGTTTCCTCCAACACATTGGTGCGGCTGGCTTCCAGGTTAAGCTGGCGGGTGTTAAGGACGCGTGACTCCACATTCACCTCTCCCGAGCCCATTGGGGAGTTGCAGCGATGAGACAAGATCGAAATTGGGGAGAAAAAGGGTGGTTCATTTTTTTATATTATAATCATTTTTACTCGGTGCGGCTGTGCTGTGACTGGGTCAGAGATGGTAGGAGATAGTGATGGAGAAGAAAGTGAAGCAAGTATGGAGCATAGTGGTACAAATGCAGGGGGGAGTAGGAAAGAGAAAAAGAAAAAGAAAGTGGAAGAGAAAGAGAAAGAGAAAGGGTGGAGGGGTTTGAGAGGAAGGGAGGAGGGGTTTGAGAGAAAGGGTGGAGGGGTTTGAGAGAAAGGGAGGAGGGGTTTGAGAGAAAGGGAGGAGGGGTTTGAGAGAAAGGGAGGAGGGTTTTGAGAGAAAGGGTGGAGGGGTTTGAGAGAAAGGGTGGAGGGGTTTGAGAGAAAGGGAGGAGGGGTTTGAGAGAAAGGGTGGAGGGGTTTGAGAGAAAGGGTGGAGGGGTTTGAGAGAAAGGGAGGAGGGGCATAAAGTGATTCTGAAGTTGAGGGAGGAAGGAAGGGAGAGTTGGGGCGATGAGTCCAATAAGGTTAACGGCTTTGATAACATAGTTGATTGGGGAAGTTGTCAATGCTAAAGTCTTAAGAGATGGGAGCTTGTTGGTGTTCTGTAAGGACATGGCATGAGTCCGATAAGGTTAACGGCTTTGATAACATAGTTGATTGGGGAAGTTGTCAACGCTAAAGTGTTAAGAGATGGGAGCTTGTTGGTGTTCTGTAAGGACATGGCACAGAGGGAAAAAACTCTCAGAGTGAAGCAAATAGGGAAGTGTAAGGTGGAGTTGAGCAGCTGGACTGATCAAGCAGGGAAGCAGTGGATTAAAGGGGTGATAATTGGAGTGCCTGTGAGTGTTAGCACTAAAGAGGTAAGCTACAACTTGAGAGGAGCCATTCTGGTGAATGTTCAAAGATTGCAAGCAACAAGGGGTGGAGTTAGGGTAGATAACCTGTCTATTCTGTTACACTTCAAGGACCGGGTACTGCCAAATAAAGTAACCATAGGATATATGAGTTATTATGTGAGGGCTTACTGTATGTACCAAAGCCTTTAAGATGTTATAAATGCCAGAGTTTTGGGCATGTGGCAACAGTCTGTAAAGAGAAAAAGAGGTGTGCCAGGTGTGGAGGAGAGCATGAGTATGGGACGTGTGGAGATGGTGTACAACCAAAGTGCTGCAACTGTGGAGGTGCTCATAGTGTGGCATACAGTGGGTGTGAGGAAATGAAGCAGGCAGTGGAGGTGC